AAACTATGAACATTGCAATTTTTCATTCATGGATTCAGAAAATCATTATATGATTAAAAGCTCATTGTTATTGTATTTTTTATAATTAATTGATCAATAAAGAAAAATAATTATTAAATAAATTATAAACATGGATCACTGACGATAAATAATGGAAACATATTTTTTTATCTGAAATGAAATCAGAAATGTAATTTTCATATCTTATAAATATTTAAACTACATTCTAAAAATATTTTAACTTAATTTTGATTATAGAACAGGAAAAATAAGCCCCAGAGGTAGATTAAATAAAAGAAAAACACTGGCTGAATAAAGGCTTAAGCCAATATTCTAGTCTTTGAAAATTGTCCTTATTCCAAAACAATCTTGTTACTGTCACAAGACTAGGTCTGTTGCAGGCTCAAAACACTGTTCTGTTCTGACAGTTACAATTACAGTTTTTTCATCTTTATAATCTACATATGTGACCATGAAATCGTGCCAAATTTCTCATTTTTCCATCCAACCATTTTCACAAAATATCGTCTACTCTCAACAGACAAACTGACATTTTCATGCTTTCAAGCCACTCTAAAAATCAACTTTTTTATTCGTCAATATTAAAAATGGAAGAAAATTCAGTCAGTGTCAATTTTCAGACGAAATCAATATTACTTCTTACTACTTAAATGATGATGAATTGTGATAAAAAGTTAAATATAATTAAAATAAATTGCTGTCTTGATTGTGACATTTACAAAAATATGTAATACACTCTTATGTCACAAGTACTGTAATGCTACACTATGGACTGAAAGTGAATTGCAGCTGCAGTATAAGCGAAAATCCCTGGTGTATACAAGTTGTCACAAGCTATAGTACTCAGGAATTTCATTTAACACATAATTAATAACTTTGGCAATTACTGTGGTATCCACTCCATGTGTCCGCGACAAGCAGAATTTCCGAAACAGAGACTACCATCTTGAAAATAGTCTCTACATCATTAAAATCTTACTAGTATTTCAGGTCGCCAATTAACAGAGACGAGATTTAACACATGTACAACGTATAGTAATTGAGTAATTATACTAGTGGATGGTTACTGGACCTTTTGCGGTTAAAACCGAATGAATTTAAATATCCTTAGAATAATCGAGTAATTTTCATTTCCTTCAGAATTGTCTTGCACTATTTCTGTTGAAGTAATATTCATTATTGGCATCATTATCAATCAGAAACCCGTTCAATACGACTGACTGACACAATGAAGCAGGAATAAATGTGAAAATGAGTACAGACAGAGCTGTTGCTAATTAGGTAATTAATATTTAATTAATTTATTCGAGTTATTTTTTTTTTAATTTTTAAATAAATTAATTTCGTTGGTCGAATATTTTTTCATAAAATTACTTGATGTGTGTCAAAATGAAAACAGCTAATTTTACTCTTGAATAGATTTTAAAACATTAACTAATTATTGAGAACAAAAAAATTATTCAAACAAATAAAACATATTTATTTAATCGATATTATAAATACATAAATATTAATTGGTTATAATATAAAAATCTCCATTAGTTTTAATTGAATATTTTAATATTAATTTCAATATTATAACGAAATGAAAGTACATAAGAATAAATAATTTTCAGACTTTTATAAGAGACAATTATTTATTGAAATTGAAGCAGAAAGTCCACACTCTTAATCTTTGTCTTTTGTTAATCGTGGGTCATTGTCTTGGCTCGCATGAAGTATTCTGTCTTTCGTGCTCTTTCATCTATGCAATCTACAATTATCCAAGGAAAACTAGAGACACTTGATCTTTCCCACCCTTTTGTCTGTCCTTTTTTACCCATTATTCTTGATGTATTTATTTCATCATTCTATTTAACATAAGTATATTAACTAGATTGTTTTAAAGAACACCATCTGATAATGTTGTTATTGTTGATTGAATACATAAACATTCGAATAAAATAATTATTGTATAACATCGAATATCAGGGTTGAACAATAGATAAATGTTATTGAAATTATTATGAATCTGACCTTTTTTGTTCAGGAACTAAATAAGCGTATAATTAATCGACTATTTGGATAGAGTTACATACATGTACCTCATTTAACTGTGTATACTGAACACTCCTTGTCATAAGAAAATGTATTAATCCCTCAAGAACAATGAACAAATAATAATTATAATATTGTTTAAATAGAATTTCTAATTAAAATATGCAAATGATCCTAATGAATTGCAATTAAAATGAAAAAAAAAAATCTATTGATTCAATCTGATAAAAATATAATAATAAAAATCCCATTTCGTTTTTTTACTCTTCATTGTCTTTTTATCACAATTCTCTTTTAATTTCTTACTCAATAAATTTTACTTTAAAGTCTTTTCATGTAATCGCCGCTTTTCATAAGCATTTTATTATATATACTGTTCAGATTAAATTACAAATATTCCAATCACATTACCTGTATAAAACTGATAACTACCAGAAAACGTTTGGAATCGATATTGAAAAGTTTCATTTTACTGCCCAGTCCAATCATTTTTATGTATTCCACTATAATTTACCACAAATGATACAAAACACTGTTTACCATAAATCTTTTTTTTACCTAAATAAGTTTAGGTCATAAAATACCTCAATATTAATGGTGTAATTACCTTTCAGCTGAAAATTGCATTGGAAAATTCATCACCTTTGCTAATAGTTTTTTATTAAAGTTGGACCTTGTTTTGCATCAGTGTAGTATCCTATATGACAATGCATTGTGGGTTGATACACTGATGCAAAACAAGGTCCAGTTATGCTTCAATTTGTATCGTTGAAACTTCACTTGATATATTCCACAGTTGTTTGTTAACTTTCATCAATTTCAGCATATTATTATGATGAATTTCTAGATGATACATGAGCATGTTAAGAATTTTATCATGCTTGAAAAACTCAAAGAGACTACTATAGTTACTTTGGTCTTTACTAGGATAGTTTGCATGTTGATTTCTACATTGAACTCCTGTTTTTGCTCATTTGGTTTCATTGTAATTTTAAATTTAGTCTTTACGTTACTGAATACGTTTCTAGCAGCTTTTTTTACATTTTCTCATCATAATTAAACTAAAAAGATAGAGGATATACTAGTGATATTGCGAAACGAGATATTTTGTTCAGTAATATATTGTAAAATATAGGATGAAGACAATGAATATTAAAAGATAAGTTTATTGAAAGTGACGGATTTAAATACAGAATCTTAAATATGACGTCTAATCTGCGCTAGTCTCAATCACAACATAAAATAAACAACTCGAGAAAAAATAAAATAGATCTACACAAATTCACATTTTCGCCATTTTTTGGATCTAACTCAACTACTAAGATTCAAAAAACCAAAGAAAATTTGATCTAAGTAAATCTATGTATATCTAGTAAGATCAATGTATATCTACACAAATTGATGTACGTCTGTGGAGATTTCCATTGATCTCGATGATAAAAAAATTTAATACATCTACCGAGATCACAGAAAACGGAAAATGATCAAAAAAGATGTACACAGAACAAAGTAGATCTAACTATGCCAAAAAATCTATCTGAGTAGATCAATATAGATCTATTTTATTTTTTCCCGGGAAACTAGTCGCGCATTGCTATCAACAAATTCTGCCCTTTTTCAATCTATCTGTAGATGGACACATATGCATATTTTATAATATTTTTTCTTTCATGTTGTTATGGAAAAAATGATAAAAATTGAAGATGATAGAATATATTTTTATTTTTTTTCTGATTTTTTCAAGAATGCTGAAAAAATTTTAATATAAAATACATAAAAGCTTAGCAAACTTTAGACTTTCTGGTTCCACTAAAAAAACTTGTTTTAAAAATTTTTTATAATTTTTCTTCTAATTTTGAAAAGTTATAACTTTTTTTTTGAAAATACAGATGTATTTCAGAAGTTCATTGAAATTCTCCTTCCTGAAGTTCAAGTAGAAAGAAAGAAAGCAAGATAAAAAAGTAACTACAAAAGATGAATCTATTGGAATTTGATCAATAAATAGAAGTGACTTTTATAAAAAAGATATTAAATAGAATAGAATTATTTAGCGCTTAGAATTTTTTCAATTGTTATAAACTTATACAAAAGCAATTAATCAATAATAATTTTTTTAATTAAATTATTTTATTCATTTCAATGACTCAATGAAACAATGAAACACAGAATTGAGCAAACGAATAATCAATTAATAAATTCAACAAATGATCTCAACACAATACCTATAAAATAATTCTAGACCTGAATAATTCACTCTTAAATTGTTCAACTCAAAATGAAACCCCGCTAAAAAATTGACACGCCATCTACAATATTAAAAGCCAATAAAAAAATATTTTCTAAATCGTATCTAAAAGCTCATGCTTTTAACTTTGATTCCCATGTCATATCATTTTTTTACGATGATTCATTCTCTAGTAATCAAATTATAAACAAACCAATATAATTTTCAGCTCCTAGTTAAAATGTTACAATAAAAAAAAAAGTCGTAAGATTAACAAAAAATGCCAGTCTTAAGACTCAAATGTCCAATTACCACCATTTAATTAGAATAATTCAAACTGCTATCAAAAAAGTAAAGATTATAAATGAATAAACCTGTTCTTTAGCTTTTCCATCACAGAATTTCCTAATATTTTTATTAAGAGTGAATTTGACATTCGATATTTAATTATGCTAATCTTTTCAATCATTAAATTAATCCGCAAATATCAAATAAAATTTCACTTTATACTAATAGGCAAATGAGTAAATAATCTCTAATAATTTTAGCTGAAAATAACTCAATAGAATACTGTTGGTTTTCTCTTCTTTATCGTCTCTTTCCGCCTGAATTTTTTTCCACCCCAGCTTTCAGATAATTAATGATAAATACAATAATAACAATAACAATACTCCATACAATTGTACATTTAAAGTTAAATATTGATAGTAATACTTACTCGTTGTCGACTCGACGTAAATCGAATTGATGAAAGGTGAGTTCGACAATTTCATCAGGTTCACCGATGAATGTGTAGAGCAGACAATCAATGTTCGATGGGTATCGCCTCGGAAAATCGGGTGATATAAAACTACCCCCTTGCGGGCTATATGTGCTGCTATATATGATACAGGAGCAACCTGAAATAAACATACTTTAATTAATATACTCTCTTATATACCTTCAGGCTTTTCGGTTTATTTTATGCAAGTTACTAATTAAAAAGTTTTCGCAATTTTAGATATCTATTTCATAACATTAGACACTTTTTCAATAATTCACTAAATATACTTTATGCAAAATTAATGTCTAAAGAGCTTTCGATTATTCCATACACTGAGTTGTTAATAACGTAGTATCTTAGACAAATTAATTATCCATTTATTGAAATCGTTTTATTTTAACAAGTCAAATAGAATAGTTTGATAACTTTAGAAATGATTTTCAGACAGACAGATTTACCGGAATATTGATCGCCTTTAATTCGAATCAACGTTTATCTCTACTTAATTAAGCTCGCATTGAATTGACTTTTTTCCACTCGATTTATTTCAGCTATTAGAGCTGAATCACATCACACTTTCTTTGTAATTCCATCTTCTGCTCCTTTTTTGAATTCATTCAAGTGCAATGGTTTTGCGGTTTATTCATAATTGTTCTTATTTTTCTTCACTGCCGTCAATATCAACACAAAGTAGATGAACAACAAAAGATACTGTTATCTCCACTGACATTACCAAGGAAAATATTTGAATTTCATTTTATTCTGTAATTTTTGAATTACTTTTATCCTCGGAGTGATGAAAATTCTTTTTTATGAAGAATTACTTATGAAAAGTATGTTGATGTAAAAGATTACTAAATAAGAAAACCAATATTCGATTAGAATTTGATATCATATCGTTTAAAGAAGCTTATATTTTTGATGGATTTAATAAACTTCAATTTTTGATGTTAAATAACTGAATATTTGAACGAGTAATGAAAAATAAAACTCAAATATGTGTATTCAAGTGTTGCTTGTATTTATTTGCGTTCATCAGAAGCCTCATGTGCTTGGCATGTTTCAAACTTTTTCAGTTAGTTTCCAGAACTAATAGACTCTAAGAAACTTTGGAGTAGTATTTATTTAATTATAAATAGTTATAACTTATTAAACATAAAAGAACTATCTCACTATAGAATTTATTTTAAAATAAACCTAAAAATCTAAAACAAAAATTTTTCTATTTTCTAGGGATTTTATTGATCATAAAAGCATTGAGTGTTCAATTTTATTGAATATCATAAAAAAAAAGTTTTAATTTATTCTTCTCATTATGAATTGGTAAAAGAAGTATTTTTCAGATAATAAAATAGCAAAAAGAAAATTAATCAACTAGTTTTCTCTTACCAAACCATTAGCAAGTTTCTGTACTAGAGTTCTTCCTACTTCAAAAATAATAGTCGTGAGTTAAAAATATCACACCGATGTATAAAAAAAAATCAAAAAGTCACAAAAACTACAATAAATGAGGTGAATTTTAGCGTAGACTTAAGTTGGAAGAACTGTGAAAGAGGCACCTTAATCAGGAGAATGAAAAGTTAAGAGCACGGGAATAGAGGGAGGATAAAGTTGGGAAGTTCTGCGCCAATAGACAGGAATGTTTTATCTGCGTAGATTGGCTCTGATGCAAGCCAATGCCACATTATATCTAAGAGCTCGTTTCAGATCCCCTTAGATATACTCTCTCTTTTTTTTATTCGTCATCTCAGTTTTCCTTACTGTAGAGATCACGCGATAACTTGACGAACACAGAAAGGCTTCTGCTTTTAAAGCGTCCATAATGGCGATGGGTAAAGAAAAGAAAATAACCTTCTTTAAGCTCGAAAAACACCCGAAACAGTTGCTTTGAGTCTACATTTACGTACATGGTGCTACTGCCCTATATAAGCTAGGCTATTCGTTTTTATAAAAGTTCTTTGGTTTTTTTTAGCTTTTTATTTCATACTAATAATGCTCTTATCACTCTCTCTACATATGGCCATGGCAGAAATGACATAAAACAAGCGCTTGTAGGGATTCAACTCTTTCACTGATACGCAAAAATCATTATAAATTAAATGCAAACAAAACTTATTATTTAATATAAACTGTCAAAGAAGCTTTTGATAAATATTACCTGGGGGTAGTGTATGATACGCAGGTCGTTGATAAATATTCATTTTAGGTATAACACCCTCAGGATTCTTCTTTATCCCTTACTTACTCTCAACTCAGACAGAAGCTTTTTTTACAGATATTTTTTAAAATTTTTTATGAAAATAAATTATATCAATATACACAATTGTCATCAGTCATTTTTTGTACAGCATAAAAGTGTTGTAAGGAGTCTAACTTTGTATATCAGTATGATTGAGTAAAAATTGTTCATAAAAAGAAAAACTGTGTAACAAAAAGTTAGATTGAAAGTGTCACTTGGGGAAAGCATTTTGCACTTATCCACAAAAGAAATGAAAATGTACAAGAGAATATAATTTTTATGTGCAAGTATCTCATGAAGAAGAGCAAATTGTGAGCGAGAACGATTCAAGAAGAACTCTTCAGAGGATATCGATGACGAGAGAATTTGTCGGATTGTGTTTGTGCTTTCAGTAGAAAGATTGAATTCCAACGACTATTCAATTCTTTCGAGAATTCTGGAAGGAATAAAAAATATTTTAGCATTACACTCTTGTTCATAACTACATTTATCGTAGAATTTATACCATTGATTCATGCGACACGTAAAATCAAAATACGAGTTTTGGATCCAATTATGAAATGTTACATTGTTTTAATCGAATCATCATTAAAAAGTGGTTTTTAATGGTGTTAAATTTTTCAACAGTTTTTATATAATAATTTTATTAATCGTTAACACAAAAAGATTGTTCTATTTATTTCGTGATAGCACATCTGAAGAAGAACTTATTTTAATGTCTTTCATGTAATGGACGAGCTTTTTGGAATGTTTATAGATCTAATTTCAAATTTATTTGATCAATGAAAATCTGATAATTTTATCTTAGACTGTAGAAGCAATCGTAGAACGATTTTCTTTTATTTATGATGTCTAGAAAGGATTTGCCTTTCTTTCGTTATAACAAACCGATTTTTTAGTATTTTCTACAAAGACAATAAGACCATCAATCATTCGGAAACTTTTTTAAGTTCAGAAAAAATTATAAAATATATTATCTTTTCCGTCAGTCAAACGAGAAATAGATCTTTTCTCAACAGAGTTCAAATTTCGATCGATCCAATAGTTCTTCCATCACGTCAACACCTTAAAAAATACTTTTTCATATTGGGTCCATAACTTTATTCCCAAGGCAATCATACCTTCAGAATTCATACAAATACTGAACAATCAAATTCCGAAAATACGTTTGCATATTCATCAGTTTGGATTAAAATTTAATAGAAAGTTCCAAATAAATCTCTTGCATCGTATTATGTGTAAGAAAATTCAGGGCAAGATGGCCTTTCGAATCAACAGAAAACTCTTCAGAAAATAGTAAAAAATATAAGTAATGTTGAAAATTCACTAATTCTTCAATCATATACGGAGTAAGTAGAGTAAGTTTATTTATGAAAACTCAAAAACTATTGTTGATAAACAATATTTTTACGTGTAAATGTTGAAACGTGCACTTATCATTTTGTGCACTTATGATTAATCAAAAAACTTTTCTTCGTATCATTCAAAAATTGTATATTTATGATTGCGAAACCATCATTAGTCACTGATTCTACAATGATCTTTGATATTTTTTTTTTATCGAAAAAGACAGAGTAAGATAATCTACTTCAACAATTATATAAACTATCAAAAATGAAATGTTTTAAATCAGATACATTATACTTCGAATTCTTTTTATTTCAAATGACGAATAAAATTCTTAAAATAATTATCTCCCTCTGTTTTTCCTTCATATCAAATTTCTACTACATGATATAAAGATAATTGTAATAAATAAAAATCAATTAATTATAATATCAATGTCGATAATGTACCATTACCATTATTATTGGAATATTTATAATAATATTCAATATTCCATTGTTTATAGCTAATAATCCTAATTCACTCGAGTTTATCCCCTCAATTCAATTCAATTCTATAGAACAAACATTAGAGAAAATGAAAAAGAAACAATAATAAATATGAACAGTACATGCATTATCCATTTCCATTTCGGCTAATATGTTCTTTATTAGCGTTGATGAAGGAGGCATATATAAAACGTAATCAAGGGCTAATACAAATGAGTTAAATGGAACGGGATTGTAAAGGATGAGTTTTGCTGAGGATAAGTTTAACGAGCAATCACAAAAGATCGATAGCATGGAAAACGGTTGGTAGAGCATACTAATGGGGTTGAAGGCATAAACTTACCCCCTCCAATCATTTTAACCCCTTTTAGCAACCGTATCGTAGATTCACACACTTCTTGCTATTATATTATCTGCTTGGGAAACACTCAGGATGGTAAGGGATGAAGGTATTTATGTAATACAAGCCTCCAACTATCCCATCCACCTTTCCACACCCTCTAGTGATGTATGCTTTGCTATCGGTGACACGAAAAGCCTCCTCCGGGTGGGGAGAAGTAGACATACAAAGGAATGGATATTGTTACGGCTTGTGTTAATTACTCCGCGCTCGTTACCAACACCTAAATTAATATTTCAATTACAATTTTGTTAATGTAGACTCTACAGGCATCCGTAAGGCTCGTTGGGAATAAATTGGTGGTGGCAATGACTATCTTTATACATAGTAATAATTAGTTTTCAATTTTGTATACTAACTATTTTTAATCTTATTTATTATTAATCAAACTGAATTATTGAAATGAATTATTAATTGGTAGGCAGTTATTGAAATGACTTTACAGTTTATGTAAATTAAAACTTGATAGGAAATACCTCGGGCGAAATAAGTAAGGAAAGTAGTGTAATGGATCTGTTTTCAAATTGGATCTGATTTACTAAAGGAAAATCTTGAAATTATTTCAAGGGAGGTATTTTTTCTTTAAACATTAAAATAGGATTTTTAATAAAAAAATTTTTTTTTTTTCTCACCATAATTTTCATTTTTATACCAAGTATGAAAGTCATTTTTTGCTGTTATGCATACATATGCACATTCATGAGAACATTTTTCTCACATATAAACGTTGTTTTTATCTGGATAAAAGATTAAATAAAAAAAAACGGTGACCAAAAAAAAATTTATTAAGCAATATAAGCTGTAAAATTTTTTTTTATTCCATTATAAATTGTAAAAAAATCCAATTAATTTTATTTGTAGATGTAATTTATTTTTATTATTGAGAAAATAATATAACGGAAAAGTTAAAACTGAATAAAAACAAGAGAATAAACGAAATGCCATAAAATAAACAAAAAGTCTCTGATATTTTATCTACTTTTCCATGTTTTCAAAGGAAAAATGTAAATTTTCTAGTATTATGTAAACCGTAGAGAGTTGGTTTTATTCGCACTGCCGTCACTATGATATATACTCCATTCAATGCGGCCTCACGTTTACCACTTCCGTAAAAACTTGCGATCCTAGGTTTTAGCACTCATCGATGACAGTGGTTAACCAATTGAATTTGTATTGCTGTTTTTCAGGTAAACAGAGATTCTCTGATGTAAATAATATGACACACTTGACAAACTGGTGCTTCCAATTTCATTTTTCCTAATTATCCTGATAACTATTTACTCGATATCTACTCTAGCTTAATGAGTACGACCATTGTCATAATTACTGCGTTGTTATATTAATTACAGGATCATATTCTAAGCCAGAAATATTTTCTATCACAAATCAATCAATCATCCAATGTCGTGAAAAAGATTATAATAATTTTAAAATTGAAAAATAAAATTATTATGAACATGAAAATAAAATAACTGATAAAACAAAACAGGAATAAATAATTAAATAAATGAATAAATTAATGAGGAAGAGAAAAAAAAAATAAATCAATATTAATTTAAATAAATATTGACATTAAATAAATGATTGACGATCATAGTAGCTAATTAATCATATTAATTATTGTAAAATTCTTTTTAATAATTATGTAATTTTAGCCCAGTTTAACCTTCATTTTTTTTAGAATTAAAAAAAAAGTAAAGTTTATTAGAAATTTTTGATCTAAAAGCTTTTCGCTATAATCTACCAAGACTCTTGTCTTGTTACATTTCATTTATAAAAGATATTCTTTTTTACAGATACCAAAAAAATTCATTAAAGTACTTTTTTAGAGCAATTACTATGTTAACTTTTATAATAATAACTATAAAATTCTTATTTATAGTTAAAAAATGATATTTCATTAATTTAAATCTATTTATTTCATAAATACAGCAAAGCATCATATATTTAGAAACTATTTATCCCACAAAAAAGTCTATTTGCAAACAAAACCACGAAAATTGTACTATCAAGCTAGATAAGTGTCAAAATTGAACCAAGATGAGAAGATAAGATCAGTCTGACAGACAGTTCGTTTACGTTTCCCATCCTCTTTTCACCGCACTGTTAAACCTTATCATCGTCAAACTATAAGATTGATGGACAGCTGGTAGAACCGCAAATGATGAACACGAATTTAGAGGTCAAGCAATTTCACTACACCTCATATAATACCCATGTACGCGTTCTCCATATTTTCTTAGTTATCGTTTTTTTGCATCCAACGCTTCAATTATACACACCATAAATTTCAAGTTTTTGTTCATAAAATATCTTCCTTTTAGCTTTATTTTCTCTTACAACCGTTTATTACATGGTGCATGAGTTTCTCAATATGTAAGCTTCACTTTTATCTTTAAGCTATTCAATTAAATTTAATTTAACAGCATTTTTAAAGAGATAGTTACTTAGTGATAATTAATAAATGATAGTGAGTGGATATAAAATGATGAGTTGATAATAAATATGTGGTTTATACACTGTTCATATTAAAGTAAAGGATTTACAAACGGAAGATCTGCCTGTTGGCTTAATGATGAGATTAATTAAATACTCCAAGACTTCCGCCGGATTTGATATAATCGTCATTTATTTACCGGGATTAACAGCGTTGCAGTAGTTGAAGAGCGACAGCCAACAGATGAATAGCAGCGCCCTTTGCATCTAAAACAATATACAAATTTTTTATGAATCGATATCATATTTTAATTTACATATTTATAAAAAAAAAGTGTATAGGGAAATTGTAATTTATCATATAAATCAAGGAAAAGTGGAATCGGGACGAATAATATGAAACAAAAAAAATTTATTTATTGTGGTGTCTGTCGTATGGAAAAATGCAAGATTGTATATATTTTTTTACGTTTAAATAAGAATTAAAAACGAAATAGTACAGAGAAAATATTTAGTAAAATGCACTCCATTATCAGTGCGTATTGGAACAGCTTCTGGGCTCTCAATAAAAAATTTCAATTCCGGTATATTTTACATGACATCTAGTATATTTTATCTCGTTATTAGTAAACTGAACTGATGCGAGAAATAGCTTTCGAGGCAAAGTTGAGCTGTTCAAAAAATTTTGTCTCCATGTTCAAATTTAATTGAAATGATCTTATTGACTTATAAATAGAAATGGAGATTTTCAATTTAATTGAAATATTTTTATTTGATATTAAAAAGTAGAAATTGCTATGTTGTCATTTTCTCGTTTTTATTACAATATTTCTCGTTAAAAAAGGTACAGATTTATTTCATGAAATGAGCTAAAAAGCATATGTTTTTTTGGTATTAAACAGTTTTTTAGAATATATTACAATTTTTTTCCACCGAGTCATTCTAGTTTAAAGCTCAAATCGTCTTTTCAGCTTCGTGACTGAGTTATCAGAGAACAAATTGTCACAGAAAATTTTTAAAAGGAAAATAAAATTTAAAGGATGAGCTTTTAAGCTCAATTCATAAATTCTGCTGTGATTTTTCTCTTATGGTAGGTAGACCGATGTTATCTAAACGTATTACATGGTGTCTATTAGAATAATGACATTTCCTGACGTATTTTTTTTTATGATAGTTAAACAATACTTTTTTTATTATAATCATTGCTATTTTTGTAGTAATAATATAATAATGTTATTATTATATCCATGATAATCTTGATGCATAAAAATATTTTTTTTATGAACTCATCAGTGTACAATCTCGAAACCCGGAAGCATATAAATTTACCGGTGATTTCCCTTTATAACGCAAGCACCCCTTGAGAAAGTATTTTCTCTGCAATTCAACTTCTAATAGGATAAAAAATAGTAAAGTGTGTTTTTACGAGTGAAACTGAGGTAGGCCGCTATAACATTACATTGTTTTCTTTTTGAATAACATCGTCATTATTTTTAGAAGAGACATAGTGGGAGACAGTTAAATTTATTGTAGATAAATAAAATGAAAATTTTTCTAAGAAAAATTATCATTTTTTTTTCAAAAAAATTCTTTCGGTAATTTTCATGATGGATAGACGTCGTTAATCAATACGATGCCTGCCTCTAAGAAGACATTGAGTTATCAACATTACTTCTTTTCTCTGGAACTCATTGCAGAGAAAACTTTTCAATAATCATTACACGTAATCGCTCAAATAAATTATAAAAAACTTTGCTAAATGGTTCTTCTCTTTAATGATTCTGTTTTTGTAATTAACATCAAATGAAAAAATAAACTCTAAAACTGAAAAAATTTTCCTATTGTATTTAGTCAGTGACAACATCGTTTCACATAAATAATTACAAGAATTTGCCAAAAATAAATCAATTAATTTATTTTATCAATATTTTTAAAAAACTGCACTTTGATAAAATTAAAATTCTTTCCAATTGTTCTTATTTCTTCAGAACACGCTTTATTGATTTAGTTTAAAATTAAAATACTTGTAAATTACTTGAAGATATATCGTAAAAACTCTCAAGTCAAAATCACTTCAACTGTTTCTACACTATTGTTTTGAAATATTTTTCTCCCCATATCAATTTTTTATCTGCCATTTCTAACAACTCAAGAATACTTTGACCGATTTTAATGACAAAACGATCAATGCAAATATGTGTCAAGGTTTTTTACGTGTCAATGAAAACAATTCTTGGCTGAGAGTTCAAGATATTTATGAGAAAGTCTACAAAAAAAAGCCTCTTTTATTTTGATAAATAGAACGATTTTGAATAAAAAAAACGCCATAAACTTGAGTAAAAAAGTCGCACTCTAGCTTTTAGGCAAACCAGAAAAATATTTGACGCTTCTTTTGTATAAGTGCGAAAGTATGAAAAGAACCGGAAGCAGGATAATAACAAAAGTAGAGATAGAACAATAGAAAAAAATATAAGAGTGAGTATGAATAAACGTACATAAACGACAAAAATTTGAATAAGAAGTTCAAGATGGGCTTTTAAAAACCTTAAATTATTTAAGATGCTATGTAGAATAGAAATATATTATCTTGTACTATTTCTGCTTAATAAACATTGAACAATTGTTACTTAAAATCAATAATCAGTGGATATTTTTCATTTTAACTGCCTTTGAGAAATATGAAAAAAAAATTTGAAAATTTATCAATTTTAATAATCCTGGTTCAAATCGATTTGTTTTAATAATCGCATAGCATAAATTAGTATTTAGAGCGTATGTATATGCGTCATACGGACGAAATTAAAGACATAAAATGAAAGAAACTTGAATAAATTATAAGGTTTGACATTTATTGCCTATATCCGAGTTTTCGTGTTTTAAACTTCATTCCGCTCTGTTACGAGCAAATCGTTAAAACAGATTCCCATATCTTGAAAAATTTCCTCACGAAAACTTTTTTTTTGTGATTGTACGATAAAGAGCTTGAATAAAACAAGAGCAAAAACTACTAAGAAATAACAAAAAATGTAAACCAAAGACGAAGCTAATATTCATGAGTTGTCCAAGAGATTCAAAGTTCTTTTTTGTAAAAAAGAAAAATTGTTGTTTTTTAGTTGATAATATTTCGATATGCAATACATGTTATCAAAGAGCTGAAAGAAAAATTTTGAAGAATTTTTAAACTGAAGAATATTGATGAATAATTTATAGATTTTTCAAACATTGATATCAAGTTGAGGGAAAGATTTTTGTAATTTTGAGAGGTGATATTTATTTTATGAATTAGAAAATTATGGACATGGATATAGAGAGAATGCCAGTGTATTCTATGATAGTGGTTTTTAAAAAGTCACGAACATTGGTTGCAATGTACTATCTGTAAAGAATAGATCCATTCTACTTGGGTTAATAAAAATTTATATTTTATCTAAAATGCCTGAATGTCGCAATAAAAAATTGTGGGTGTCAATACTCTCACAAGGATCTATTTTTGCACTTTTTACTCTAAAAAAAAATATTATTTTATCTATCTAACTTAATATATTATTCTTCACTATTTATTCAATTTATTCATTACTGAAGTATTTTAATAATCACCATTTAATCAAATAATCTCGTCCACTCTACTGTTACTTATTACCTACAATATTTCTAGCAAAGATAAATAATTCAAAAATTGAGTACAAAAGAATCAATTTTCAATAAGCATGAATAAATCATGAGCAATCATTTCGAAAGCTAAAACATGCGGCGGCAAAAAAAAATCCAAGAAAATGAAAAAGTATATTTTCCTTTGTTATTTTTTACATTTCCTAACACTTCGATATTACTAAAGTGCCTACAACATAAAGTTTCTTACCCCTTTTCTTTATTATTATCCGAACTCGAACTTTTGAATTAAAATAAATAGCTGCTTCATGTATATATTGTCGCAAGCTTCGTACTTGCACTTTCCATTTTCCTTACCTTCCTCATCTACCATTCCTCTCTGAACTTAACGATGGAAATGATTATATTCTTGGAAATAAAAGGAAACAATTTCAAGCCCATTATCACCCAGTATGAATGCAGTCACTATTGCAAATAATATAATCTCAACTCTCCATTCTCAGTCTATTTTTTGTGCTATATTCTTGATTTGCATAATGGTGCAATTATAAATATATACCCAGACGTGTTTAATTTTAAAATTATTACGACTATATTTATTAAATAACTGTATCTTTTTCAACAACTCTGGCTGTTTTTTATCAGGTTAATTTAATATTACACGAACTGGAAAATATTGCTGACTAGAGATGGATCATCTTCCCAAATTTCTCATGAAAATTTGACTCCGCTTGAATGAACAAACCCTTGAATGTGACTTGTTTTTTGTTATTTTCATATTTTTATTTTTTTTTGCATAAGTGTATATACACTTGATAAATTAAACGTAAAAATAAAAATTAAACTAGTTTAAAAATTCATTTATAATTCAAGAATATGATACATGGAAATGCATAAAAGAATATGATGAAGTGAGCAAAAAATTTAACATCGGTCATGTTGAAAATTTATAATAAAATTATCGATGACAAAAAGTTTTGATTGTTTTTTTGAAGTTATATATTTATGATTTAGAAAATAAAAATTGTTGAAGGAGATTAGGACAAAAAGGAGTTAAATAAAATAAAAATAATAGTCGTTAATTTTTATTCTTTTATGATTTTTATCATTTTTATAAAAAATTCAGAGTAAATTTTTTGTAAAAAAAACAATAGAAAAAGGGCCAATTATTTCTATTACCCTACCTTACCTATTTTTATTTATTTACTGTACTCAACCTCACTTGAAAAATCTGGTGGAAAATAATTTTTTCTTTCTGTCACCTAGTTGTTGATATTTTTATACAAACATCTAGACAATTCGAAAGTTTTGTAAAAATACGATCTCTCTAGAAATTCCTTAAACCTCTAGTGGATTTTAAATTCACTTTAATGCTCCTATATATTTAAAGACAGTCACAAAAGTGATCTTTTTTTCCTCAGACTTGTTTGCCATACATTTTTTTAATTGCCAAATAGAAAAGAAACGAATTTCCAAACGATCAAAAAATATCAGAGTCGATAACGAATAATTACTTGTGAAAAATTTTACCTCCTCTCAATTTTCTGTAAAAAACAAATTGTACTTCAATTGAGATCACACAAAAAAACATATAACAATAATTGAACTGTTACGTATGAACTGACGTCGAAGAACATGTTTGAAAATTCTCGCATTGATGTTTCTCCTCAACATCTATAAACATCAATATTCTTAAAGTTGGTAAACGTGCAAAGTTGACTGACTTAAAGAATTCTCATTCGTGATCATTAAAAAAACTTGTTATAGACTCAAAACTCTTCCAAAAAAATTTAACATCTTAATCAGAATGGTAATATTACTTAGCAATATTTTTTTACGCAAAAAATTACCTTATCATCAATTTCACTCTTAACAATTTAATTAATTATAAACGATCGCAATAAAAAAAAGAACTTTTCATCTAAAAACTTTATCAATTTCATCATAACAGTTTGTGATACTTTTTAATTTTTACAAACTCAAGAATTATCTCTAATTCTGGTAGAATTTATAAATAAAGCAAGTCAACTTCGATAATGTCAGGTCACGTTAACGTCTCTTGATATTTAGTTACTATATAGAGTAAAGCTATTATATATAGTGTTCTGTGTATGCTCACGAAACTCTGAGGGTGTTACAGTAACTGACCGTTTCTATGTATAACTCGTGCCTCTTTCAGGTGTATTGGAGGTACAAATGAAAACGAGTAGAATGAGGGAGTGAAGGTGAAAAAGCTACAGCTTGTGCAAGCTAGTCTCGGTAGTCATAGAGATTGTACGACTGCTTTTTGGTTTGATTCTTGATGTTCATTCCTTTTTTTATATTTTTTTTTGTTCACTGATGGTTTTTTATATCTAGATAGATATAGATGTAAGATATATACATATACATTTTTCTTTATTCCTTTCAGTTTTCCTGACATTCTTATTCGATGTGACATATTTATATTTTAACTTGAACGTTATTGTTTTTTCTTTGTGCTTTGTTTAAAAAAAACAGCAAAAAAAAAACAAATTATTAATAGTCAGGATGTAGAGAAAAGAAAAATTAACATATCATATTTAATCGAGTTATTTTTCATAAAATAAAGTAATAGTATGTTGAATAACTATTGTGGAATAGAAACTGTCTGACTAAAACTCGATAATTCTACTTCTTCAGAGTATTATATTTTTAGCTCTTTTTGTAAAATAATTATTTTAATCTTTTTTATAGTTTTTATAAGAGAAAATGTATTCGTTTATCAAAAGAATACTTGGATAGTACTAATGTAATTAAAATCAGTAGATTTGACATAACGTTGTATTAATATGCATTGAAAAATTTATAAAATCAACCACCTTTGCTCTAACATTTGATGGATGAATTTTAATCATATATCCAGGTTTAATAAGAGTTTAAATTATTTAATAAAATACGTTGAAATATAGATTTTAATATTTAACAAAACCTTACAATTCTCCAGAAATGTTTCCTTATCATTTATAGTTAAAGTGTGTAATTATTTGATAGTTTCTCAACTGATTGAAATTATAAAGGCTTATTCAACTCCAAAATTTTTAATTTTATTGAACGAAATTGACCTGATGATCTACATTTAGGAAACCGACTTTACTTGATATATTGTAGTAGGTAATTATTAATTAACATTGTTCTAATATCGATGATATTTGTTTCAAAATGTAACATGAACTCTGATGCTACTATTAATATAATTATTGACTTTATTTACACATAAATCTATTAATTAAATAAACAAATTTATTAAAAACTAATTGATCTTCTTCAATTCTATCAGATAATTGTTAAATAATTTTTAAAATAGTTATTCACTTGGAATAACAACAGTTCTAATTTTTTATCAGAAAATAAGACTAATTTTGTTGAAGATAACAGTAAAGATTTCAGTTTTGTTGGAGATGTTAAATCGATTGTTGTTCAAGTGCAGTTTAAGGAGGAGCATCTGGTCATTTTTTATTGGCACGAAACAGTCTATATACATTGAGTACACAACTAGTTCGACCATGCGTCAACTTGACGGTACAGTCATTATGTGTTTACGGAGATTAGATATATTCTCAGTCTCTAGACTCGGTCGTGTAATGCATAAATTGCATGTAAGGTGTCTTACAAATTATGTAATCCTCACAGTCTATGTGTAGAGCATATATGGAAGATGTTACGTTAACTTTTACATAGACAGACATTTCTTTAAATTATTACTGATTCTAAGAACCAATTTCTACACAAAAACATTGTGTTACCTACCTACTGTAGTAGATAAAGCTCATCAATTACTTATTGAATTAAAGAGCTCCATTTGGTGGTTCTATTCACTCACATACATCAATACCTGCTTGTATTGGCCTTATACATGATCAAGTTTGAGAACAACCTTTAGATATTAATTACGAAGAAAAATTTCAAAGGATTTCTTCTATTAAAAAGGATCAATTTAAATATGTAAATAAAAGAAATAAAGTTGATTAATTAGATGTAAATTTCTAAAAATGATAAATAAAATGTTTAAAAGAAGTGAATATTTGCTGATTTTTACAGGTTCAAGTGAAAAGAGTGGGTTATGCTTTTGAAGATAAATTTGAAAAGAAATATTTCACCCTATCACCAGAGCTACTCAAGCACGTTCTTTCACTACCTTGCTGCAAGATAAAACTTGTCGTATGATAGTTTTAAAATGTCTCAGCACACTGGAAAAATTTTGCTGAAAGTATTCTTGAGAATTTTAGAACGATTAGTAGAAAAAGTATTTATTCTTTTCTAAAATACATTTTATATTTTATTTATCCAATTATTTCTTCATCGTTATCAAAATTTTATTCTATATATATCTTCATTTTTAGAAATATTATCATGGATATAATAGTAATAAAACTAATTAAATAAAAAAGAGAAATTTTTATTGTAAAAAAGAGAGAAAAAAATAATTTACCATTACGTTAAAAATTCGTCTGCCGTCATGCCTCGTGGTGTTGAACTAGCAATTTTTTCCATTCAATTAATACGAAATGGAAATATTCCTACATACCACTTTAACTTCGAATGGAAATCATTATTACTATTCGTATTATGATCTTTTTATTATTCTTTTTATTCAACTTAATTTCTTATAACGATTATTATTTTTTAATTATGATGAAAATTTTTAATTGTTATTACATTTTTTACTTAGTCATTATTAATCATGTTTATATTAAACGAATGTTCATTACACTGTGTTTTTATAAAAAAAGAAACAATTTTTTATTCCTATGCAGTCATCACTAACGCACAACACTAGAATTTTTCAACACGTTTTTTTTATTTGAAAACACTTTTCACTTTTTTTATCCATCGCTTCTCCCCATTTCTCGTGCTAGATTTATATATTATTTTTTTTATCCACTTCTTGGAAATAAAATCTAAAAATAATAGCAATAAAATAGAATGATATTAAAAAAAAAAAGAATTCAAAAAAAGGATAACAAGAATACTACAAATAATAGAGATATTTGTTATCAATTTTCCTATTTAGAGTTGTTTCTGGTTTTGTAGTCTGCTTATATTCATTCAACGAGATTAAATGAATATCGAGTTTGCAACTTCATTTTCGAATATAAGATCCCACGATAAAATAAAATATTAATTTTTATGATTATTATAATTTATAATTATAATTTCGAAAATTAAATTGTCTACTTCACTTTGATGCAATTTAAAGTTTTTAAAATTTTTGAAACAATTATCAATTAATAATTAATTTATTTTTACTGTAATCGTTTGTTGCATAAACATTAAAAATTTTTAAAGAACATTAATGAACTTGTTAATGCATGCGACTTCGACGATCGCTCGTACAGTACTAGGGGAAAAAGACAAGTGTTGTCTTGCCGCCACGATTTGGACGCCTGCGCAACTTTTTGCTCATCTACCAGTGGCTTTGACTAAAAAAAATCTTATTTTTCACAATACTTCCTTTCTAACACTCTATCATACATAAAAAATTTTAATAGAAAGATGGTTAAATGATTTTATCTTGAGTAAATTTAAATTAAAAACAAAATAAAAATCTTTTATAATTTAATTTTTTCTTCATTTGCATATATTCAAATTTTCATTCGATTTTTATTGCAGAGGTATTATTTTAGTTTAATATCGATTCAGTACTCAAAATAATACTTGGATTGATATAACGTATGTTAAATAGAATAATTTATATTCACTGATGGAAATAGTATGTCTTGGACGAGTTATAAGATGCAGAAATAAAAATGATGGGGTGGATATGAAGACGAGAATTTGGTGACACATTTTTACTATAAATTATTTCAATCAATTCTCAATTTTTTCTTATTTTTATCTCGCTTCAGTAGATATATAACTATTGAAGGATTTATTAAATTATTAGACAATCACTGTTTCAATTTACATGGGCGTATTTTTTAATATGAACTAAAATAATTCAGATCTGATGATTATTAACTTTTTTTGTTTCGGTTTTCATTAATAATTGATAGTATTTCTATAAAAAGCAACAGTGAGTTTGTTGTAAAAATCTTCAGTCTAGGTAATAAGTGAAATATCACAGTTGGAATTTAATACATATTTCAATTTAATATTCATTAAAAGCAGTTACTGTAGATGCGAACGGTTTGAACAAAATCAGACTATTCTACTGATCGAAAATTTTTTCGATGAATTATAAAAATCTCTGGAAGTAGTGCAGTTTAACTTTAGGTATTTCTTTAGAAAACTAGAAATATTTACTCAATTTAATTCATTTTAATTATAAAAAACAAAAAAAAAAAATTTTTATTATAAATACATGAAATGTCATTAATATAATCATAACAATGTAAATTTTCAAACTAATTATTTCGATAAAATGTTTATAAACTTAGTTTTAGCAAATTATTATTACGGTACTTTCATAAAATAATGTAAAAGATAATTATTAAAATTTTGATAAGACTGTAATAAATCTCATGTGAAAATATTGATTGATTGTGATGGATTATCTAATATTCCAATAATAGTGTCTTTTATTAAGCCTTTGTACGTAACAGCAACCCTACACTTTACTTAATCAATTACTCCTACATGATCGTGTGAGGACATTTTACTTGCAAAGACTAGTAACCTAACATCCTAATGATTGACTTTCAAAGGGGAGAAAATTTAACAAAGAGGAAAGAGTTAAAAATCAAAAACCATACTCAATTTCCAGTTTGATGGCCTCAAATTATTAAAAATCTTTAAAGTTTTCAAGATTATTAACTTTTTCAATAATTAATCAATTACAACGTATTTCATATAAATACGTTGTACTTACAAAAATATCAGTGCTCTGCAGTAGCTAAGTGCGACCTGAAAGGTCCACATGACTAACTTCCCAGTGGAAAAAATAAAAAGATTTAGTGAGTTTACCACTTTTTTGATTCCGCATAAAATTGGGTTTTGCTGAAAACCTAATCAGTTTTAAGTTGTATAATTATGTGTCGAATTCAATTAGTCCTATGTCGATATCATTTTTTGTTTTTGAGATAATCAAGACGAAGAACATTTTCAAACGCACATACGTACGTACATACACACACACGTCCTCTTAAAAACTATTGTATTCGACTCTGGGGACCTTGAAACGTGGAGATATTTCAAAATCTAGAATTCGCAAAATCGGACCCATTACATTAACTTCCCACTGGGAAATCAATAATAAAACATTAGCTGAAAGGATGAAAATTGAAAAGATGGGTTTTATAAAATTAATCCAAAACAATTACATAATGAGAGAATTCATCCAATGTTTAGTTAAAATAGTTGGAAAATATTACTTGTAAATGGTATTCAAAAGCGCCTGCAATCTAAAGAATAAAGGCTAATGTAAGAGTTGTATAAAACAATCGTCATGGAAACTTTACCAGAAACCCTCTAGGTATTCAAACTAATATAATCTCTTCTACAGTCTCTCCTTAACCATATCTCACATCTTCCAACAGTATGCTTAAGTTTTCTCTTTGAGAAATCAGATACGTGCCGAACTTAAACTTTGAGATATATATGTAACTATTATAATAAGTTAAATTTTACCCTCCACGAAATTCATTCATTCAGTTTACTATCACAGTTCATTTTGGAAACTACAATAAATATAACTACGCGACAACGGGTCTATTTGAATTTACTTAACCATACTTTGACTTCAGATGCAAATAATTTTCGTTTTGATTTTTTAACTTATCATAGTGATTACTACTTTTTTACTTTTTATCTTAATATTATAGAACTTTAGTCATCAATTGAAATGTTAATTTGATTAACAATAAATAACAGCAAGCTACAATCATTAATTGATGAGAAAAATACTTTGAATTATTTTTAATCAAAGTAGGATATTTATTTGAAGGTAATGAATGCATGAAATTGTCGTGCTTTCAGTTTAAATAATCTACTTGTTTATTATAATGAAAAATTATTGAGGATTTAAAAAAATGAAGAGTCAGTACTTTATATTTGAAATAAAATCCAAATTCAAACAACAATAACTTCAGCCTTAACAGTCATATCAGCATTTCGAAAAAAGTATTCTAAAGCTTGAACTTTCTACTTTGGAGAACTCTCCTAGTTTTTGAATTGCCTCGATCCTCTTCAAAGTTGGGGGGGTAAAAAATAAGAGAAAAAAAAAGATTAATTTTTTTGTTTTATCTGTTTTCTAAAAATTTATAAATTTTTTTGTGCGGATCTGAAGGTTTACACATCAAGTTTTTAAATCATTTTTTTGAATATTTGAGGATTTTGTTTTAGTAAAATACTTGGATTGGGAACTGAAATCGTATTTTCTGCTTCATGACTCGCTTTGCTCCAGAATAAACAAGTGTAGAAAAAATTTTGTAAATAGAAATAGGATTCAAAATAATTTAAATTATTGTTAAAATTTAAAGAATAAAATCCTATTTTTTGTTCAGAAAGATTTTAGAATCATGAATTATGGTTTAATTTATCTTCAAAAATAAAGAGATATTTGGAAAAAAACTTTTATCAAGTATACTCTCCAATTTTGTAGGACGAAAATAATTTGTTATTTTTTACTGTACGACCATTCGTTAAAAAGTTATCAATGGACAAAGACATTGCTCGATCGGTTTTACGCTACATCATTCTGTCAATTCGTCAAAATGCCTAGAAAGACTAGAAATACTTTTTGTTGGTGAATTCTTTTAGTTGCATCGAATAGTGCTGTCTTTCAACTTTGGACTCCTTTTTTTTTTTTATTTTATTTTCTCTACAAATGTTTTTCACAAAAATTGTCAGCAAATTTTAGTCATTATTTTAAGAAAAAAAAACTCTAATTTTTTTTATACACCACGTGCATACAAGATATCGAGAAATTGTAAAGAAATATTGAACCAACTGCAAACCACATGCATATGCCCGAATAATGCATATAATAATTTAAAATGCCAACACCATGCAATACGCAACTACTTAATTGTTTATGGACATATCGATTCTTTAAAAAATTCCTACATTTCTTTTGTATTCACCAAAATAATTACATCCTAAATCTAGGGAATTTTCAACAAACTATACCTCTAAAAAATTTTTATTCCCAATACTCTATTCAATCCTTTAATAAAAAAAATGATAATAATTTTTTTGAGGCAGTTTAATAATAGTTAATATCAATGACAGATGTAATAACTAATTAAATTAATTTTTAGCGGTAAAATAGAGCAAAAAAAAAATAATAATAATTCTTGTTCACATTGCTCAAAATGAAAATTCTTAGATCCCACGTTTTACAGCAAGAACTAGAAATTAAAAACATTTAACGACTGTGAGAACGCCTCAGTTAGAATGTTGTACGTGGAGAAGTGTAGAGGAACCCAATAGAAAAAGTAATACGTCTCGTAGATACTGGATTGCACTTGGACGAGTGTAAGAGAGACAAGTGGCCTGCATAGCATTGTGCAATGCTTGCAGTACGGTGGCCCTGAAGATACAACGTTTCTTGTTGCATCGTTGGAGCACAGAGTCGACGCAGTCGCTTCTTGGAGCCTCCAGACCTTTCCCTCCGTCCTCGCACCTGCCAACTAACTAGTCGAACCTGATTAAACTATGCCCTATGTGTCGATATAAACCCCCTCCCCCGCTTCGTCTTTTCCCAAGACTATTTAAGCACCAGCTTCTTTTTCTGTATGTCTTGGAACGTTTTGTCACCAAGTCCAGCATACGTTTCTTATCTTCTATACCATATAAGACTCAACTAACTCTACTATTTGATCAAACTATAAACATTATACAATAAACATTCAATTTTTATTTAATAAAAGTTTTTATTAAAAAAAGAAGTGGACTAAAAAAAAAGTTTTTATTAAAAGAAGCAGCAGATTGTGTTGAAAGTTGGAGAACAATTGATATAAAATTACTTACTGAAATATAACATGTGTTGTTTATTTTCTTAAGAGTCGCAATCATTTTTTTTTTATACCTCTCTGATAATTTTTTAGAATTGATGAATTTTTTTTTCAATAAAAATCATACTAAAAAATAATTATCTACATCATCAGGTGAGAATAAATTTTTTACTTCACACTGTCCTTGATGAATGAAAAAAATTTCTATATTGAACTTTAATTTAGTTACTATGGAAAAAAACGGTAATTGAGGTCACTTTTGAAAGAAAATGTATTTTTAATTTACTTACACTGCACAAGGAACAAAGATTGCTATTAAAATTTTATTCTGCAGTAAATCTAAAGTTAATTTGATTATTTAAAACACTCATATAGCATCCGATTGTAAAGAAACATTAAAAGATACTGATAAAATTCTTACTACTAGTTTTTTTTATCATTTTAACATATCAGAAAGAAATGTTAGAATAAAAACAATATAAAATGTAATTACAGTTTCAGATAGAAACAATAATTCTTTGTCCACAACTTTGAAAAGGAGATTAGAGGATTTAAATATAGATCCTTACAAATCTCAACTTGTAGAATTAACTAAGTCAAGACTTTTCTTAATAGATTTAATGAGTTTATAATAATATCAAAACTTTGTTATACAGCATGACAATGATTTGCCAATCACTCACCTATCAATGTCAAATTCAACTTACCCAATATATCAGCAACTTAATTGACAGCAAAATAAAAAAATTAAACTATTAGAGTAGCTTCCTTGAAAATAATTATGTCTTCTAAATGTGTACTTAAAAAATGATTATATTCAAGTATAATAATAACTGAAACTGAAAAAGACACTAACACTAATTGAGAAATGTTATCCAACAATGTGGTAACCCTTGTGGATTACCATTGCGGTTTGACACATCATCGCATAACACTGCCCAATTACTGTACTAAAAATATTTACATGCACATACATCTAGAAAATTTAAATATTCAAGTTTCTCTTATGCTATTCATCATAACTGGTACCTACTAGTCTGTAAATATTAATGTTGCAATTAGTGTCAGAATGGTCATTGGAAAGCAAACAAAATGACAAAATAACCAATAGTTATCAACTATAAATTAAATACAATTAAAATAATTATAAAAACTTTACATTTGTGTGTCGTATTAGTAATGATCCAATTCGCTTGGGTGTTAAATGTAGTTATCAGAAACCCTCTGAAAAACATTACAGTAAACCTTTAATCGTCGAAGCATCAAATATGCCAAGCACTACAAATTGAGTTTCAGTCAAGTATGTTACGTTCACGATGTTAATTACTGTTTAAACAACCTCAAATATTTCAAATAGGTATGACTTCACTGAAAAACCAGATACTCTATTAATTTCAAACATTTATGTAACAAATTACATCAGTAATTACATGCATTCATACTAATAGAAATTTGGAAATTTTTTTAGTAATAATTGTTGATAAATAGTGGATTATAAAACGTTTTTTAAAATATAAAGACGAATTTCGTTGCTCTCTTGACTGAAAATTCTGCAAAAATTATTAAAATGTTTTCTTCATGTTTATTTATCGGTTCATTAATCTTTCATCACTCAACAATTTTCTATATTTTTTTTTACTGTAAATTTGGTTCTACTCAAGATAACGGTACGCTCAAGATGCCATTTCGGAGGCCGAGGTGAAAGAAGAAGATGAAGTAGGAAGAGGAATAATATAAAAAGAAGATGAGAAAAAAATTGAAAGAAAAAAAATTTTCATCTCTCTCAACGAAAAGTGTACGCAATCTTTGGTTACAATCCGCAGACGATAAAAATTGGACAGTCCACGTGCCGAAATATCAGTTTACTATTCCATATTAAACTTGACGACACAAGAAATTAAACCTCTCAGTAAATTCACGTCATTTCAACACATGGAAATTATTTTAATTTTTTTGATTTAAAATTAATTTAATAATCTTCGAAATGGATTTTTATTCAAATTCATACAAACGTAATTTAGAAATAATTAAAGAATAAAATCAATAATTGCTCATTGAACATTTATCGACAAAAATGAATTATAAATAATAAAAATATTCATTTCGTTGGAACACAATTGGAGTAAATATGATTTATTAATTACTTCGATTGTATTTCTATGTTTTTGAAAATTATTATTCTCAGTATTAAGTACTCAAAAACAAGCAAAGCAGATAGACAATTAAAACATCAATCTTTTAACATCACAATTTTAATAAAAAATTGGCAACTGTTACATCAATTAATTAAATGTAATTAAAAGAAATATTGAATATTACATTTGATGGATTAAATAATTTTGTCCACCATTTCAACTCGTAAAACTTTTAATTTAAATGAAGAAACTTTTATTATTGTTGTACTATTTAAAAATTCATCACATCTTGCAAACAAAAAAGTATTTCAAAACAATACTTTTAAATAAAGATCCAAGATTTCCCCAAGTATTTATGAATCTCCACCCCTCGAATTGTGAATAAACCATAATTTGTAGCAAATCTGGCAAATAACTATCCGGAATGAGGAGAAAAAAGAGCACGAAGTATAAATAAAAGAGATAAATAGGGAAAAAACGTTGCAAAAGAAAAGTCACAAAAACAGTAATTACAAAGAGAAAGAAACTAGTCTTGGAATTAAATAGAAAATGATAATTTATTATTTTTCTACATGGCACAACAAAATGTAATATCAATGTTAAGAAAAATAGAAAAATGAAGAAGAACAATAATTTACAACCGCAAAATTTAAATCAATATTTTAGTTAAAGTCATGCTTTCTATTTTCTTCTATTCACAAAGAAATATGGGATGACTTTCTGAGCTTACGACTAATAGCATTTGGCAAGCGTCTAGGTGAAATGAGCTGCAATATAATGAATTAGATGCCTAAGCAACATGAGGTCGCTTTGAGTGGGTAATGGAATAAACTAAGCCTTTATATATACAGATATATATGTATATAACTCTTTCACATAGCCAACACAGAATCCTCACTATTATTCTGTTCTACTTATTAATTCATACATTTTGATGACCTAACTTGCATTAATATCAATTTAAAATTACGTATATCAACGTATATGGATAATTAATACAAATGAATTGAATTAAATTTAGGCATTATTAAAATAGTTGATGATTTTTATACTTACTAATTTCCACGAAAACTGTCAGGTAATGATCGTCGGTGGTATGTCTCTAGTGAATACGTGGAAGCTATTATCGTCGGGTACAAGTTCCCCTTTATTTTCACAACTACTGTACAACGACCAAGTCTCGGCAGCAAAAGAGAAGAATTTGCCGACATTCCACGCGCCTTTCGCTTGTCACCCAATTCGAATCACATCTGCTGCCGTCACTGTTGCGTATTGCACTTTAAGTAGTAAATATACATATATTTTTCATAAAATTTGTTTGTGAGTTATAGTACGATGTTTATCTATTGAGAACAGGACTACTTTGAGGAGACAACTGAACGATTCTATTAGTGAAGTTGTCATTATTTTTCTCTTCACAATTGATAAAAATGAGTTGGATAAAATGTTTAGATATAATTTTTTTTAATTCTCATTTCTAATATCAACTTCAATATTTTTTTTAATTTGGTTTGTAATCCTCTTATTGAGTTTTTTCTTGGATTCAAATTTAATAAATAGATACTAATAATCGTAATAATAATAATAATTTAATTTAATTTCGGATAAGAAAATTTATTTATAGTATTTTGAAGAGTTAGAGAGTACTTTTTCAGAGGAGTCTGGAGAATACTTCAACTTTTTTTTGTGAAGAAAGAAAATTTGCCTCAAGAACGAATTCAAATAAGCTGCTCATAGGTTTAGTTCAACTTGAAGTGAAATCCCAAGGAGAGCGTGAGATATTATCTGAAATATCCTTCGCAATGAATTGATTCAAGAAGTAATTTTTTTTTTGAGATTTAAACATGATCTGAAAAAAGATAAACAGATATAGATGATCCTTACTATTAGAAAATGAATTAGATATTATTTAGTAAAAAGAGTTTACTGTTTGTCATGATTAAAATGATTATTCAGTGCTTAACATGACATGATTGATAATCAGTAAATAATTACTGATTTATTTCAAAATAGGAAAATAAATTTATTAATAATATTCTAATATCAATGAAAGAAGATTTCAAGCAAACTCGTTTATAATAATTGATATTTTTTTATAACAAATCAAATTTATTAACAACGAATAAATCTCTCTTGAAGTTAACAAAAAAATAGTTAAATATGGATCAATCAATTTTCCACTAAATGCATTTATTCGATAAATGTTTAATAAAAAATCCGATAATTCTTCTAATTCGTTAAACCTCAATGAAATGATAGTATCAAATGCTGGTGAACTTTTTTTTAGTATTTAGTACCAATAAAATTCTCACTTTGTGTTTGAAGTAGAAGTTAGATTCAGATCTGGGCCATTCATTTCTATTTCTATGTCATCATAATTATGGGTAAATAAAACAAAATAAAAAATAAAAGATCATGATGATAAACGTGAAAAAAGAATCATAACGTTACAACCGCACATATATAATATATAAAAGATAATATGTTATGTTAGCCACAACGAATCGCAGCTCGACATCAATTTCTTTAAGTAGTCTATACAAATGTATGGGCCATTCGTTGTATACTTTTCCTTCTTTCTCTAATGTGAGCTTCTTTTATTGCTTCTTCGTCTTTTTCATCTCTTATTCTCTCAAAGCCTTAGCGACCCCGCTCATTCTTAGAACCACCGACGAGAGAGAGCGACCAGAGAACTCGTCGTCAGGTTTTTAGCGCCACGCGTGATCGCTTGCATTTCATAAAAAATGAATAAATAATAAACTGTCAAGTAAAATGATATTAGTAAATTTTATAAAAAGTAAGTAGTCTAATAATCATACTCATTTACTATTTCATTCATAAAATCAACAATTAGTTTATTTAAATTCATTTTAATTTTTTATTTATTATGACGATAATAAATATAAAGGAAAAATTAATACATTATGCATAAAAAAATATTATTTCATTAATATTATTTAATATTTCTCATAAAATTCTAATATTTCGATAAGTTAAATTGTTTTTTGTCATTGACAATAATTTTAGAAATAAAAAATATGAAAATCAGTTTATTGAATAATAATTTTTTCTATCATGTGAAATTGTTTATGAGTGAAATAAATATTGTCGAAAGAATTTAATCTCAAGAACAATTATTAAAAAATCTATTTAAATTCCATGCACTAAATCCTGCAGATCAAATCCAATAAAAAAAGCAATCGTTAATTTATGTAAATGTTACCTTCCACTTGAGATGCTTGGAATCGTGTGCAACGTTATGTAAAAATATCACAATACATTGTAATGCCAAAAGATTAAGGTTAAAATTACTACTGAAAATTTTTTACTTCCCTTCAATCCATATTCTTATTTTATTACTCGATTTCATTTTATTTAACGGTAAACGATTTATGCATCTCACATAGTTCTGTATAAGCTTCCACCAACTGTATGAATTACGTATACGATATAAAGCATGACATCAATTTTCTTTATAACAAATCTCAACGCTAAGAAATTCGGTAAATGTGTCAAGAGAAGGGTAGGGTCCAACTTCAATGTCTGCGTCTGATGTCGTTGCCCTCCCGAGTCTGGCTGTCTTGAGTGTCCACTTGACGTGAACTTAGGTTTCTATCCCTTCCACAGGTATATACGGGCCCCACGAATCCCACTCCAATCGCACCTGTAGTTTCAACGACGCACCAGTCAAGTAGTAGCGGACCTTCACGGTGGGGCAAAATACATACGGCACTAGGAAGAACATGGAAAGAGGTTGGCAGACAAGTTATCAGTCGTCGCGACTACTTCGTTGTGTTCATTACGTACGTGTTTATTTTTATTAGTGCAATCATATAAACTTCCAACGCAATCTTCCCCGGAATAAGCTCCAGTGACTGAAAAAATACTCATTTAAATAATTAAATAATCTCAATTTGCATAAAAATCGTTAGCTATACTCTATTGTTTATTTATTTATTTAATTACTCATTTATTTGTAGCATTATCCTGATTAAAATCACGATACTCCTTTTGTTGTCGTTTATTATTTTCTGTCTTTACTGTAAACAGTTTCTATTTTTTATCGTGCAGTGCAATGTGATTAGAAACTCCTCATTTATTAAAAGCCTCTTAATTCTTATTTTTAATTGAAAACTGAGTAATAATAACTTTTTCATCGTATGAAGATTTTAAGATAATGTGATGTGATACATATAACTTCAACTGAAAGATACATACTTTACAATTTTAATTAATTTTTAAATAACATAATAAGTGAATTACAACAAAACACGTCATTATTTTAATAAACTTGCATCGTTAACAACGTGTATCAAGCTATTAATTTGTCCTTAAAAAATAAAGTGTTTAAACCTAGAAGCCGGGATGCAGTACACGGAGCTCATCAGCTTCAGATAACACGTGGCAATTCCACACACTCCTCACTTGTAAGGTAAGAATTTGAATATCACAAGAATTGCCAAGATAAGCTAGGAGCCGAAGTTGGTTTAATATTGAACTAATTCCATTTGATTTTGGCCAATTTCAACCAACTGAGGTTGCTATGTAAAAAAATATTTAATCATTTCAATACAAAATTGTTAAAATAAAAAATAAATAAAAATGATGATTAATCAATTGATAAACAATAGAAGATTTTTGAATATAAAATTATCAATGGAAAAAAAATTTTTCAATGAAATTATATTCGAAATAAAAAAGAAAAATTATTTTGGAGATTTTTTTGTTTGATATTTGAAAGATAAAAAAATGGGCTCTCAATGATGATATATATGTCTACATATTTACTCTCTACGAAGTGGAAAACCAATGATACGTGCAGACACTAAGTATATAGCAAACTAAACTGTTGAGGAGAATCTCAATAACGGTTACTCGCCACGTCTGCTCAATCTCGTTAAGTTTATATTTCACACACCTTTTTCTTCAAGTATTCATAAATTTGTACATTTTTTCGGCTCATTCAAACAATTTTAACATTCAGTTTTACTTTATTTCTTCATCTTTTCTAAAACTACTTTTATCACTTGATTTAAATTCTGTATGGATACTGTAATTAGAAGTTAATGATAGATCATTACACTTTATCTGTCAACAATCTATTCTGAATTATTTATTACATCTCTAGGATATATTAACTAATATAATAACATCTAATTCAAAAGTAATCATTATAATTATATTTTTTATATCCATTAATTTTAATAGTAATAGTTTATGTCAACAGAATCATTAAATGATGAATGAACATCAATAGAAAAAAATCAATTCGGATATATTTACTTTGGAAAAGTTTTATTTTATTGAATGTGATGCATTGAAATTGAATACATTATGTAAGAAAAATTTTTAGGATATGGAATGAATCATTTTTAAGATGAATTGAAACCTTAATCCATTTGTAGTATTTGAGGCCCATTCTGTCCTGTCACAGAAAAACCTTCTTGACACCTTTACTATAAATAACTTGATCGTTTTGACTGAAGAAGATGACATGCCATTCAACCGTCGAAAAATTTTTCCATTGACTTTTGTCAATACAATGTCACGAAATGCTGCATCACATCTTCTTGTGTGGTATTGTTATTCTGTCATTCAAAGCCAGGTTTCTTAACCCTACCGGAAATAAACAAACAGATGACAAATTTCACATCACAAACATCCAATATTAAAAAATATCAATTTTTTTTATAAATAAATAATTATTTTACAATTGTAATAATAAAGAATTTTTTATCATTTAAAATAATAGTATTAATCATTCCAATTTAATGGATGGTTTTTTATAGGTTTATTACTCTCTAAACTGCCATTTTTTTTTATCTATCGACATCACATTTTTTTATGTTATCAAAGTATTTATAACATATTTTTCTACTGGTTTCATTTCAAAAGATAAATATAAACTCGGATTAATGTAATCTTGTATTTAAAATTTTTAATAAATAAAAATAATAACTATTTTGTTGTCAATTCTGTTATCTTAATATAATACACAATTTTGATTAATGTTTTAAAAAAAGTTGTAAAAAAAAAATATTAATTTATACTTTTTGAAAATTTTCCTTCAAAATAATTGGCAAAGATAATGATACTGAAAAGAATATTATTAGACTAAAGAATATAGCACACTTGAAGTGAGAAACGAGAATGTAAGGAGAAAGATGAAAGGTATCGGAATGTATGGATATTAATCATGAATGGGGGATTCTGTCTGTTATGTGTCTGGATCGTGCAGCTAATGAGTCACGGTCTACGAAACGACGTAATTACGAGCGTGGACAGCCGTTAAAGGCTAAGCTTTTCCACTTCGATTCACGGCTACGTACATTATAAACATTAAGAATAAGATTTCAAAAGGGAACAGAAAGAAATCTCACGAGGAAAAAACTTCACAACTAAATAATTAACCTTTTTTTTAAATGTTAAATGGCTATTATTCTATCCTCATTTTAAGTTAGAGTTTCCTTTCTACGAAAAATCATTCAGTTAGTGCTAATTTAACTTTGCAAAAAAATTGTTGTAACAGTATCGAAATCTTAACGCATTCTGCTTCATTTTAATTATCTTTTTACTACTGTTAATGATTATATTATTTTAATACACTCTTGATAATAATTATATACTAATCTTAAATAACGTTGCATTGCAATAAAGACAAATGAATTTCATTCTTTGAATCTAACTCAAAAGAATAATTAAAAAAAAGAAAACGCGAAATGTATATTATAAATAACTAAAAAACAAACATATGTTTTTATGAACATTAGCATAATTTTATTTCACAGAAAATACGCGAAAATAATATGCGTAGCATTAAAATAAATATATCCGTATGCCTGCATATTACTCTGGGTCACTGTTACAAGTTGAACATTCTTAGACATATGGGTATACATTCATTCCACTAAACTTGATTGCGTTCCATCCCAGATAGCACCACACGTTTTATGAGTAAGCATTTTATAGGTATATAGGTACTCATGAGATAATATACCTGACTCTTATTATGTGCATTTATCTTCGAAATATGTGCCAGCAAACTTTTACCTCGATTTGTGCCATTTCTTTTCATATTTATTAATTATTTTTCATTTTAATAATTGAATGATTATGTATGTGATGGGTTCATGCTTGATTAAGTCTTATTAAAGTATTACCAGCTTTCATTCAGATGTAATTACCTTTAATACTACGTTATTATTTAAAACTGAAAATAAAAGGAGAAAAATTAACGCAAGTTTTTTTTTTTTATTTTATCAAATGAATGCTCAAATATTATTAGTTTTTTTTAGCCAAAATTTAATTTTGATTAAATATAAAATAGTTCTATACAGTTTTTGTAATTAAATAAAGAGAATATTTTTCTAACAGCAATTTTTTTTTGGTTTAATTAATTGGAAAATTCATCGTTGATGTATTGTTGATGTAATAATGTTTTTAAAGTTTAATTATATATTAATAATATTGATATTGGAAAGTAATTTTATTAAAATACTCTCAAAAATCAATGCATCGAACTGATGTCATATTATTAAAATAAAATTATGTATTAAATAATAAAATTTTTATTAATTATTATTTTTTATAATAACAATTATATTTTAGAACATCAATAAAAGCACAAATTGTCAGTTTGAATAAGAACATAAAAATGATAAAATTCAGAAGATTTAAGACAAGATTAAATATTTGAATGGAGTCGTTGAGATGTTGTTCTAGAAAGATTTTGAAATAAAAATATATACATGCATTTAAAGAATTTATTTCTAAAAAAATTAAATGAATAATTAATTGCTACTAAAAAAATGGCAATTAAAGTAAAATTCGAAAGTTTTATAAGTTTTCGAATAAAAATAATTTAAAGTGATTAGCACGTCACGAGCTACTTGGATCAAATATTAATCTTAATCAATGATCGTCCAGGTTTGACCTTATTACTTGGGTTCATATCTATACCATAAGTGAAATTGACGTCCGGATTTTATTCTCAATACCTCATTAACAATTCAAGCGCGAATATGAGGGAAAAAAAATTATGTAATTAGGGCGCAATTATAGTTTCGGATTGTGTGCTATTATCTCATTTGTTCACACGAATGTATTTTTCATATCGTTCTTCTTCTTTATTATTTTAATTACTCATTAGCTATTAGGATTCAATAAAAAAATTTACTACTCATTCATTATCTTTCATTTATTATTAAGTTATTAAAATAATATGCAATTATCGATTAATGTGCACTCTCATATAATTATATTTGAAAAGCAAAGAAAAATATTTGTTGTTCCTTTCAGGTTCACGCGCTGCAGCGTGAGAGGCTTCAAAACCACCAGGATGCCAGGGGTGTGGAAATTGCTACGCTTAATCATCTATATGGTATTTCATTAGTTCATTGATGTCTTGAATTAATTTTATTATTTTACTAATAATAATCATGACAATTCAATGACTTCCATTGAGTTTAAATATTTCACCATTTTTGCACACATTTGCTTTGTGTTTGTTCTATGAGTCTATGTCAAGAATTTTTATTACTTTGCCTAGCCCAAAACACACCCATTTAGCAAATTAAAGAACCGCTCGATTTTAAAATATCATCGGTAGTTAAAACATTTTTTACTTGTGCTATTTATTTTAATTAACATATTTAAATATTTTTTATAAAAAAAAATTATTGGAAAAATAATGTAGAGTTTATTACTTTAAATTAAATGATAATTTTTATTAATATGAATGATTGGTTACTTGAATATGAATAATAATTTTTTTTTTTAATTTCACGTTGCGAGGGAAAGATGGAAAATTTTATGATTGTTTCTAGAAAATAGTCACATAATCATGTAAATTAAAAATGAATTATTTTTTCTCATCAACTTCTCAACAAAGTTGCATGCACATATGTACAATTTTCTATGAAATAATCTTTTAACAGAGCAATTGTGTGTGAAATAAAAAAAAAAACATTTCCTTATAGTCTTTCTCTTTCTTGATTCTATTCCTCTTTCAAGTTCGCAGAAACTTGTTTTCACTTACGTGAAAAACGCCGACCGTTAATGCAGCGGTAAAGACGCCTCTCCCGTTACAGGATTGCACGCGTTGTTAGGAGAAAGAATATGCGCGAACAACACCTTTCCGGCTGAGACATGTCTACCCGCTATCAATTTCTTAAAACTATCTTTTCTTACTACTGCTAATTTCCTTTGTACCACATATATACTCGGATTCAAGAAATTTGTTGATGCCTATAATTCATCCATTTCCAACTAAATTAGCATCAAATTTCCTTCCAGCTAAACAATTATCCCTCCTCAACATTCTATTAACATCAAAAATACCTCCAGTATCCTTAAAAAATTTTTTTTAAGCATTAAATTACATTTTTTCACAAAAAAAAAATTTCTTTGTTTAGTAAAATTTATTCCTTACAATTTCCTTTCTTTTCGTATAGTTTATGATATAACAGACTGCGGATTCCCAGAGCATATTTAAGTATAGAAGTAGTTCAGAGGAAATTAAAAATGAGGTTGTTCTCAGCACTGATTTGCGTGTTCTTTAAGTATCATTAATGATTACTACTTAATAAAAATACAAATTATACTAATTACACGCAGTTCATGCTGTTTTTTTGAATGAAATCCTGTTTTTTTATCAATATACTTGATAATTTATGAACTAATTATTTAATTTACTTATTGATGTTACATTCATTAAAACAAATTCTCTTCATTCCATGTATCCTTAAAATTGTTCAAATTCCACAGCTGATAACAGGAACGTTGATTAATCGATTCCTCATTTATTTTATACCACATTGAAATTTTAATTTCATTCAATAATAATAATGAAAATAATATTAGTAAAATTAATTATTTGACATGAAGCTTTTATCGTGTTTTTTTTGCAAAGATCTAATCTTCATGGCCTATGTAATTTTTTTCAAGGCTCCAATTCATTTATTCGAATATGTTAGGTCAAGTGGGATGAATGTAATAGATGAGGTCAAAGTAATAGCTACCATTAATCTTCTTTCTAGTTGTTTGTATCGATTTTAAATTCTGCCCATCGTGATTTCGATAGAATGTTCTTTATGAATAAATTATTAAAAATAAAATCCTCAACATCGTTCATTCCTACTGAGTTTCTTTTATTCATCAAACTCTTCTCATACATTTTTGATTTAAAAACAAGAAAAATTTAATAACTTTTTTTATAAACAAACAAAAGTAAATTTTTACAATACTCTACCAGCTTTAAAAACTCATCATTTTTTTTGTAATCAATTTAGTTATTTACTTGACATTAAATCGACTCATTATCGTTCTTTTTAAATATTACCTTCTATTTGATAATATCCTTCTATCTCTCTTCCTCTTTTCAATTAACTCGGAAATTATCGCAATAATTTAAAAAAAATGTGTTATTAATTATGAATGTTAAGGTGACGGGGATACAAATTGCCCGGGGCAATGGTGACATTTGGCCTCTCGAAAGGCCTGAGGGTATGCCCGCCATTCAGTCTTTAGAAGTAATGTGTGGCAAAGACCACATGGATGTTCATTTGTCGTTTTCCCAGCCATTTGAAGGCATTGTGTCCTCAAAAGGGCAACACGCAGATCCAAGATGTGTATATGTTCCACCATCAACTGGTCAAACGTTTTTCTCTTTTCGAATAGCTTATGCAAGGTATAATTTCAATCACGATTCATGTTTATTTTAAATTTATGTGAATTTAAATGCCTCCAAAAAATGTGTCAATGATAAACAGAGAATAATTTGCTGTATTCTAGATGTGGCACAAAACCGGATATGCACGGACAGTTCTATGAAAACACTGTAGTGGTACAATATGATAAAGATTTACTGGAAGTGTGGGATGAAGCAAAAAGGTTGAGATGTGAGTGGTTTAATGACTATGAAAAAACAGCATCAAAACCGCCGATGGTGATAGCAGATTTAGATGTCATTCAACTTGACTTTAGAGGTAATCTACAAAAAATTTCCTGTCGTTTACAGGCAGTTATTTTATTGTAACTATGGGGCTGACGTACTACTTTGTGGTGAAATCGTAGTAACTTTGACATTTTCAACAATGCGAATTGAATAAGCATATCACTTTTAAAAATTCTCAACAACAATAGACTAAATTTCTCGAGTACTTTTTATTTTTTATTTAGTCTGGAAATTTTTTATATTAAAAATATAAATTTTTAATCATAGAAAAAACATTTTTTTTTAATAATAAATAGTCAGCATAAGTAATGAAGAAAAAAATTGCATTCGAACTCTTGATAATGATGTTTATTTTTCAATAAAAAGAATAAATAATAATTGATGCAAAAAATTTTCGTCATTATAAACTTCACAGCTTTAACAAAAAACTTTGAATAACGAGTAGTTAATATGATTTTCACAAAAAAAAATTCAATGTCTCGACACAAACTTCATTTCTATTTGTTACTGGCTCATAAATAAAATTACACAGTAGCAGTAGAAATTGAAAAAAATAAAAAATAAAACCCGCACGTGCTACTGCGGTCGACCACAGAACGTCAAGCAATTATATCCTCTTTCTTCCACTTCCATCTTTTATTTTCTCTTCATTATGTATGCCAACTTGTTCATCATGAGAATAACTGATAAACTATTCAACATTTCATGGGTTTGTGTTATTTAGGAGACAATGTCGACTGTTGGATGGAAATTCAGCATGGAAAAGGACCGTGGGCACCACCTGTTTCCGGAATTGTACCTCTAGGCTCAACATTGACATTAGTTGTAGCAATAAATGATTATAGAGGTAAAAAACAATTACATACTTCACTTCATATTTCACTTTTCATTGTTGACTTCATATGTACAAGAGAAGTTTTCTCAATGATGAGATTTTGATATTTTTTCCAGGAGAATTCGATATGAGAGTAAAATCTTGTGTAGCATCTGATGGTGGAGGTCATACAATTCAATTGAGTGACGAGCTTGGATGTGTTTTAAGACCTAAAATGATTAGCAGATTTTTAAAAGCTCGTGGAGCTGATGATCGTGCTACAGTTATAACTTACGCATTTTTTCATGCTTTTAAATTTCCGGATGCTTTGACTGTTCACATTAAATGCAAAGTAAGTCATCTCTAATAACTTTTTAACATAATGCAATTTGCGTTTTTCTTATGTAGACGCTTTCGCGGCTATTTTATCATCTATTTAGGTTGAAATATGCCGACACGGTTGCTTAGACCATTGTCAATTGAGTGGTGCAGCTGAGCATTACATTCAAGACCGCAAGGATCCTCCAGTACGGACACTTTACCCTCAAACCACGCAAACCACCAATGACCATGACGAAGACATCGCTATCTATGATGATATCATACAGAATGGTAATGAAGTGGCTACGATAGGTAGTGAGTTCATTGGCGTTGAACCATCCCTACCCAAACCACAAGCACAAACGGGTGATCGCAATCCTGTACTTGTTACTGAAGCTTCCGATGAGAATTCGGAATCTGAGATATCACATCCATTTTTGGTAATTTTTTTAAAATATTTTTTACTAAATGAAAATTCTTTAGTTGTTAACTTGGTTCATTTTTTTAAAAAAATTCTGTTAAAATTACTTTTTTTTATGGATTTTAATTATTTTTCAATTTATCAATTGGTCATAGATGAAAATGTTCTTCAATTGAATAATTGGAAAAGGAGCATTTTTTCGATAAAAATTTCATGTATTGTACCTTCTTTAATTAAACGAAAAAATATGTGTTCAATTTTGCAAGCACAGCAACGTTATGTGATGTTATTTGTAAAATTGTTTAAAAATTTCTCAATCTATTTATTGTTAGCTATTGTTTTGTTTTACAATAATTATTTTTAATATTTAAATTGAAATATGAGAATTGAATTATTACTTGAATAATGTTTATTTGTTCAACTTATTGTTCTTAATAAGAGTTTACAGATTCATTGCTCAAATTAATTTGATAATTTTTCTCAACAGGAGCCACCAAGAGTAACTCGGTATAAAAGTGCAGATCAATTTCCTCACGGTCCTCGCAATCTAGAAGAAGACAGTAAAGAAAGTCCTATTCCACCGAATCGCAATACAAGACGAAGACGTGCGGTACAAATATCTGATCGAAAAATTCGTTCTGCTGACGTCGGTGTCAGTGGAATATACGAAGTCATTTCCGAAGCAGATCTAGCCTTTAGTCCTGATACTCATGCGGAAGCAGTGACAGTTTTTCAGGGTCGGATTCGTGAAGAAGTTGTTTACGGAATTTGCCTTCCAATGCCTGGTTTTAGTGCTTTATTTATTATTGTTGCACTTTCAGCAGTGGTATCAGCATTAGTTGCTGGTGCTATGCTTCATCGATTGCAAGTTCAACGTGAAACCGCTGCAGGCAATCATAAAAATCGAGTTGCGGTTGTCGCAAATCCTAATGGATGGTTACCTTATGGTTTGCTACGAGTCAGATGCACTGATAGACTTCAACAACGTGATGACGATAGGATTCAAAAACAAGAACAAGAAAATTCTAGAGTTGATCAGTAAAATAAGAAACAAGGTTGGAACTCTTTGGTTTAATTGGTGAATGACCGTGATTTTATTTTCTTTCTCATGAATTATTTATCAATAAAAAAAAAATGCATTTTAAATATCGGTTGATTTTAATACTAGTTATTCTTTGAGTACTTTCATAAAAGTTAATTCATGATAAGAATTAAAAATTGTCATGGGAATTTAACATCACGTACCAACCAAAACTTCTAACATCTTGTAAATCATAAAATCTTAGGAACCCAATCTTCAGAATGACTTAGCCATTAAGAACAACTTATTTATTTATCTTCTTTCTTTTATTTAGTTTACTTCTGAGAGCCCTACATCACACATCTAGAAGATCCTATCATTAAATCGATTTCTTTTATTTTAAGCCTTCGTAAATTTTTGTAATGGTACTATTAAGTGTTAGTAAAGCCGTAAGAGACAATGTGCAATATGTTGTACAAAATACCATAAAATCTTAAAGTACTCCAACAATCTTGAAGAATATATCAAAACACCTAGTAGCATTAAATTTGTTGGTGCTTCTAATTATCACATAAATTATTCTTTTTATGTTTTACTCTTGTTTTTTGCTCTTTCAAATCTTGAATCTCGCAATTATAAGGGAAAAATGTTTATTGATAATTTAATTTTTCTTTCTCTCATTGATTAAATAACTAATTCTAATCTTTGAATTATTGATTATATTCACAAGATTATTATTTTCAAATATTATTTATAAAAATAATTGTATTTCTAACTAAATGTAATGTTTGATTACTAAACATTAATTAATCATGCTAAATTGAACTGTTTTAAGAAATAACAATCAAATTAAAAAATTACAAAATTATTATTTTATTGAAATATACATTTATATTAATTGTACAGTATAAGTATAAAAATGTAAACTAAAGATTTTTATAATAATAAACAAAACTTCACTTACAAAATTTATTGTAATATCAGGTATTCAAAACGTCTGAATCATACAAGCTAGGAATTTTTATTCCTAATTTGACTGTACTCATCAATTTGTTAATCATGTAAATTTTAAGTACATTTCTGATATTTATTCATTTTCCTGGCATTTCTATTTTATTATGTCAAGTTTGTTTATGGCAAACAAAAGGTACTATCGTAAAAATAATCTACAATAATTTACTATAAATGTAAAATGTAAGTTATTTGTTTTTGACCAGAAAAAAATGCTTATTATAAAGTCTATAATAATTATTTGATGTTAAATGTATATAAGCAATTGACGAATTACTAGAGCTTTGATATTTTTATTGGGTAGATATTCAGGGAATACACCACAGTTAACCTTCGAATACCAACTAATTTAAAAATTAACTATTTATCTTACAAATGGTAAACACGTATTATGGAGAATGTTGATGAGTTCTAGCTAATTAGTATTCTAAAAGTCACATAAAGAACGGTATCTAACTTATATAATTTTAATGAAAAAAGGTACTAAATTACTTATGATTCAATCTTAGCTGTAATTCTAGAGCTTTCTAATTTTTAAGTAACTGAATTTATTTATTTTTTTCTTCTATTTTCCGATGAATGAATATTGAAAGATGTTTAAAAATAAGTAGCATTTTCAATAGCATAATAAGAGGCTATTTTACATATGGTATTTTACCTCAAGGTATTTTAAAGAGTTAATAATAGTTTATTGTTGGAATGCATATGAAAATATTAATAAAATCATAAGATAAATAAATAAAATAGTTATAATAGTTCATTTTTGAGCAATTCGTCCAAGTGTTTGAAGTTTTTTAATTGAGCCAAATTTTTTCTAAACAATTAACCATCTAATATTTTAATAATATGTTAAATCTGTACATTGTTATCCAACTTGTGTTACTATAAAAATTTCTCGAATTCAATATTTCCATGTGATGTATACCCTGATCTTATCTAATGTCTATTAATATTTAGTTATTCAATTATTTAATCCTGTAATGCAAACAATAAATTCGCAAAAGTTTTTTACTGTAATGGAATATAATATTTGTAAAATTAAAAAAAATTAGGCACTTCGGGATTAAATAATTAAAAATTATTGATTATAAATCAGAAATAAATAATGTCATTATTTTATCTTGTGAAATATTAAAATTATCAATTATTTGAGATGATTACGGTAGTTTAATAAATATTTAAGAAAATGATCGTCACAGTACTTCTTCGTAACTTTCCCAAGTCAGGACCAAAGCAGAAAATTAAAAAAGTGCATCACTTCTTGCAGAAAAAAAATTGTAAGTATAGAATGAGAAAACAGGTATTTTGTATTCTTTTTTCTACTCACGCAAGACTGGAGAAATAATGAGGGTAGCTGTTTTCCTCGAAATAAGAAGAGCGACAAAGTTTTAGAAAGAAAAATTACAAAGATAGTACTGCAGTAAGGACATCTTTACATAGTTTCTAATACTTGTTAACAAAGATAAGGTTGCTAATTAGTACGTTTACTCTAACACATTTATTGCATATGATCAATTTTTCATAATCATGCTGAAGTACCTTCGGTGTTTAATAAATCAAACAAAATAAATCTAATTCATTTGTCAGAGTAATTGAAACAATTCATTTTGATTAAATTTTTTGAAATTATTTACAAACTTAATTTGGATTTATTATTTGAACTTCATTATGAAATAATCACGTGATTATTCATCTATCGAAAACAAAACTGCTATTTTTTTAATTAGTACTTTTTGATTTTATTATTTTGTGTTTTGGTTTTTTGAATTACTTTTTTATAATATTATCCATTATAATAAATTTAATATTGTAAAAAAGACTCAGTAAGTTTTAATCTAGAGTTGATTAATTTTTAAATGCTTCAAATATATATGTATAATTTTTACAGCTAAGCTATAAATTAATTAAGCATTACATTAATAATTTAATGAGAAAAATAAATAAACAATAGAATATAAAATTAATAGCCCATTTGGTCCATAATTTTGTCGGCGTAGAGGACCCAACAATAAAATTGAACGTAGCTAATTTAAATTGAGAAAGAAACTTATACATTGAATATTGTCCTGAATATTTTGTGTAATAACAGCATATTCTAATAATAACAATGATATGAATGTAAATTTTTAGTCTTCTAAAATACTATGCATGGTTTGAAGATCGTACGTGAATATTAAATTTAAACGATAAATTAAATAATATTTATTCAAGTTATTCTTTCAATAATCCACCAACCAGTAATATATTTAAAATTCTCAACTTTTTCAAGCTTAATACGAAAAAAAATTTTTTTTATATTCAAAAGCTTAAAAAAGTTAATTCTTCAAAGTAATATTTAAATAAAAAATGATTTCTCAAATTGACGAATCAACAAACCATGCACTTCCAGTTCTATAACATCAAATGATTTCCACTTGGAATATCCATCTAAATAACTTCGTAGTATACCAGCAATATTGTGAATCATATTCTCGAAGGCAGCATATAATTCACCAGTTTATAACACGATTTCCAGCAGACTCAGTAGTCTCTCTGAATCTTCTTTTCATGTGAATAAGAGCTGAAGGGTCAAGTTTATATCCTCTTTAGAACCATAGGCTTCGACATTGATATGTGTACATGTGGTTGTTGACATTTTTTCAGTCGCACATTATTTATTGAAAATCGTGCTCAATTCTCTGTACATGTCTCTACAACAGCCACCAGCGCACATCATGTAAGTTATGACGTTCATTCATGTACATACATGCATCAACATATATGCACATAAATCTATACAGCACGTTTTTTCTGGTAATCACAAATTATTATTCATTATATTTTCCATTTGTTAAAGAATGTCATAAACGTGATGTGAATTTATTTTAAATAAGATATGTCCTTCCATTACAATACAGCTGCATACAAATATATACACATTTATTCTGGATATTAATTATAACTGGTGTTCCATCAATGATACTCTTAGAATTTATCTATGAATAAAAGCATGTTTTTGATTGTTGTTTACTTTTTTGAGCATTATACGTCGCAACAATACATTTCTTTTTAGAAAATGGTCTTAAACGGATCCAGAGATACGCTGAAAGTGTACATGAGGCTAGTAGAACTGCCAGTAAGACAATTAAGGTAAGGGCAAATCCCGGGGTCGTCATACAGATTAAAGTTGATCCCGGCATACTCTCCTTCACGGGAAAGACAATTGCAGAATCAGTCGTAGTTTCTTGATTAGTTTCATCAATAGCAAAAGTTAAATCTCCAGTTGAGACAACTCTAATAATTCTATTTACTCCAACTGTTTTTAAAGGAGCTTGGCTGACCTGTCGTGACTTTCTGCGTCGTTCATCACGCGGTCTTCCAGCTCCAGCTTGAAGATATGTGTCTATAGGTAATGGTAGTGGTTGAGGAACACCGTAGCCCACATCCGGATGGTGATTCTCAAGTAAGCCAGGACCGGGATCTAATGGTCCAGATTCAGAACATTGATCAGGACAATGGTATCTGCAGATTTGAATAGTGCACTGGAAATGAACTTCCATTGAATCTGGGAATTTAAAAGCTTGGAAGTGAGCATAAGATAAAACTGACGCACTGGCTCCAAAGTTTTTGATTTTTATAAATCGAGACATGAGTTTGGGTCGTGTTATGCATCCCTTCTGATCTACTAATTGAATTGGAGCACGTTTACCGTCATGAGCAACACAATTACGTACTAACATATCAAATTTAGCATCATCATCTTTAATGGCTAAAACCATAGTCATTGTTTGTCCTATTTTTACTAACCCTGATACTTCTGATGCCCATGGACCTTTGCCTACTTGAATTTGCATCCAACAGCCGACATTATCTCCAGCAAAGTCTGCACGAACAACGTCCAACATGTCTACGGGGAAAGGTCTAAATGATACTGATTTTTCATAAAGATCATGCCAAGTGCACCGTAACTTTCTCGCTTGATCCCAGACCTCTTGAACTTGAGCGTCGTATTGAATTACAATTATGTTCTCGAAATATGTTCCCGATCCAGATTCTGCACCATAACCATAAAGACCATTTTCAGTGTTGCCAGCCGTTCCACAGGCATGAATTCCAATTTCAAAGTTCACTGAGGTTTTTCCTGATCCCGGCGATAGATGAACACAATTTGAATTGCTATAATGTCCTTTACTGAAAACTATACCGAAAAATGGTTTATCAAAGCCAAGGAACACTTTCATTGAATTTTTTTCACATTTTACATCGAGTGACACGATTTTTGGCATATCTGGAATCGATACTGGCCAAGATTCACCACCAGATCCACTACCAGTTGTAAAAATTTTGTCTAACGCTTCATTTTGTGATTGCTGTTTGTTGTTAGAAAGTAGAGGCGGAGGTCTATGGTAAGCTACATTGTGATGAGGACGATTCAGATGTGCTAAACCAACATTGCCTCGAGCAGGAGACAAAGGTAACGGGTGTCGTATACCGGGATTTTTATACTGGTTTGAGTTTTCACTATCTCCTAGTGATTCTACTGCTATTTGATCTACTACATTAGCATCAGTGTCTTGACGATTTGATGCGGAATTTTCATTTCTCGTTTCTTCTCCTGGTATTGCTTCAACTACTTCAACTTCCTCTGCTTTTGTCATCTGAAAAATCAATGATTCATCATCAGTAAACGCCATTATTGCATTAATTATATTTTTATTTAGAATGTTGTTTCTAATTTGTTTTGACAGCATGACAAGTAGAAAATGCTAGATAATAGACAAGTTTAAGTCGGAAAGAAAAGAGTTGTAAAAAGATTAAAAAAATTTATAGGACAAAAAGAGTAAATTTTCGTTTTCCCGAAAATAGGAGCAAAACTTTATTACTCTTGCCACCGATTGCAACACATTTGACCTTCGAGGATAACGGTTCCTCCACTCATTACTTGTGGATTTAACTCTCGGTCAATCGGCCAACCAACTTTACCTGCTCTTGCACTACTCCTCATATTTACTTGTAATTCGAACGTCAACGCCCCTTTCCACATATGCGCTATTCTTATCTTTTCATTATTATTAATACCCGTAATATCACTATCATCTATTATTACTATCATTATCACTTACATTATCAGCATCTCGTTAGATTTATGATAAACGAAACTTGAAAGCATTTCTTCCTGGTTTATTATCATAAATAAGTAATGCTTTTTTAGTAATAAATTGACGGAAATTACAAGTACGAAATTGTTTGAAATTTGATCTATCGAGAGAATTCTCCGAGGAATGTAAGATGGATTTCAAGGTTCCCAAGTAACATTCAATCGTCGCCTTTGGCACTAGGTCAGCTCAAAATCAAGTATAACGGTGATCGTTCTTTACTTTTTATATTCTCACTGATTCTTTACGACATTGGGGTTATAGTGTGGTACAATTATTGTATTAATTTCACCGGCACTTGTTAATATACCTTATACAGAATTTTAAAAAAATTATTCCACTTTTTTTTTATTAGAATATAATAAAATTATAACAGTTTCTTTTTTCACTTTATAACATTGAATTTCCTGATTCAATTCAGTTGAAATTTTGTCCTACAAATTGAGATTTATCTTAACATTCAGAATTTCACTACATTTCTTTATGTTAAAAAAAAATTCAAAGTATTATAAAAGATTGAATAAACGAGATATTGAATTTTTCATGGAGATATTGCTATATAGAATAACTAACATTATGGTATAATTTTTAATTTTGTACTTACCCCGCCGAGTAGGAGACAGACTAGAATAAAACTATTCAACATTCCGTTTGAAAGTTGAGATCCAATTATATTATCCTAGATCCTGCAATGAAAAATAATCATAATAAAATCTTGGCAAAATTGGTAATGGTATTTTCATGATAAATTCATGTGTTTAAACAGAAAAAATAATCTTCCTTTGAATTGTTATTAAAAATTTAACTATGTTAGGAAAACATTGATATGTTTAACATCCATACGAATAATACGACCTCCGTATCTCATTATGCCTCATTGGTATTATTTGTTATCTTCTTGTTAAAACGTTTTTTTAATAGAAATTAAATACATCATTAAATCGAGAATTAATTTTTTGTGCTAACATAAAACATGGAAATATATTAAATAATTTTTGATAATGGTAGTTGCTATTATTGTTATTATTATTATTTTGTTGATGAATAATTTAAAAATTTTATTTCATACAAATAGAGAAATAGTTAAACAAATGAACGTTTTTTGCTGAAACTAATCATCATGTTGAATAAATATAGTATAATTATAACAATAGGATTGATAATAATGACGTTAACTGTGCTTGGGAGAATATACCTGCATGAGTAGCATGTGGCCTACTGATACATAAAATCAACTTGTGTTAATCTCATGCTTTTCAAGAAGTCCGCACGTGTTCCCTTACAAGTGTTTCATTCTTATCCAAACAAACCAAAATTTATTTAATAATTGATAAAATTCAATTTTCTTAAAAAATTAATTAAATTTATCTACTCCATAACGAGTTACTGAACCAGTTTATTAGATACTTTTGTAAAGTCATCTTTAGGGTAGATTTTTTTTTGGCCTATGGCCTAAAAAATATATTAAAATAAACATCATTAAAATAGTTTAAGGTCTTAATGATAGTCATTTATTGATGGTTGGCTTGAAAAATCGGAAACGTGAAACGTGAGTGCTATTTGTTGGAGATGATGTTACTAAAAGATCTAACAATGTACACACACATACCTTAGACACTTACTTGACCCACTTAACTTTGCATTATACGAATCAGTCACTTCGTTTCTTTAAATGCTTTAAATTTCATGAGTTATGGGTTAACCGCTTTGAATAATTTATTTTATTTATGGAATAAGATCCTTAAAACTTATTTCTATCCAAACTTTATTGATGCTTTATATTTACTCTTGCTGTAACTGTTTTTGAATGTGGGTTAAATCAATAGATAACTAATTAAATTTTTAAAAAACGAATTATTAACGTTTAAACTTTAAAATTTTTTGTAAATAGGATAAAAATGTTTTTAAATTTGTTTTAACAACAATTTTAACTCTTTAAACTAAAAATTAATGTGTATTATTTCAATTTCAACCTTCTCTAATTTTCTCAATTTATCCATCTTTTAGATTAGGTCCATTTGAAGGTCTACTTATCCTGCCTAACGAGAACAAATCTGCAAAGTTACTCAAGATTTACCAACCGGGGTAACAGTAAGTAATTTTGAAGTGAAATTAACTTGGTGATGGACATTAGACACCTTTTTGTGATTACTAAGTGAGTGAACTTTTGAATTTATCTTTCTCCAATGTTCATATCCTCACCATCTTTTTTTTCAATGATTAAATATTCAATTTTATTATCATCTTTTCGACGTCCTCTATTTAACAGAAAACAATAGAAGGATTACGTCAAGTTCATTATTGATTAGAGTAAATTCCTTTCAATAAATCCCTAGAAAATTGAGGTTTAGTCGAACCAATTCACATCTTCAAATGGCTTACATTTGTCCTGGAAACAATAGTTATCGATTGATCAGTCTCCTGTTTACTTGTTACATTGAGTTTATTTAATGGAATAATTTTTTTTTCAGTCTTTAAATTCATTTCATTTTCTTACTGCTAACATTTTTATTACATGCCAACTATTCAACTCCAACTTTAAATTCTCACAATTAATAAAATAGCTTTACACCCATAAAAATCAAGAAAAAACTCTACCAACTATGAGCAAGATTTTATATTAGATCATTCATATAATCATCATTAGTTCCTTTGTATAAATAAGATTTGCTTCTCTTTAAACTTCTTTGGATATCCTTATACAAGAATTGGACACGCGGGAATGGAATGAGATCTTTGCCAAATACACATAACGGGTTTTATTGGCGTTCGGAGCAATTTAAACGTTTTTTTTTCTATTATTATTCTGATGGCAATATTTGTATAAAAACTTAGTACATACAAAATAATCAATGTGAATAGCTCGGAAACTAAATAATTCAATATTCAAACCCCTTTTGTACGGATTTAAAAAAAGGACACGTTTTTATTCAATCATTATTGAAATACAAGTTTTGTTTTATATACCAAATAATACAAATTGATTTATATCGATTTTGCTATCGAATATTGATAATTCTGCGATTCATATATTACTATTAAAAATACAATAGCTATTAAAAATAGAGTTGATATTCGATGTTTATCTACGAGAACTTACATGTTAGATAATGCATGCAAATTCTAATTTTTTAATAATTAACTACTTTTTTGTTAATTTGCTGTTATTAGAGTAATAAATATTTTATGAGATCCATAGAAAGATTTTTTTTTCCAATTCAATAATAATTACCATTATAATGATAATAATGATTATAAAACGTTTGATTAAGTGTGTAAAGAAATGGTAATAGGGAATGCTTCATTAATTTCCATAATGAATGATAAATGGATCTTAAAACTTAATGAAGTGATAATTAGGTAAATAGATAAATTAACTTACCTGGATAAATGAAAACAATTGATTAGAATGAAAATTCCACCTTCACTGTCACCCCAATCACTATCACAAGTCTATAATTATATGAACCACTGATGGAAGAGTGTCGAAGAGTCAAATGAGCTCAAGGCCACCGCAAGCACGTTGGAGTAGCCTGACTGAGACGGTAGTGGATTGGGATATGATGCGTGTACGCGGTAACTCTTCGAGTCAGAATGGGATACACCTGTCTGATATACAGAGTATACTATAACGTCGCGCGTCCCGCCCCCTGACCCAGACACGACAGTACAGTTATATAGGTCTCCCTCGTCTTCAACACCCGACAACTATATACCAATACTACACCATCACCATCATCCACTACATGGCTTTACTCAAAACAGACCAAGCCATAGTTACATAGCATCCCCCATACCATGTCATTCTGGACCAATCCCCACCACCTATACGTCACCTTAACCTCATCGTTTTTCTCGACCTTTACAGTTTGGCACCGTTGTCTCATTCTCCAAGACCACTTCCTAATCGTACATACTCTGTTCCTCATCAGTACTCCCTTCCTGTTTTACTCCTTATTCATTCACTCCTTTTACCACTACACATCTTGCTACTGTGTATTCCTTCATACACCTGTGGATGTGGTACAAGCAAACTTGACACCATTCAAGGTCTAAAGAGGGGTCATTTAATTCTTTATTAAAACGCGCTCATTTTTTTATTAAAAAATTTTTTTTTTATAGGAATTGCAAAAAATGGTCTAGAGAGAACTGTTTTGATAATTGGTGATATAATAATTACTGTAATTAAATAAGCTGGTTTAATAAAAAAGATTACATAAAATTATTTAAAATATTAAGTAGACCAGTTTTGGAGCAATAATTGGCAAAAAAACAAGCAATTAAATTTTATGAAAAGAAATATTTAGTAACAATATAAAAAAATGGTTATTATTTAATTAAATATTGATCTAAATATTTCAACGGTGATTTTAAATACGATGAAATAAAAAAAAACTCTTTAATAATAAATAATACATTGTAGTAAAAAATGATAAAATAAACAAACGAGTTAGCGCTTAATAAGTTTATTAATTTTTTAATTTGAGTTTTTATTATATATATCGATTGTATATCTATAAAAAAATAAAGTTGATTCATAAAAATCATGAACAATTAGTCTCCTAGATTTTTGGAGCATGCTCCAAAAATATCCAAAAATGTTTTTCAATGAAAAAATTATTTATAAATAATTTAGAGTCTAAAAGTGATGTAATAGTTGATCCTTCTATTAAATGTCTCTTATTTTGCAGAAGTTTTTTTCTATAAAATAAACGAAACTATAAATCATTTATTTATAAGCTTAATTTTCTCATAAATTTCTTATTTAAATAAATTACTTCTTAAATGTCTTCGTAATTTCTCAAGAGCGTAATTTTTCATGCAAGACGAAAGCACCATAAACTGTAAAATAGATTTAAAATGTTTCACTGATTATTTATTAAAATTTCAAGTATATCGTCAAATTGGGTGAGATTAAGAAACTTTCTGCTCACGTTTTCATCAGTAAATGGATTTTAAGATGGTCAATGGACATTTTATCGATGTAGCGGGACAGTAAGAGAGAGCTTGTTCCAAATATCGAATAATCGACATGGGTTACATTCCATCATTTAGAGTCGATATTAATCTTCGCATACGCCTAAATATTTAAACCTTTCATTCCTTTTTTTTCTGCAGATCATTCCAGGAAAATAATCCAAGTAAAATAATGGTAAATACCAATAAAAAAATATCAAATAATGAAATGAAATTTATATTATGTAGTAAACGTTTAACAAATCGACCGACTGACCGACCGACCGCCGCCGCTGTGACATCGTCATACGTGGTCATACGTGCTGCATGCGATGCGACTGACCTACACCTAGATAAATGAAGACACGCTTGCGCACCAATAAGACAGTATAGTACCAGGGAGTGAGAGAAACATGAATACTGAATGCAATTTAGTGGACAGACAACAGAGAAAGAGAATGAAGATGAGATGTAAGCGTGAGTATGAACCTAATTGCATATAATGTATGCAACAGTGTGTTCACGTCTTTTACAATACAACTTCAATGTAGAAGAATAGCAATGTCATGATTTTTATTTTTAACTTGTAAAAAATAAATACTAGATGTCTACTTAACAGAAAATAAAATACCATGATATCTACCAGAGCTAAACCTATTAACAATAATTAAAAATTTTTTTAAATACCTCTGATACATTTTTTTAATTGTTATTTTTTAAATAAGTCAATTTTGTTAATTGCGGCTGATAATCATCTTCACGCATTTAATAGATATAATAAATGAATGCATTCTTCTAAGGAGCAAGAAAAAAAAAATATATAAGAAAGTTGTTTCCCTTGAAATTTTTCGAAAACTCTATTGTATTTTAGAAATTAAGGGGCGGATACCAGTACTATAAACATCCTGACTAAAGTTGCTGTCTTGTACTGTGGTTATTTTTTCTATATAAGCAGATGCAGCAGTTTAGTTTGAGACGGCACCTGATTGATACTCCCTTAATCTTGGTAAACCTTTTAAAGATGATGAGATTTCTTTTAAGAATTGCGGAGGATATACCTGACGGATATCCCGTGAGAATTTCAAACTTACAGGACTTGAGAGTGATGGAATTATTCTTTGGTTATTATCAAAAAAGTATTAATCATTCATTTTTGATGTACCTATCATATTATCTATTATCCAGTTCAAATAAATGATCATTTTTCGGATTTTATAGTTATTAAAAATCTCATTAATTTTATTAGGATTTTTGAAAATAAAATCAATATTTTACTGAATTTACGAAAATTAATGAGATTTCTTTTCAATATATTGTGAATCGTAGAATGTTTGTGTACATTTTTCAATACAATTTTCGGAACTAAAAGGACATGATAAATTATGTCTATTGATGGCATATCAACATTCACTCACATTTTAAAAGTTAAAACTTTTTTAATGTCTAGTGAATAACATTTACTTGCTTTACATCGAATTTATATACATTAAAATTTTTATGTATTGCATTAATTTTTTAAAAATAATTTTTTTCTGTGAAAACAAAATAAATGAAATATTTAAAAAATATGTGACAGTGTTAATTATTTATAATTGTTTTCTTTTTTGTTCAATAAATATTATGATTATTATTTATAAATTTTCTCAAATAAAATAAAAACTAAAAAAACGGCATTTCAGTAATTAATCAGTTAATTTTCATCTTATTATTTATTATTCTCATGATCTAAGTCATCATATCATTTTATCTTATTTGTCAATCTAAGATATTCTTTAAATCTAGTACCTGCCACTTGTATCATAACGAATCATACAATGTATAATAAACATTTATTTAATGACACTAAATATATATGTACAATTAACATTCACACTTTTTTTTAATATATTGTTGCACATTTCATTTAATTCATGATTAAAAAAATGGTTGATTAACAATTAAAAAGTGACTTTGTTGTTTAATTAATTTCTTTACTATTGTATTAATTGCAAAAAAGTGTTAACTATATCATTTTTAATCATATTTTCATTGTGTTTAAATTTCTTCAACACGTTCCATCTGTGATTTAAAAAAATAAATAAATCATTTGAAATAAAATCAGCAGCCAAAGTGTGCATTTTTTTATATGCATATTTTAAAACTTGAAAAATATATATAATTTTACACAAGTGCTGAAGCAGGTAGAGAACTATGCTTTGGTTTAGTTTTATTAAGAAACACTTTGATGCATCCGTTGAAATCAGCGCTAACTAAAACATGTCCACCGCATCCCTTTGTCCTTTGTTCTACGACAGGATCAACAGGATTAGCTGTTGCTTTCGAGTCATTTTTATTGTCCTCTCGTCCTTCCCACTGTTCTCGCGCTTCAATTTGCCGAATTATACTATCAGGATTTGGCGCAAAAACAGCACAAGTAACAACTGCATTATGAGCCTTAATACCTTCCCAAAAATCATTACGATCTCGTCGAACACTTGAAAACTTTGAATAATCATGATGAGTCTTCCAAATGTAAATACATTGATTTTCCGATCCCGCCACAATGTATTGTCCGTCTGGGCTAAAGCTTGCTTTGATTTGACTGCTAACATTAACGTATCCTTTATACTTACAGGATAGATTCAAATCTCTCAAGTCATATAACCGAATCCGCGAGTCATTAGAAGTAACTAAAATTTTATCTTCACCTGGCATCGGTTCAATACCACTAATCTTTCTTCCTCGAGAATTTTTTCCTCTCGTCGATCTAACATCTATTTGAGTATGATATTTCAACTGATCGGTATTATAAAATATACAACGACCATCGTACGATCCAACAACAGCAAATTTACCGTTTTGACAAAAATTAGCAGCTGTTATTAACTTAGTCTGCCCATCAACTTCATTCCAAACTGCTACTTTCTTATCTGGAATGTTCCAGAGCCGTAATTTACCATCGAGAGATCCAGATAAAAAATACCTGTCATCACGCGGATGGAAAACAATCGCAGTTACAAAGTCAATATGTTGAAAACAGCATAAACACTCTTTGCGCGAAATGTGCCACAATCTGACGGTTTTATCCATTGATGATGACAATACAAAGTAATTTTTAGACCATGATACATCTAGGAGATCTGACGTATGACCGGTATATGTACAGAAAGGTTTAGGCATAAAAGGACTTTTAGTTCCTTCAATCTCGCTTAATGCACAAGCGATGACATTAGGATCCTCCATTGACTGTTGTGAGACTAGAGATTCTTGTGATGGAGTCGGGCTTACCTTTTCTGCATTATACTTGGTTCGCATATCTTGAAAATACGTAAAAGCATCTCGTAACACCCAGATTCTTAAAACACGATCTTGTCCAGCAGTTGCTAGTAGTCGTCCGCATGCTGAAAATTTCATACACCAAACCGGACCCACGTGTTCACCACTAAGATCTTGAACATGTTGAAGACACGAAAATTCATAAGGTCCTTTGTGACTATTTGACGCTTTTAGTTTTATAAATTGTGGTTCTCCAGGATAAACATCGTCAACTATATCCATCACATCTTCTTTATGCCGAGCATGAGATACTTCTTGTGCTATAGATTTAGCTTTGTCCATTGTTTTTTTTACAGTTGAGCCCAAAAAGCGTTTTAATTTTTGAGTTTTTTTGCGTACACGACCTACTGGTACATCCTCACCAGGTGGAATTGACGACATTTTGCTATCTACACTCTCTTCGTCACTTTCTTTTTCTTTTTCAAGACTGGAATTACTCACGTATTCAGATGTTAATCGCATTATGTGTAAGGACAAAGGGTTCATACATTGTGGAAGTTTGTCTTCAGCAATACTTAATGGAACACGCTCTCCAGTATCCAAATTTAATACTGTTACTTGTTCTAATATTTCCTGAAACAAGTAATGCATGTCATGTAAATAATCTTATTATGAAATAATTAACAATAATTTTGTTACATTAACTTAACTTGGTTAAATAAACCATAACTAACTAGAATTACAATACACAATAAGAGCTATCATGTAATTTGTATAAACTTTGGATAATTTCAAACAAGTAATAACGGGAATGTTTTAATTTTAGAAAAAATATCGAATGGAAAAAATTCGAATTTGTGTATAACATGATTTAACATAAAATATTTACCATATCAGTAAGCCGTTTGCCTGAATCTGTCCTTGTCCTCACAAACATATTAAGCTGTTTCACCATATCTTGATCTCCTGCGGATTTACGTCTTTCACGAGATCCACAATTATTAGCAACTATCCTGTTTTGCCCAAGAGAATATCGTCCAATACTGTTACTCGATATAGAACCCATCGGGCTATTTGATTTATCACTTGACTGTAAGCTCAACAGTTCAGCTTTCATTTTTTCTAATCGTTCCAGTTCCTCTTTTGATGGACCTTCAGCTTTTGATTTATCCTCATCCTTAAAAATTATCAAGAAAAAAACTTTATTCATTGTTAATAGAAAAAAATAAAAACAACTAAAAAAAATACAATTAATACTACTTTTTACTGCAGCTGAAATTAGCAGCATTTTTTAAATGTCTATAAACAAATCAACCGCATGGATTGCTAATAAATGGAATGTACATGAAGAGAACATGTAACAAGAGAGGATGAATTTTGAATAAAAAAAACCACTTAAAGGCAATACGATGAACAATAGCTTGATAACTTTAATACGCTTTTAAAATCGACAGGCAATTTTTAACAACCACTTTTTAAAAACACTGACCCGATATTGATGGGTATAAAATCCTCTCATAGTGTTATACAACTCGAAGTGAACTGGAATTTTATTATTCCTTAGGTAAAGCACGAGATTACTTGAAGAACTTGCCTGAGGCTTTACGACGTATTGACCTTTGGTTGCTGACCTTATGTCCAATGAATGTTCAAATTCACGCGTTATTGACTCTATTGTACTTGCTGGACTCGGCAGTGATGATGATGCAAGTACAAGCCCGTCTTCATTCGGAGGCTAAAAAAAATATTTAATTTGCTTTATTTGCTTAATAAAGTTCTCTTTCTATCTTTCATTTTCTATAAGCATAATACTCACAGCAAGATCAGTTGGTGTATGAGCTTTACACTTTTTCTTTTTTCTTGGTGGAGCAACGGGTACAGAATCCTGATGATTGCTATCTACAATTTTTCCATTAGTTTTTGTGCTAGCTATAACGTCTGGCTCTTGAAGAACAACACTAGATTCGCACTGTGATGGTAATCTATTTCTATCATCAACTGGACTATCTTGAACTAGATCTCCAGATAATGTGAGTATACTAGACGACTGTGAAATTCTCTCTGACTTTGTATCTTCATCTTTATTAGGAATATTTCCTACAAATGACATTTGAGTATCGCGTGATAATGAGAGTGGACACGAAACGCCAGGTATTACTATGTTAGATGTAGTATCGGATCCTCCAGCTAATATTCTTCCAACTCGACCCAATGACGTCATACTTTGAAGGCTAAGAGTATCATGCTCAATTATACGGAATGGATGTGATGTTTTTGATGGCGTAGGATATACTCCTTCAATCGATGATGTCTGACTATCAGGTGGTGAATTATTAACTGGAATATCATCATCTTCTGTTTGCATCCTTTGTCGGAGCTCACGGAATCTCCGTCGTCCAACAATCTTATCAGATGATGATAGTATTTTAACATCATTTTCATATTTCTCTACATGACCACTTGTTTTTTTGTCTTCTGATGAGTTACTAGTTACCACAAGCGGTTTTGGGTCTGGGGGCTTTACAAAAACGTCAGATTCATCTGGTAAACTAATTGACGTTAGTGACTTTTCATATTTGTTAGAATCTCCAGATATGGATTCTCTTGGTTTACTTTTTCTGAAATGAAAAAACTTATTATTATATGATATATAATTACCAACCCATAATTAATACAATTGATGAGTAAAAAATGATTCAAAATATTTGTTGATTATCATTTCAGAGTTCATTATCATTTGAGTATTCAAATATGTCATTTCGATAGTTATCACTCATATAACGTAGGTATGAATAAAATTATAACGAATGTTGAAGTATTTACCTTGAACTCCGATGAAAACTGTCATCTTCAGCATCAAAAAACTCCTCAGAATCAGTGCTATCTCCTGACATTTCACACTTTTATTGTTGAATATTGCCACCAAATTTTCGACTAACATCGATACTACCACTAATTGCACGCAGTGTTCACTGTACAAAACATAAATTATATTCCATTTAACTTTAAATTTTAAAAAAATATTCTAGCCTTACGTCTTTAAAGACAGCTGAATGGTCTTGGCATATAGGAACTAATTCTCAACTGCATATATAATACATATATGTATACACAACCAATTGCATATTTCTATTTTTGCGATTAGTATTGTAAGGAAATGTATTGCAGAGTCACATTCATGAAATATTTTAGTTCTCGAATGTTGAATAATCGAGATGTCAGGAGAGTTTTCGGTTACAAAAGAATAAACCAATAGAATTGCAGTTTACTTCTAGAACCATTTTTCATTAGTAGAAGGTAAAGAAGATTTCTTAGTCCCTCGTGTGCTCTCGTAAGCGATAGAGCCACTGAGAGCCACGGACTGTCATACATAAGCAAGATGGAGGATCTCGCAGTCGAAGTATGCGGCGAAAACGGAGCATATTATAAGGTTTATTATGTGATAAGTATACGTAAATTAGTCATAATAATAATTACAAAAGATTCATTAAGCTTTAGTTATTATTACTTATATTTATCCATGCTTTAAGAGCTTATACTTTCGAAACAACAAACCCCTTTTATATTGCATTCCTGGTATACAACGCGCGGCTTCTACGACGCCATGACTCCCCATTTTGACAGGGCGTGATTTTTTTCTTTAAATATTTTTAGCTACACTATTTATTCCTTTATTGTTACTTCTATTTCTACAGCTTAAATTAAATATTACTTTTATGTACTGAAAATATTTTCGTTATAAAAAATAGAAAAAAACTTTTACTTTCGTTGCTTTTTCAGACATTTTTCAAATTAATTTTTTACTATCAATCATTTTTATTTTCCAGGCCTACGTAACGGATATATTTGATAATGAAGTCTTGGTGGCATTTGATAATGAGTAAGAATCATTTGAATAATATTGCAATTGTTTTATGGATTAAAACATAAACAGATTTTGTTCTTTGTCCTAAACGAAACGTGACATTTTTTTTTCTTCATTTTTAGTTGGCAGCCGGAATCAAAGTTTCCTTTTGCTCAAGTTCGTTTACCGATGAAAGATGGACCAAAACCAGACTATCAAGAAGGTCAAGAGATTGAGGTCTATTCACGTGCAAATGATCAGGAAGCTTGTGGTTGGTGGAGAGCGATCATTAAGGTAATTTTTTAAATAAATAATTATGACTTATATAAATAATAAATAACCAACGTCATTCATTTGTTATCAAGTTTTTAAATTTTATATCATTGGCGCTAATAATTATTATTATCTTTGTTACAGATGATTAAAGGAGGATTTCAAGTAGTAGAATACCTAGGATGGGAATATTCTTATACAGAAATAGTTGGCGCAGAGCGTATTAGAATGAAAAATACAAATCCACCAATCGACAAGAATACTTTCCACAAAATTGAAATCGATGTACCTGAAGAACTAAGAGAATTGTAAATTTACATTTTTATTAATATGAACTTTATTCTTCTAAATTAAAAAATTAATTCAATATTAATCATAAAATATAAATTTGTGTTATAATCATTTTTATTTTCTTTATAGCGCTAAAATGGACAATGTACACAAACAATTTCAACAAGCGATAGGGGCAGCAATTTGTCGATACGTTCCGGAAAGAGGAGTTCTTTTAGCTATTTCTCGTAATGAAAGTATCCGCCGACATAGTACGATGATACAAGAAATGCACTTTCGTAACCTTTCACAAAAGGTGATATATAAATTTTTCGTCTAATTATTCCCATTTATAAATCAACTTGTTCCATTTTGCTCATTTATTTTCTTTTTTTAAAGGTTTTGTTACTTAAGAGAACAGAAGAAGCAGCTCGTCAACTAGAATCGACAAAATTACAAACCGTTGGCGGGTAAGTTACCCCTTTTATTTTTTGCAATAACTTTTTTATCATATTTAAATGACATATTTCAATTTTTTTAATTTAACAATTTTTTAATCTTTTCTATTTTGAATTTATTATTAATAATTGTTTTAACAATTGTCTTGATATTTTTTTAATAGTTTTATTAATTTTTCTTAAATTATGTACATAGGAATGTTCGTGAAAATATCGAAAAAATAAATAAACACATCCTATTTGCTAATGTATAAATATGTAGCTTTCATTAGAGGACATTTTGTCTGTTTTCTCGTTTCAGCAAATTTCGATGTGTCTCAGAGTTTGAGGCAGGAGCAAGAGCTAATTCAAGGTATTAGATATATAAAATACATATTAAATTGTAATGTCTTATTTCAAACTTGTACTGATTTATTTTTAATTTCTTAAAAATAATTTTCATGATTCTTATAATTTTAAAACGAAAATATTCAATCAAAATTAGATATACACACAACTTCTTTGTGTGTGCATGACGATTTTATTTTGTTTATTTTCGGTAACAATTATGTTAAAAAAAAAGACTCTTGGCCTGCCCATATCGAGATACACTTATCAATTCATCGAACATAAAATCATTGAATTAGAAATAAAAAAACGCTAAAACTTGAAATTTACAATAAAAAATTCTAGTTATAGAAAATCATTGGATATAATAATTTAGAATATTCTTATAATAATAACACTTTTATGCATGTTTTTATATTGCACGTTTTAATCAATATGAAACATTGAATTTTTTTTTTTTTAATCTGTAATAAATTGTTTTTTTTATTACCCGCATATGTTCCTCTAGTGAAACTACTGATAAGTTATGGCTTAATTTAGTAAAAAATCTATGTTGATATAATTTTTTCAATATGTTATTTAATAACACATATGCTATCAACTCGAATCACGTCAAAGTGTCTTAAATAAGTATTTTCATTCAAATCATTTTAACTTATAACTATTTCTTTCTTCGTGCAGATATTCAGATGAATTCAGTGTTCGAGAAGATCTAATGGGTCTAGCTATCGGCGCACACGGAGCTAACATCCAACAGGCACGAAAAGTTGAAGGAATTACTAACATTGAGTTAGAAGAAAATTCGTGTACATTTAAAATCTACGGAGAGGTAAAGACAATCACTGAAAATAATTATATTATCAGAATTTGAGTAAAAATAAAAATTGAATTTTTCCTTTTTCTACAGACCCATGAAGCAGTGAAAAAGGCTCGATCGATATTAGAATATAGTGAAGAATCAATACAAGTTCCTCGAGTTCTTGTAGGAAAAGTAATCGGAAAAAATGGACGTATAATTCAAGAAATAGTTGATAAAAGTGGTGTTGTAAGTATTTTTTTTATTAAAAAAAAGCAAAATTTAATTTTATTGAAAAAAAAGAATAGAGGACTTGTAGGTTTTATTCTTAAAAAAAGAAAAGATATTATTTTTTCATGGGGATTTTTTTTATTATATGACATATAGTTCATTGTTTGTTCTCGGTAGATAACATCTGGCTCGAGTGGGAATATACATACTGATAGAGTAAGTATAAGCTTTAATGTATGTGAATTTATTTCATCTAAATCATCAAAACAATATAATAATTATTATTATCCTTTCCCAGAAAATCTATTTGATATGTTTTAATTTGATAAAATGGTAGATAAACCACTCGGGCCAGCCTTTGATAAAATTTCATACCCTATTTTTGTTTTATTTCATTATCATTAGTATTCACATTAATAACTGCAAAAGATCGATAAAAAAAATTAACGATCTATACATTTTTTTCACAATAGAATTAATGGGTGGTAAGAATAATTTTTGTTCAAACTCATCAACTCATGACTACTTTTTTAAACATTAGAGCACGCATAAACTAAAGGCAAACAAAACAACTGAAATATCAATTAAATATTAAATGTTAAATAAAATTATTTCTAGGTACGAGTAAAAATTGAAGGAGACAATGAACCGGAGCCAACAATTCCTCGAGAAGAAGGACAAGTTCCTTTTGTTTTCGTTGGTACTGTTGAAAGTATCGCAAATGCTAAAGTACTGCTGGAATATCATTTAGCACACCTTAAAGTAAGTTATCATCAAAAACAATTATAAATATTTAACTGAATAATGATTATTTAAAATATATTTTAATAAAATATTTGTATTATTTGTTAATAGGAGGTTGAACAGCTAAGACAAGAAAAATTAGAAATTGATCAACAATTAAGGAGTATGCATGGTTCAACGACTGGCCCAATGCCCAGTTTTCCACCAACAAGGCGCGGGGTTTCGTCTAATCTAGAAGAAGGTGGAGGAGGACGTGGAGGTCGAGGTGGACAATCACGTGGAGGACGTGGTCGTGGACGTGCCACAACTCGTCATAGTACAGGTATTATTATTAAAATAAAATATTAGTTAATAACTGTTACACTTTTTCACTATTAATAAAATTTAATTGAACAGTGAATTCTCGTTATACGTTAGGTTCACGCAGAGACAATGCGGACGGTCGTGATGAAGATCGTATAAGAGACTTACCACCACGCGGAGGTCATCAGAGTCATCAAGGAGGTCACCAAGGCGGTAATAATTCTGGGTACATGAGTGGAAGACAAATGCGACCACCAGTGCCTAGACGTGATCGAAGAGACGATAGACGTCGTACAACAGATGATGAAGAAACCGTTCTGGATAGCCAAGATGTATCCAGTGTTGACAGAGGTAAATTATAGCATTTGCATCAACTCATTTTTTCATATAACAATTTTTAATTACTTTCTGTTTTGTATGCTTGAATGTTATCTTAAGCTTTATTAAAAATCTACTAAATATCATCTTACGAACTGATCTATCTTTGTTTTTTCTTTTGATTTTTTTCCGGAAATAACTTGTTTTGTTAGTGTGTAATGTCAATATTATTTAGACAAACTATTGTGACCATCTAACAAATAATATTTCGGAATGTTGATTTTTTAATTCATTAATAAAATAAACTGCACAATGCACGCTTCACTAACCATCTGATTTTAAGCAATTATATGCAAATTGTTAAAGTATAAAAAATGATGTCATAAGATGGTCACAAATGTTTGTTATCCGTGCGTAGAATCGGTATCGAGTGCCGAAGGCAAGTCTAGAGGAAACAGAAGGAGGCAAATACGTTCAAAACGACGAAGTGCTACACCCGATAGCAGTATTAGAGGTAAAGAGGTGTCTATTTGAGCGAACGAGATTTTCTGTACGAATTAGATTACACTGAGTAAAATTTACGAATGTTTAGAAAAAGAAATTTTCTGATAAATATAATGATGAATGTTTATATTTCTTATAATTAAATAATTATTTTGATTAATTTAGGTGGAAATTCATGTACAGGTGAACAATCTTCAGCAGGAAGTAAAGAAGGAACGCCATCAAATGACATAATTGTGTCAAACAGCAGTGGACAACAAGGTGGGCCAAAAGGCCAACGTGATCGTCGAAACACTCACTGGCGAGCGCCTTCGAATAATAAACCTAAAGAGACTCTGGTAAATGGCACCAGTGGCTAGAATAAATATCTTGAACATAACGTAAACTCGAATTAAAATTGAAAGAAAAAAAAGTTGACGTAAGTGAAAGATATTTTACAACTGAGAAACATTTATATTACCTTCGATTTTGAAAACAAAATATTATTGAATAAAGAAATAATCATAAGCTTATGAACAGCTAAGCTTTCTATCTAACATAATTATGACACATTAACCAATTTATTAAAGACTCATGAAATTTTGAAGTGCGTTGTCTTAATAATTTAAAAAACTTCATTATTCTAATGTAATAATGAAAAGAAAAATTTAGTTATCTACTAATTGTTTGTTTAAGACTGCTATGAATTATTCAAAGTAACAATGACATTTTTTTTTTGCTAATTATTATTAATTTTATAGTTCTTTCTTTACCGGTTCTGTTAAACAATTGGAATGTAGATAATTTAAATAAAAATACACGATATTATTATACAGGAAGTGTATATTATAAACAAATTTATCAGATAACTCGTATTATTGTCATTATGTTGCATGGTTCGTTTAAATGCAAAAAAATAAATGATAAAAATTTTTCCGAATGGATATAATAAATTACTTAGTAATTTGTAATTATCAACAATAATAAGTAATTCATGTAATCTCGTGATGGATACACTATTGGAACGTTTTTTTTTTAATAAAAATAACGAAAACTGTAAAAAAAACAATAAAATCATAAGAAACGAAAAAAATAAATCAACAACTTTTTTCGCAAATAAAGGAATAATTACGATATGTATACACTATTACAAAATAACGTGAAAATAGTGATAATAGATCCTGCTTACCCGGATTGTGAAACTGTGCCTCATGTTTTGTGTAAAAAAAAGGATAGGAGAAGCTAAACAAAAAAAGAAAAATTTTATAATCAATCAATTCATTATTATAAGCAAAAATTTGAACGATAATAGCAGTTGGTTGACCATAAATTTGAATAATTATTTTGAACAATACGTAAAGCCATCTTACTACTATAACTACCCAACGATGTTTTTTTTCTTTCTATTGTGTTGTTATTACTATTACTATTAGTATTATTACAATTATTTGGTTTTTTTAGTATTTTGATTATTAAAACGTACATTAAGCTGATTTGTGTTGAAAAATTTCTCGTTAGGTTCCATTTTTTTATTTTTATTAATTATTCGAAAATAAGTTTAAATGTTCATTATAAGCAGATAATGTTTTAACGTCATCATTCAGAATAAATATGAAAACAACCAAATTTATTTAAGTAAATCGAAATTAATTATTTAATTAAACTAATTAGAGAAAATGAACGAAAAAAAAATAATAAATTCATGTTTTGAAAATATCTTAACTGGAGAAAATACTGACTTAGAGTATTACCTTTATTGCTATATACAAATACTTAGTCACAGCGAAAAAAAAAGCAAAAAAAAAAACAAAAAAAAGTTACATATTAAACAAGAAAGTTATCATTAAATACTGATTGAAAAAAACAGGCTTGATAATGTAAACATTACAATAAACGTAAAAATTGATGTCATGAGCGTAAAATAACTTAGCAAAATCAGTATACTAAGCGGTACAATGAAGGGTAATGGTTTTTAAACATGGAAATTATAACGGATAGTGAAATTTATCAATAATTTTAAATTGTTATTATTTATTTATAAAATAATGATTAACCATCATAATGATGATGTTATATACAGTTTAAAATTATTGACTCAAGATTTGTAATGCACCATTATCTTCCAGAAATGACAAATTCTATCGGATGTGTCCTCAATAAAATGAAGGAAATCAATGATATAATTAATCATAACAATAAAGGGAATGACAGTATGAGGTTTTACATATATTTTTATGCATATACATTAGCATATATGCATACGCATGTATGTAAAACATCCCTTATGAAGAAATAAGCTAATGATGGTCCATTATCGACAATTACATACTGTTGCTACTACTACTACTATACTACTACTTTACTACTACTATATTACTACTACCTAGTACTTTTACCATTTTCACCACTTAAAAAACAAGAATAAGGAAAAAAATGTATTTTGACATCTCGAGGGAAATAAAAGAATCATCAAATATCAAATATTGTCAATAAAAACTACATTAGCTGCCGATGACACGTAATTATATAAATAATATTTATATTAAAAACAAAATAATCGTGACGCGCAGTTATTTAATATGACAAATACTTGGAATAAAATTTAAAAAATACTACTGAGATATCCCCCAACTTGCTTGTTTTCAGATACATTTGTATTGATTGCAATTGTGCGTAATAAGAAATAAAACATTTCTGTACATAGATTGTTTATTCTTGTTGTCTAAATTATAAGGACATTTTTTTCATGTACCTCAATGATCATTTTATTTCAGATAAATATATTTAAGATATTTATTCATATGATAAATGCATTATTATTACATAAATGTTTATGTAATATTCATTGTGTTCATTATAGATCTAGAATTTATAGAAAATAATACTAGACTGTTAAATTTTAGAGAAATATTAATCGAAAAAACTAGAATAGGTATAGATATCTATTAAATCTACCTATTTAATGTAATTTAATATTCTCTATTAATATTAATAATTTTCAATAATAATTATGCAGTCTCGTAAATTATTCTTACAAAAATTATATTTTTTTACATTCAGATATTTTAATTACAATTTTTAAAATATTTGATAATAATATACCAAATAATCATGAGTAAATTCAAAATTTTAATTCATAAAAATATATAATTCTATGTATTTATTAATTGAATAAAATTACAATACAACAGTAAGTATTCATACAAATTATGTATAGAGTATTAGTATAATTATAAAATCCAATGGAAAATATTTATTTACTGAAAAAATAAAATTTACACTCGAAATGCAATACTCATCTTTTGATAACTATTCTAATTTACTCTTTACACTGTTAAGTTTTGAGAGTATGTTTATGTACAATGATGAAGTGAAGATTATAGAATATATTACAGGGAATAAAAATACAAAATGATATAATTAATAAATTAATTAACGGAAATTGCTGGGCCAAGTTGACGCATTAATTCATAGCATTCTTGTAATTTTTTTCGGTCACCAATTTTTTCAAGAGTTTTAGCAGCTTCAGCTAGCATTCCAGCACGCTCACCAGGAGATGCTAATAAGAGTACAGGTAAGTGACGGCATGCAAGACAAAGAGCCGCTGCGTGCTCTCGTTCACCACCACCAACTTCTTGAGATCGATCTTTACCGCATATTATAGAAGAACGAGAATTTTTTTGATGTAAACTCCGGTCTAAAAGTATTTGAGTTTTTACTGGAGTTGCTCCAACCATTATTCGTGCTGTTGCTTCATACAAAAATATTCTCGGTAGCACGGACTGTAAATTGATAGAATTAATTTAAAAGATAATTGAAAAACTTACTCAAAATTAAAGATAACCTTTTATTAATCAAAATATGACTAGTTACCGGAATATATTGACTCAATTGTCTCAAACGTGCTAAATCATGTTGAAAACCAGCCAGAAAAGCATTAGTTATTGGCTGTCCAGAATTGCCATCTAATTCTTGCCATAAATTGGTTCGTAGTTCTAACAACCAATCACAAAGCCACAGCTGAACTAACTATAATGCATGGTGAAATTTATAATTTAAAAATAATATTTAACTCCATAAATTTTTTTATTAGTTTTCAAAATTTATTGCAACATTTGTTGCTACTTCCAGTCACAAGAGTTGCACTGTAGAAGTATTGCACAGTTGAAAAGCATGCAATGCAACTACAATGCACGCTCGTAACAGGCAAATATAATACTTGAACCAAGTGCTCATGAAGTTTACAAAGTTGACAATTATGGCTAAAAAAATACCTGTACATTATGCGAAGATTGTTGTTTACAGTGATAATAAACCATAGAGTCTTCTAAGTATTTTCCTGCTTGATCAATAAAACGAATTGATGATCTATTCGTTGGACGTCTAGCAGCTTGAAGAACACAAAGCACTGCATAAGGTAGTGGATTTTTATTAGATGTTGCATCGTCATAATTTTTGTCGTATGGAAATTTAGTTTCTATTACTGTCCAAGCTGACGTATCTTCTCCTAATCTCCAACTTGCTGCAGCACAGAACACTGAGCCCCACCAAAAACCAATAACGTCTTCAATTTCTACAAATCAATAAAACAATTTACCATTAAATTTTTTTTTAAATCCGTAAACCAACAAAAAATGATTATTATTTATACCTTGAATTGTAATGTTTTCACTACTAACAAAACCACTATTAACTTCAGCAGAAGCAATGATACTTTTTGCAAGATCTAAGATTGTAGAAGCATGTGAATCACCAATAGTTCCAGCAAGAAGTTTCAAACATTGACCGATAAGATGTTCTCTATACGCTCTTGCAGTATGAGAAAGTGGATCAGTTTTAGTATTTTGTGAAGTGAATTCATTATTTGTACAATCTCCATAGTTCCATTTGTGAGAATTTAAAAACTTGGCACCTTCAGAAGTAGTAATCCACTTTAATTTAGGTGGGACAACACAAGTAGAGAGCACTGATCTTGCTTTACCAAGATAATATTTATGAATAAACGGAAACAGAGATTGCTTGAAACAGAGAGCTGCATTAATATAAATTTCCACAAGTGATATTTTAGGAATACTATTCCCAGCAGCTTCTGCATAATTTACTGAAGAAAGCGCCAAGAAAAGTGTTGCATTGGTAGATCCTTGAGAGAGACGAAGACATAAAATTCTTTGATAAACCATTGATAGTTCCATTGCAGAAGTTTCAGCTTCTTGTCTCTCAAATTTCTGTGATAGCCATTTTCCAACAAATAAAACCCACTTTCCGATCCAAAGTTTATGTAAAATTTGCCGAATAACTTGCCAGAGTGTTGCTAAAGCAATTTCTATTCTTGACGATGGAACTGTACGATTAAAATAGCCAAGGCATTTTTGTAAATCTGCATTAGCTTTATCAGCATTGTTTAATGACATATTGAATTCTGCTTGATGACGCCAACGACGAAGTTCTAAGAAGATTTTACTGTCAGTTGAAATCACCGGATCACCGTAAAGAAGCAGTCGACATAAACCACCTACTAAAAGTAATACATTTATAATCCAAAGAATTACACTGTTCCATACTCTTGATTGCATCTCGTCTTGATTTACTATAAACAAAAAATTAGTATCACTTTTTCGAAATAATTATGATAACGAATACAAGGAATTGAAAATTTTAGAATTGAATATTACCTTCATGTATCAAAATAGTTCTTCCATCAAATTTAGTTTCCCCGTAATCACTATTAGTATTTCCAACAGTATTTACAACAATCCCTAGAGGATTGAAGGCAAGGAACATAAAGAGAAATGCACAAAGAGTGAGTCTGGTGTGGTCACGTAGGCCACTAACCGCTACACGTTGAGAATTTTGTTGGAGAAAATTGTCAGGTTCGTCTTTAATAGATAATGGAGAAGCTGGTGAGAGCGGCGCAGGAGCTGGAGATAGAGATGGCTCGCTTGTATCTGACCGTGGAGGTGTAAGATCCCCACATGATAAAAGATCTCTGAGATTTTGTCTTTGTGCTGCCATTTTTAATGACATATTTTCTGCTTTGAGTTTTGCATTAGAGTTTTGTAAAAATCTGTAATAATGAAAGATTATTCAATAGAATGCTTCTAATATTAACATAAATAATATTGATCACCAAAATTTTACCTTATGTAATCAATAGTTTTTCGTAATATCGCCGATTTATTAAGTTTAGCATCAACACCAACAATTATATTCTTCAACTCTATTATTTTATCATTAATAGACGTTCTATACCGTCGTTCAATAGCATTATGCGCACTACGTTTCACTTCTCTCACTTTTGGAACACCAATTGAAGGAACAGCATTCACGCGATTAATTTGTACTTTATCTGTGTCCAAAACTACAGGAATCCCTTTTCAAAAATCATTGTTAAGTTAATTGATTTAATTTCCAATAAAATTAGTAAATATATAATGTGTATCAATTACCAGTAGCTAAAACAGTCCCATTCACTGTATTGACTAAAGTATGAATTTGATGCTGTACAGGAGTAGATGTTGTTGCTTGCGATACTCTAGGATAAACAAGAGATTCAGATTTAATTAACTTCGCTGGTAATAAAAGCTGTCGTTGATTCGCCGTGACAGGTGCTAACGTGACAACAGGTGATTGCAGAGTGAAATTGACATTTTGTGGAATTGTATATTGTGATGTAAACACTGTTGGCGTTGATTGTGTGGCTGATAATTTTCTTGGTTGACAAGGAATTTGCGTTGATTCTAATGAAATATTAGAAGCTTTAGATCGTTGTTGATGCGGCTGTTGTGGTGGTTGTTGCTGTTGTTTTGGCTGTGAATGCTGCTGTTGAGGTGGTTGTTGAGATTGTTCTGCAGTACTGTCAGACATTATTATCACATCTGGTTGTACTAATTTGTCCAAAGTATTTGGATCTTTGAAGTTATCATCAATGTTCATATTAAGAAAATTAAACTGATCATTTTCCATAGCTATCGGTTCGTCCAAATCAGATAAAAAAGTCTCGTCACTGAAGAGATTTTCATTTTTCATTAATTCACTTTCACAGTTCTTCAATAGATCTAAACAATCAATGTAGAAACCGGTATGAGTATTGAACGTTTATCCCACATCGGATAATTAAATTGATTAAATATTCTAAAGATATTCAACAAACTTTTGGAGTAGGATTATTTAAATATTACAAAAAATAAAAACTTTCAACCTAATTGCTAAATACGTACCATCAAACCCAGTCATTTCATTCAAATTGAAACTGTCACCGGCAGGAAAATTTGGGAATTCATTTTCTTGAAGGGGTGTCCACCCACCAGAATTTGCCATTTTTGAATAATTATTATATTAAAGATTATTTATTCACATAGATTTATAATTTAATATCACACATAAATGATACATATCATCTATCAAACGCAATGTGTGTAATACTGAAAAAAATTACAAATGATCATCCGACCTCAGCGACAGCCAATCGTCGTGAACATGCTGATCGGACGATATTACGTCACGATGCGTTCCTCAAGCTATTAAAATGTACACCATAGTCTACATGCGTAAATTCGAAACTTATTTTATCCTTTAATAATTAAAAGAAATTTTTATTAAGTAAAAAATACTCAATGATATTGAAAATAATATATTAATAATATTTCAGCGATTATTAAGAAGAATCATTATTAGATGTAGATTTTATAAAACTATGTTCAAAAGCCAAATACTCCGAATTTTATGTCTTTACGAACAATATTACAAATAAACTTCCTCGACATAAAACCATGTGACATGCTGTAACAATTTTTTATTGGTTCGCCATTTTCTGTCAGAAATAAATATGAATAGGAGATTATTAAAGATAAAATGTTTATGTATTTTTGTTTAATTATTAGATGAAAAATGGAGAACGTGTGTAGTGATGTGAACGAAAAATGTGACCGTCATGTGACCGATGGAAAAAAATGACCATTGGATTTTGGCTGACCAAAAGCTGATCGAAGCTGGTCTGACTTTCATACTGACAACTAAGTAGAGGCTTAAAATTATTTTATTGGTTTTTTTTATTTCCAAAGTCTTAATTCAGTTTTTCACTTTTAAAATTTTGTTTATTATTAATTATTTATCGTTTAACTGGTCAATTATCCATAGATATTCTAAACTGTAACGTTTCGTATTTTCAAATTTTAGCGCTATTTTATTTATATTTGCGACCTCTGATGGTGTAACCTTACACTAAAAAATGACGTCAATTGACGGTCACTGACGATCGAAAATTTCGTGACCTGATCGTTTCAAAAATTGACGGTCATTTCACATCACTAAACGTGTGTCAAATTTTCAAAATGCTGAACTATACTATATCATTGATTATAGCATTTTCTTTTTTAATATAGGAAGTTGATTTGTTGTTTTTCACAAAAAATTTATAGGTGGCATGGCAGCAGGAAAATATTTTTCGGAGCATCAAATCTTATCTAGACATTTCAAAACTTTTCGGCTCTTCCGGTGATCGATGGGTTTTCCGAACACATGAAAGCAAAAGGAACTTACGTGTAAATAGATTAAATTATAATTATTAAGTTAGTTGAATAAATACTTGATTTTATTGGTGTGTATAAAGTATGCTTTGGTACACTTCAATTAGAATTTAGTGAATTTTAAGAAACAATTTAATAAATCGGTAAGCTATATTTTAAAAAAAATATCCTCAATAAAAATATCTTATTAAATAATTGTGTGAACATTTTTTCAATAAGCATCATAGACATTAATATGTAGTTCGTTTTTGTTTGTAAATTATCTATACTATTTCATCATTGAGTAAAAATTTAAATTTTATTATATCTATTCTTTATTTTAAAATTTTGAAAAACAAAATCAATTATAGACTTATATAATTTTTATTTTAATTTTTTTAGATACAACTAATGGCGAGAATAAAAGGCTGCACATTGGTGCTACTCCTCAGTATTCTTATAACTCGCAGTGGAGCACAACAAGGTCATGTACATGACCAAGATTTTAGTGATGATGACCCAAAAAATATTTACACAAGTCCCATAGTTTCTGGGTTTGCCTATTTGGCTGAAAATTTTGACGATCCAGAGAAATTTAAAACAGTTTGGATCCAATCTGAAGCGAAGAAAGAGGGAATCGATGAAGATATCGCTAAATATGATGGTATTAATTTTTTCTAACATAAAAATTCATTTAAACATGTTTATAATACAAATAATCAATTATTTTCAATACGTAGGTATCTGGTCTGTTGAACAGGCATCGAGAAATGCTCAAGAAGGGGATCTAGGATTGGTGTTGAAAAGTAAAGCAAGACATGCAGCTATTTCCGCTCGTTTAAACAAACCATTCAAATTCGATGACAAGCCTCTTATTGTTCAATACGAAGTTAACTTTCAGGACGGACAGGAATGTGGAGGAGCTTATTTAAAGTTACTTACTCAGGATCCCCAGCATATGGATTTGAAGAAATTTCATGATAAAACACCATATACTATCATGTTTGGACCTGATAAGTGTGGAAATGATCACAAGGTAAATAACAGATAATTAAAATCAATATAACGGATATCTTGATTTAACTATTTTGATAATTTTATTTTATTTTAGCTTCATTTTATCTTCAGACATAAAAATCCTATGAATGGAAGCATAGAGGAAAAGCATTGTAAAAAGCCAAAAGAACGTCTTGAAGATTTCTTTAAAGACAAAATCCCACATCTTTATACCCTTATTATACGTCCTGATAATACGTTCCAAATTAAAATCGACAATAAAGTTGTGAATGATGGTTCACTGCTCGATGATTTTACTCCGCCTGTGAATCCTCCATTGGAAATAGAAGATCCAAATGACATAAGACCTGAAGACTGGGATGAAAGAGAAAAAATTCCAGACCCAACAGCTGTTAAACCTGAAGATTGGGATGAAGATGCACCAGCTCAAATAGTTGATGAAGATGACATGATGCCAGTTGGTTGGCTTGAAGATGAACCACCAACAATTCCCAACCCAGATGCAGTCAAGCCTGACGACTGGGATGTAGACATGGATGGAGAATGGGAACCACCTGAACTTCCAAATCCGAAATGCGAAGATGCACCAGGGTGTGGCCCATACAAACAAAAAATGAAGAAAAATCCCAGATTTAAGGGCAAATGGTTACCACCTTTAATTGATAATCCTAATTACAAAGGAAAGTGGAAGCCAAGGCTCATTCATAATCCTAATTATTTTAATGATGAACATCCTTTCAATATGATGCCAATTGTAAGTTATTTTTATCCACCATAGTTTTTAATTTATCTAAATCGAAATTTAAATTGATAAATTGTATTCTAAATAGCACGCAATTGGATTTGAACTATGGTCGATGTCACCGGATATTTATTTCGATAATTTAATTATCACAGACGATGAAGATGTAGCTAAGCAGTGGGCCGATGATACATTTGAAATTCATCGTCAAAAAATAGCTCAAGAAAGTGTAAGTTCTTTTTTTTATCCCATTTTTCTTAATATAATCAATTTTCTTAGAACGATTTTAAATTTTTCGATGAATGATTTTTTTTAAAATTGTGTCAAATTTATATAATGCGGGTACTCAGGCGAGTCTTTGGGGTCGAATGATGCGCTCAATGAATTATAAGCCCGGTTGGTGGGCACTGTATTTCGTTTATTGTACCATACCTATTACAATATACGTTTGGTATTTGTACAGACGATCCAAGGAGGTACACGAAACTAAATGGCCCTTAAAATTATGAGGCTATATTTATTGTTGATGCACCAGTAATTTAATGCTTTTATTACCTTTATTAATTATTCATATTAGAGTTAGACATCTTTGTATTTTCGGAGGCAAAGTGTGCTCTCATAATTTTTTAAAAATAAGTGAGAAAGACACTGAATCTATATTTAAACCATCCATAAGTCTCTTTTTGCTCTAAAAAAATAGAGATTGCCTAGTTCTTACTTATGCTATATATTTTATGAACATACTTAAATCACAATAATCCTTGTAGAAAGTATTGAGCTATTTAATGTAGATTTATTATTTTCCAATCTTAGTGGAGTGTGTGGCGCAAATTCGTAGACTTTACGAGCGAAAACCCATGGATTTGGGCTGTATATATACTAGTCGTTGGCCTACCTGTAATACTTATTATGTATTGTTGCTGTTTCACGTCCCAGGTATTTAAATAGTAGCAAACAATAACTGTAAGTTTTTTACGAAAATTTCAATAAATACTAATTTTACTAATTGCTAATAACAGGAGAAACCAGATAAGTCCGAAGAAAATGAGCGTATAATTCCTAATGAAGAATTAAATGAAACACCAGAAAGTGATGGTATTGAACCAAATCAAATGGAGTCTGTTGACGGTGATGATGATCCCATCATTAGTGAGACTGATGATGTCGTAGAAGATGACAAGGTAATTTATACTGATCTAATTAAAAATATCAATAACTATCAAAAATTTAATTTATTAGGAAACACATGAGGATGGAGATGCTCCACGTCAAAGAAAGCCAAATAAAGAATAATAATGAAAAACTAAGTAACATATAAACGAAAATTAAATAAATTACCATCGAATTTTATGTAATATACTCACATTCCACAACCCACATGTCATATTGAATGATATGATATTGCAAGACCATTTGATAATAATTATGTGAAATTTCATTATTAACTAGTATAATAGATGAAAGTAAGAATAATCAAGTTTGCATTTAACCAAATCGTTCTTTGATACCTAACGCGAATACTTTAATTATGTATGCATTAGTTATACTCACTTATTGGTTTTTTGATAAACAAAAATTATCTGTATTAACTTATTTGATAAAAAAATGCGTGGAGTATAAGTCAAAGAGATGACATAATTTCAACGATATCTCAAAGTATTTTACATGTAATGTAGTTTAAAGACACACAGTCGTCATTTCATTTATCTTGATCCAATAATATCGTGTTCACATTCATTAACAAATCTAATCCTTGCCTTATGTGCATGAATATTTAATGAATAAGATTTTTAATTGTTTGTTCACTTATAACTTAAATTTAGTACATATTCCTTTATAAATTATATTATTGATTATCGTTTTTATGACTATAAATTAAATTTCCTTTTGTTTGTGGATTGCGTTTAATATTCATGTTTGTTTTTTTTTCATTTTTACTATATTTAATAAAAAAAAATCCAAAAAATGTAACACATTGTTATAGCATTGATAAATATTAAACAATTGGAGGTTGCAATATAATGTTGAGCACACAAACTCAGTGCTAGAGTTAAAACAATAAAAAAATTGGTGTATAAAATTTTATTAGAACATGTCTATTTATCATTTATTCTTTTCAATTTAAAATTATCAATAGACTTTAAAATAAATAATTTACAATTTTATTTGAATATTATTTTAATGGTCTCATTTCTAATTAACATGATTTTGATATATCTGTCATAAAATTCACTATCTTGTAAAATATTTTATACATAATTATATTGGTCATCATTTTTCCAATAATAATATTTCAATAATGTTAAAATATAATATTGAAAAATAAAAATAGAGACCATATAATAATTTCTTTCTTTAAAATAATTCTGTCAATAATTTCGATTGATTATAGATTCATGAAAACGAGTGACATTTTTATATTAAATATTTCATATAAGACTTAAATTTATTATGCAAATCGAATTTGTTTTAATTAAAAGCATCCAAAGCATCATTTTATAGTCATCGCTATCTTTTAAGTTAAAGAGAGCGGCGAGCTTTGTGAACAAGATATGCACGTTGGAACTGTACGTTGAGATAAATGTCCAGGTAATGAACTTCGAAATTCAGACATACATCTTGTACAGTAAACATTGCCACAAGACCAACAACGATTCTGCAAAAAGTTATTTATATGAATAAAACAATTGTAAAAATATTTTCTACCTAAATAAATTGTTTTCAATAGTTACCTTCTTATTAAAGGCATCAAATCTAAGAGAACACAAACATTCTTTGACTTTATTGCTTGATTTCCAATCAAGCGCTACACTTTTTAATTCAGTCTCTATTTGATTTATCAGTGCTTTCGTCTTAGCTTTATCTTCTTCTTCCATCGATTTTTCAATTATTTTTTCCGAAATCGTATCATCACTAAATTTATTATCATATTTATACTTTGGTTCATCGCTTTTTTTTTTAGCAGTGATAGATTCCGTCAATTGACTTAATGTATTGACTCTCTTGATGAGTAATTTGACATGGTCTTCTAAAGAAGACGTATGATCATGCAGTGTTAGCAAGAAGTCTTCACTTGTTTCTCTCGCATGAATTCCGTTTTCAAATCGAAAATAAAGTCCTCGCCATAGCCTATATACAAAATTGATCAATAATATATACATATAATAATTCTTCAATATTTATTTATTAAATAATGATCAACTTACTCAATGTTTTGAGGCGATAACTTTGGCTCTAATACTTTATTACATTCTTCTTTAAATCTATTACAGGCATATACTGGATTTATATATTCATTAATATTTTTAGCTATGTCCGTCCACAAAGAATCAGTTTTTTCCGATAATCTGTAAAAAATTCGATTTAATGTAATTTATTTACAATAAATGACATATGTTCAGATTTTTGAAGCTATTATTACTGCAATAATTGTCGTTCTTTTTCGTTATTGCCAACGAATGTGCCATGTTTGCAGCTATGTACATGATCATGAAGAGTTAAAAGAAAAGCTTCATTAAATTGAAACATGTATGGGTATTGTCGAAGCAATTGATACGTTGCATCAATAAACTGAGTAAATATCGGTGCCAATTCTTTAGGATCATTTATTACATGGCCACATCGATCAGAAAATTTATGTCCAAATGCCAGCCAATCTTTCTCTATTAAAGCCTATAAAAATAAATTCAATACTTTATTTAGAACACAATGCACATATTTAAGTCAAATTAATCAGTAATTAATAATTCGATCACCTGAAAACCTTGAATCGTTCTATAAAATGGATCTAACAGCAAAGCAGCTATAGAGCAAACTTGAGCAGTTCTATCCCATCCATCACTACAATGTACTACTACTGTAATACCTGAGGACACCGCTTTAGCAATAAACCACCCAGTTTCCAAAATAGACCGGATGTGTTTTAACCATCCGCTGTTCTCCAATCCATTCAAAAAAGCACTCATTGATGTAGTTCTTTGCACTAAAATTTATTATTTTTATTGCAAAATTATTTTAAAAAATATCTTCATTTTATGTTATGTTCTAACTCACATTCAATAAGTTTACTTAAACTTGCTCTCATTACATGAATATTTTCAATACCGAAGAAACGAAATTTTATATTGTCATAAAAGTTTTCATTTTCGTACCCTTTCCCGGCAGCTCTATTAGCCATAGCATTAATCTAAAATATATGTATTGTTCAATTAATTGGTGATGCAATAAATTTAAATTAACAAAATATATTTACTTACTCTTGGTCGTGTATCTACAACATACATAAATTTTCCATTTGGGTTCGTTCGAAGAATATGATATAGCATTTGTTCATCTTCAAAACAACGAGCATTGAATCCGGAAAGGGGTTGACTACACCGACAAATTGCTGCCTGATAATAATTTTTTTTAGAAACATTTGTCTAATCTTAATAATTTTAAAGAGCAACAATTTAACTATTTTAAAACCTTATTAGAATGGATGTAAGTCAATACTGGTAGACGTCCTTTACTACGAAACTTAGCGCTTCCGACAAGAATATTATTTGTACAAGATGCAGGAACATACAAATATCTAGGGTAAGTATCACAAAGTTCATATGATGAATTAATATAAGACAAGACCCATTCAGCATTAGGCAAACCCTGTCGTTGGAATTCTCGTTGAATATCAAACGAACTCCAACCATCGTATTTCGAAGATATATCTTTATTTGATCGTGAAAAACAATAAAGGTCTTCAGTACGTACTAGAAAGAAAAAGAATTTATTTACATTCATTAATTATTACTTCTCTTAATTTATTAAAATAAGGATAAATATTTGACCAATTACCTGGAGACGATAGTTTACTTAATGTAAGGTATATATCATGGCAGTCTCTTTCTTTATTAATAATAAATGTCATTGTTAAAAAATGTTTGCATTTAATATGCAAGGGAGATCCTGCTGTAGTTAGAGGTTGTTTTTCAATACTTGCTATATGGGTGTTGAGCACCCAAATTTGTTTCTTGCCATTTGAATCCATGAATACCAGATGAGTTACAGTTAAATATAGTGATCCTATGGAATGTTTATTGCTGTATCTGTCCAACATTCTAACATTTTCCACCTATTGTTTTAAATATTTTCATTATCAACGTAAACATCAGATATTCTTAAAAATAAAATTTATGTAATAGTAATTTAAATACAAAACTGAAAACTCCATACCTTTCCAATCTTTATCAACTCAGGAACATTCATTTTGTTACTTTAAAAAATAAATATAACTGACATACGTTAGAAAATACTGTTTCCGTCTGATAAAGGTTATAAAATGATCAAACTAAGAATGATATTAAACTATATTTCTATACAATTGAAGTAGAAACATAAGTATATTTAGACTCATGGTACGAGTCGTTTTATTTATTAGTAATCATCAGATAAATTAATCAAAAATTGCACATTATAAATAGAAATATCTTTTCTTCTACTCAACAATTAAATTGACAGATGACAGTCGCGCAAGGTAGCGCAAACTATTTCGATGACAGCGCTAATTATCATAAGGAAAACGTTCAACGAATTTTAGAAGTAACATTTTTTGTGACAGGAGATAGTATTATTACTACAAATTTCTGTCAATTGTCAACGTGGGGCGCCACTATTGACCTTATTTTTCATTGGCAGAAAATTACATACATACATATATTACATATATGTGTAGGCACACATGCATCGTTCATTGCTGGAGTATGTCAGAGTATGTGGTGGTACACCTTTACGTACAAAAGTTCGCGCATGTGCTTGTTTAAATCATTGAAAAAAGGTTTATTTATTGGCATTTTAATGGTCTTGTATTGATTATTCATTATGCTCTACATTATTTTAATGAAAAACGTTTTAGAAATTCATAACTAATAGATAAAAGTTAACTAATTTTGGTAATGTGCATATCGTTTTATGGGCAAACTTTTTGAGGTTAAATTGATTTTTGAAATTATCTATTTGAGCCCCCTAACGGCTATTAAATAAATCAAATCATTTCTTTGGCGGGTAACACTGCTGAGATCAGTAAAATATCTGCATTATTTCGTCCACCGACTGTTGAACAAGTGCTACGCAATTTTTAATTGAATGTTTTTGGAAATGAAAAATTGCATGTAGTAATTGATCAGTTTTACAAATTTTAATATATTCTTGTTGTAGTGAAAAGATAAAAAAAATTTTTAATTATAGTCATTAAAAAAAATTAATAATAATTGTTAAAAAATTAACAAAAAAGGTGTTGAAAAAATAAAAGAAAAAAAAGAGGGGATAAAAACAAATGTTGATCGTGAACTCGTATCGTGCGCGATTGGCGGTGATTCTACCAACGACAACGAGAAAGAATTGAGGGATCAAGAAGGGCAGAGACGTAAGGGATGAGCGCAATCGACGTAACGAGCAACCAACTCGTATACTGAAAGAGGCTCGTGTGGTTTATCATATATAAATATACAATACTTGTGTTTATAATTTTTTAAATAATTATTAAAATAAAGATCTCGAGGTAATCTTCTGATATATCCTCGTTGTTAAATGCAAATCGTATTTAATCGTGAAAAAAATCGCGGCATCGTTCACGTCAATTATATCTTCCTACTACTGCGGTCGTATTGTGTATGAAGAAGTGTTTTGTCTTTTTCGTATCTATCATGGCGTATTTGAAATTACATCCAGAAATCGCAATAAGCTTATACATTGTGTGGATCGTAAAACAGTGAAATAAACTTGGATGAAATATTGACAGTAAAAAAATTTAGATGGTGAAGGGTGAGGTGGGAGTTTGAAGTTGAAGACGAGGTCGTTTTGGGTGAAGTTCAGTGTTATTTGACGCCCAAGGACAAGTTGTTGGATACTTGAACTACATTTGAATAATACGATACATATATAAAACGTAACAAATGGCATCGTCGACGATTGCCGTGCCAACAGCAACTGCTCCAGCTCCTGTGACGACCATGCAAGAAAGTGAAGAAGTTGACGGTGGAGATTTAATGGGCGATTGGAATATTGGAGAAAATGATAGAACTGATGGAGCTATATCTAGCAATGCTGGTGATCCACTTGAAGAGATTCCTGATGAAAATGGCAATACTAGAGATGAGGAGTGTGCTCTCTGTGAGAGGAAGTTATGCTCACCCAGATTACTCTCTTGTCTACATGTTTTTTGTGAATCCTGTTTGGATAAGCAGTTGATTAATGATGGGAATGATTCAAAAATTGACTCAATAATTACTTGTTCAATATGTGGTCAACAAACATCCGTGGGACCTAAAGGAGCTGCATCGTTACCTTGTGACTATGTTCTTACTAACATCTTAGACATGTCAGCAATAGAAAACATGACTGTTCTTTGCACCTCCTGCAAAACTAAAGAGAGTGCAGTGGCACGTTGCTCTGATTGTGCCAATTTTTTGTGTCCCAATTGTAACACTGCTCATCAATACATGCGATGTTTTGAGAGCCACAGAGTTATAGCATTTGAGGATCTCAAAAAATCAAATAAGACTGTACCTATTCACAAGCCTATTTTTTGTGAATTTCATCCTGCTGAAAATATGAAATTCTATTGTTATACATGTCAAGTAAGTCAAAATAGAATTTTTATATTAATTAATAAATGATGCTAGGTTTTATGATTTTTAATTTCTTTCAATAGGAACCAATTTGCAATGAATGTCTACTAGTAGAGCATAAAACACCAGAACATCAATACGAAAGAATCTCTGATGCTGAAGGTCGTCAAATAGAAGAGATAGTCAACTTGATGTCTGAAAGTAAAACTAAGATATCGGAATGTGAGAGAGCATCTCTACAGCTTGAGAATGCATTAAGTGAACTACAATCTCAACATGATCAAGCAAAAGATCTTATAATAGAAACTTTTCAAAGTTATAAAGCCATTTTGGAAAAGTGTCGAGATAATGCTTTGAATAATCTAGAAAAACTACATTCCGAAAGAGAACTCGAAGTAATGGATACTTTTCATAAGTAAGTTAATTTTTTGAATAAAAATCAATTAAAAGTTTTATATTTCTATTTTGATATCAATTAATTGTTCATTATTAGTGTGGATAAAACCAAGGAGAAAATTGAAGATGCAAATCGTTTTACTTCAAGACTACTCGAACACGGTGACACGATAGAAATTTTAGCCCTGAAAAGATTAGTGTCAACTCAACTGATGAATTTAATCAATAATACCCCAAAGCCGAATATCAAATTTTCGATTGAATTTCAAACAGATTATGATCATTTTGATAGTGTTATAAATGAATGTTTTGGAAAATTTAAAACCGAAAGTACACCAAACGTTAAAACATCACCGGAAATTATAACAACAATGGCAGCTGTAACTAGTCATCAAATAGTGCCGATGCCTTGCCCTAATTCCATTAGTACTAATTCATCTATTTCCTTACCTACGTCAATGCAATCTTCTTTTGAAGGTGATCCTTCTTTCATTATACCTCCTACATCAAGTCCACAAAATGTTCCTCAACCTCCACCACCTGTTTCTCTTCCTCCAGGTCCAATGCATGGTTTTACAAGTATTCAAGAGTACAATTTGCAACAATTAGCAAGTCTTGCAGAAAAAGTGGATCTCAATGACTCAAGTGTAGTTGCGCCGAGCGCTAACCCAAGTCCAACTCCGTCCTTCACACTGGCCGATTTACTCGCGGGTGAATTTCCGGTTAATTCTACCAGCCATGCCATCAATAATTTACAGGCCCTAGCGAAATTAGAAGCTCTTAGGAGTAATTCTCTGGCCAATCAAGGTAGTTATTTGCTTTTTAGCTATAATAAATGCTTTTAACTGTTGACACATTCAACTCTGTGAGTTTAATTATTTAAGATTTGGGAAATCCAACGTTAAATGGTGGAGGAGGTCTGGTCTTAGGGCGTGTTCCATCACCCGTAATGAATGAACCTCCCAATTTAGGATCTTTAAGTGCAAATACACTTCTTAATGGAGGCTTTCAATCTTTATCAAACTCAACATCGCCTATTTTATCACAAGGGCAAGGTATGGAATTTTTTTATATCCATAAGTGGATTTTTAGATGGGAACATTAGATAAAAGCATTTATGCTATATGATGAAATTAATTTGATAAAATTTCAGATGACCTTAAAAACGAATCGATGCACAATATGCAAGGAGTAGTAACTAATAGTGTTGCTAATGTCCCTGGTAGCGGAGCTGGTAATTACACCCATTCACGTTCTGCTAACACAAAACAAACACCGATGCAAATTCGATCAAAATTTGGTCAGCTTGGACCTGGTAAAGGCCAATTCAATTCACCTCATGGATTTTGTCTTGGTGCTGATGAAGATATCATTGTCGCAGATACAAACAATCACAGAATTCAAGTAATGAAATAATTTATAAAATTTAAAAAGTAATATCAAAGATTTTTGTAGTATCAATTTTATAACTTTGCTCTAGATATTTGATAAAATGGGTCAATTTAAATCGTTGTTTGGAATTCCGGGCAAGGAAGAAGGTCAATTGTGGTATCCAAGAAAAGTTGCAGTAATGAGGAATTGTGGAAAATTTGTGGTCTGTGACCGTGGAAATGAACGATCTAGAATGCAAATTTTTACAAAGAATGGACATTTTATTAAAAAAATAGCTATTCGATATATTGACATCGTAGCAGGTCTTGCTGTCACTAGTCAAGGGCATATTGTGGCTGTTGACAGTGTGTCACCTACTGTGTTCGTTATTAGCGATAATGGTAATCTCCTTAACTGGTTCGATTGCAGTGATTACATGAGAGAACCAAGTGATATCGCCATAAGTGGTTAGTAAACTGTTTGAAAAATCTTTCTGTTGAACTGCATTAAATTTTCAAAAAACAAATTTTATTAATAAAGTATCTCTACTGAAATTTCAGGGAAAGAGTTTTTTGTTTGTGACTTCAAAGGACATTGTGTTGTAGTATTCAATGAAGAAGGTCATTTCTTGCGTCGTATCGGCTGTGAAAATATAACAAACTTCCCGAATGGGATTGATATTAGCGACGCTGGAGATGTGCTGATTGGCGATTCTCACGGAAACCGTTTTCATGTTGCTGTATATTCACGAGAGGGTTCTTTAATATCTGAATTTGAATGTCCTTATGTAAAGGTAACAGCTTTTGTCATTAAAAAAAAAACATTTATCTATCTACTAATTTTATTTTTCGCTCAAAAAATAGGTTCTTCATTAATTATAATAAAATTAATTTATGCATAAAATAAAAATTAAGTGCTGTGCTAATGGCTTGATAACGTATATTTATTGTGATATTACAGGTATCACGATGCTGCGGCCTTAAAATAACTTCTGAAGGTTACATAGTAACATTGGCCAAAAACAATCACCACGTCCTTGTGTTAAACACTCTCTACATATTATGAGGTGAGAAAAGACCACTAATAACGTCGCAACTTCCGCCTGCATGCAGTACTTCTTTTGAAACTGCAGTATTCCCAACGAAAAGATGAAAAACAGGCAAGTCCTGGGCATTTCGCCAGTTATTTTCTGGCCTATCAAAAGCAATAGCATACAGTGAATATTCTCTATCAACCAACATCATCAAAAAATACATCTCATGCGGCTTTAATAGTTACGAAACAAATATGCGTCCCTGTTTTATGAAAGTAAACATCAGAAACTAATAACTTTAATGCGTTAACGGTTTTAAATAGAGAAAGTTGAATCAACAAAAATGAGAGAAAGGGAACGAAGGTAAGGTGCAAAGTTTAGCATACATTTTCGACCAAACACAGTATAATAGTTATTTAGAGAATTGCATTTGGTAAACTGCCAAGGGGTTAAAAATGACAAATTTTAAGTGTACCGTAGGAGCCTCTGGCTGCAGGCTAATCACGATTAAGCGTGTGTGCGTTGCGTGCTAGTAGACAAGCGCGGATTGCTTTATTAGCTGCCGAAGCAATTTTTACAATGGCCTTTTTGTCAAAATTGGTCGTTGGACATCATTTTGACATGTCAGTATTTTAAGTAATAAATCACAAATCAAAGTAATCTAGTCTTATTCGAGCACCATCATCCTCTTCTATACTGTTTTATCAGTTGTGCTCAAATATTTCAAATGCTCGAAATCACTCCCTTTCTTTTCTGTTTCCTTATAATTGTGTAACTTGTTAAAAGAAAGGGAGAATAATTGTTAAGAAATAGATATAAATTATTTGAAGTTTTTAAAACAGTTCAAATAATTAATAAGATCAATATCATCATCAATGATAAATTAAATTTTTATTTTATTCTTTATCTTGATGATTTAAAAAAACAATTTAAGGACTTCCAATTTATTTTATTTATGTTTTTTTTGTTAGCCCCAGGAAAATCATTTATCTTTTGAGATTGCAAAATCTTTGTTCTACTTGTTATATACTTGCACTATTCATCTTTGATATCCTTGGGCTGACAATTTCATAAGATAAAATAAGTTAATAGATCATCGAGAAAAGAATAATAATTATAAGACATTGCTGTCTAATAAAAAACAAAAATTGAACATAAATATATAAATATATATATTACCTTGAAAATTAGATATTATATGTGTGAATTATTGGTCGTGGTGCTAGGCGATATATCTCATAGTTTAACAATTACATTGAATTTTTAAGAGTAAAGAAAGAAATCGGTATGTTGGTGGGATTTATAAGATGAAAAATTACTTATAAATCACGTTCTTTTAATCATTTATTATTTTTTTTTTTTAATTTTATTATTTTCTGTATTACCGCCATGTGTGGTCTTGTAAATTGTTCTGTATAAAATTGATACTTTATAGATGATACTTTCAATTTTATCAGCAGATATGCTGTTGACTAGAATAACGTCTATGTATCTTATACAAGGGTAATTGATAAAAAGAAACGTAAAGATATAAAAAGTGACAAAAGCCATTCATTGAAAAATAAAAAATGCAAATAATATAGAAAAACACATATTTTTTAGGGTTGTTTACATGATCAGCCTTATAATTGGATTAACAAAAAAATTTAAATACAGAATGGAAAGAAACGATACAGCGTGCAATTAATTGGGCGTCATGTATTTGACAATTTATTGCTACGTTGTCTTATATATATTTATCAATAGTTATTTCATATTTATGATATATACTTTCTCGCCATATTAAACATTAAGTAGTAGTATATTCAGGCGTAAATTTGAGCTTTGAAAAAAATTGATTTGTATTGAATATTTACATATTTATTATAAATTATAATGGAATATGAAAATTCCATGGAAAATCCGATGAATAAGAAATTAATAGTCATAAAAATTGACTATATGATCCAAAAAAAGAGTAAGGACAATTAAAGAAAAGAAGTAAATAAAAACAGAAGAAAGCGTTAAAAAAATCAGTACTAAATATTATAACTTATTCAATGTCTTACTAATTTAATATTCATCGGAATATCGCTAGAAATTTTTATTTTATACACAACACGAGTATGAATGACGAGAATATTTTAAACAAAAACAAATAAATTAAATTTCAAAAGATATTTAATAGTCATGGTTAGCAAAGTTATAAATGAATAATGCCTGTGATAATAGTATCGTCAGGATAAGTTGTGTCCTTAAAGAGTCTCTGATATTGTTGTTAGGTAAATATAAATTAGAGAAAACTACTGAGGAATCTGAATTAAATGCTGGAGTTGTCTTGCTATTAATTAGAAAAAAGTATAAGTTACAAAGATAAATAATAATAATAATACTAACAATAATAATAATTAAAGATACATAGATAATAAATAAATTAAAAAAAAAAAAACGGTGTGTTCAGGTCTGATTTGCACAACGATACCGACACACGCTGCGCCCACCAACAGTCTCCAACGGTACGCTAAATAATGAATTAAAATTAAAGCATAATTTAAAAAAAAATTACAGGCGAAATTGATAGCATAAACGAATGGATGACCATTAAAAAGAGGATCTTTTACCTCACAAAATTATTATATTACGCTCACCTTATATATACTTGAATATTTTAGTATAGATTTACTCTATTTACATATTTTTATCTGTGGAAGACTACTTGGCTAATTTAGGCCACTGTTGAAATTCACCCCTTATTTGCCTTGATGTTTAAATTACAACAATAATATTTAAAGAAGTAAATGAAAACAAAAAAAAATAATAATAATTAAAATAACGAAAAAAAAGCGGATTACTTGTTACGTAAATGGTAATTGTGATAGATTTTTTGATGATTTTTACAATCTCAAAAGTCTTATTATCCTAATATGTTTAGAATTATATCTCTTTAATCACACTCTACGTAATAGATACACTCTGCTTAACTGTTAAAGCAATATTTCATAAAAAAATATTTAAAAAAAAAAGTAAAGCGATATAGCGCATTACATCTAAAAACACATTCAAAAACACCTCGGGACTATAACAAAATTCAATATAAGGCATTCTAATCTGAGCTTGACACTGGATGACAATTGCTTATTATTCTCAACGAACTCTATATTCACTATTAGTTTACAATTATCCACTATTCACCGAATGTCTTAAACATATGGAAAGTAGTTAAACAATTTAGAGAAATGATACATTAGCAGTAAAAAATAAACAGTAACAAAATTTCCGTGATCTGGAAAACTCGATTAAATGTTGTTCAATTTTTAAATTCAACTTGCTGTTTTTAGATTTAACATTTAAATCAACTGATCAAAGAACTGGAAAAATAATATCTGGAATCGGTTTTTTTGTCCAAAAAAGATTTTACCAGTTTTTTAATCAGACTATCAGTATCATCGGTATTTTGTATAGCTGATAATAAGAAAAAAATTAACTACTCCTATTTTATTGACCTTATATTTTCAACAAACATCTTCTATATACACAATTATTGGTATCAGATGATAGGATTTTATGAAAAAAACACGATATAAACTGAGAATTCTAGCCTACGGTTAATCATAGTCTTCCTAGAATCATTGAGTAATATTGACTATGCTATAAAAATTTTAGGAACAGTTTTAGAGTCATTCAGTTTAATTAAAACATATTATAAATATATATATGCGTATATATGTATATATTTATACATATTTAAAAAAAAAACACATTGACTTATTAATTATAACTGAGAAAACGTGAAAATTCAAAAAATAAATGAACGTATATCAATTATTATTCATTCATGAAATCTAATAATTGAAGAGATTGAAAGAAGCTAAATAATTTTTTATTGGCTCGTGCAATGAAAATTAATATATCAATTATTTTATTATTCTATTTTAAATGTCTCAATTTTTTAATTTAAAATTTATATATCAAGATTAAAAGCAAAAAAAAAGAAAACAATATCGATCGATGAAAATTTAGAAAAAAAAAATATTACGTCTATATGTTTCAGGAAGAGAGGGAAAGAATCGAAAGAAGGAAGCGTAAAAAGTAAATGTCGATAATTTCTTATACAATAATAGTTTTTTTAAAAGCAGTATTTTTTATTCCTAATCATTCATATACACCCAACTATTATATAATTTATTATTTGTATTCTCGTGCATTAAGCATTATGTGTTCCATTGGCTGTTTGCTATTTAACGTATATAAGCGTGCATATTTAAAAGAAAACGATGTCTTTGCATCAAAAATTTTTCTTCGTCTGCCAAATTAATGCAATGAAATTTTTACTAATATGACTACCGATCGGAGTTTAAATCAACAATACCATTAACTCTACGGTTTATAAGATTTATATTGAATTTTTTTTCTTAATTTTAATAATTGCATATTCCTTGATATTTTTATTTCATTTCAATTTCATTATTTTCATTATTGTTACCAATCGTTTTGTTTCATAACAATTTATAATCCTTGGTTATTATTTTTTATTATTCACACTTTTTATAGTATTTTCATTCATTATTTTTATCATTTCGTTATTGTCATTATTATCAATGTCATAATTTTAATTATTATGATTGATCGTTCTTTTGGCTCTTCGAATACTCCTTATATGTACATATAATGTTTAGCTTTATCACGGCATAATATACATGTGTCGTTTTATCATTAAAAAATATTTAAAAAAAAGAAAAAAAAATACAAAAAATAAATAAAAGAGAAGTTAATATTACTTTAATTAGCAGTAAAAAAAATATTTGAAGTTTTTAACGTCAATATTAATAACTACATGCGTACATTGTACATATATACATATATATATATATATATATACAGGTAGAATTAATTGAAAACTTTTAGTTTTTTGATTTTACACTCGAAGATCTTTTAATGAAGTCTTAAAAGTTTTTAGTCGTATTCATCCTGTATATATATTGCGTGATTATTTACATTCCCTATGTAATAGATAATATTTACTGTTTGGGCATAAAACTGGAAGGTATTTGCTGATTGATATTTCGTGGAAAACATTGTTGAAAGAATAATTACAGTAAACTAATTATCGTAATTAGAGTAGTAATTAATGGGTAGATTACTTTTTATTTGTCCTATCGAAATCGAGTTAAATTTTTTTAAATTCATTGTTTTATTACATGTAAATTTTATTATTGTACTTGAAGTTAAAATTTTGGTCCTATTTGATACACTTTTATTTTTATTTTATAAAATGCAAGAATTCAATTCTTTAGTGCCAAAAATGATAATATTATATTATTCTTTTGTGTAGAGTATGTTATTTATTTATTAGTTGCTTATTAATTTTTTTTGTTGTGTGAAAATATTAAGCATTAATTATTATAAGATTTAAAAGATATATATTTAAATTAAAAAAAAAAAAATTAAATAAGGTAATATTAACGATAAAAAAATTTTTGATTAGTCAGTCGAAGTACAAATATTTAATGTAATGTATCGTTAGTTAATAAGTAATGACATGTGTCATATAAAAGTTCGAAGAGGTTTTTTTTCCTTTGTTTCCATTCCTCAAGTGTTGTATTAAAAAATTTATTTATTTTAAATTAGTTATTAAATTGATATAATACTTAATAGTCTGAGTGAAAACAAAGAAAGGCAAACAAAAAAAATACAATAAATATTAATAAAAGTCATAATTTTGCCTTTCAATAGATTTTTGTTTATTTTATTACAATGATTATGATAATTATATTACCATTAATAAATATTATTATATGTTTATATTTTTATCATTTTTTTTTCTAATAGATTGTTTCTTTTTTTTTGGAGGTACTTTGGTTATTACATATCAAAATGACCACCGTTATATACTTTATACAGTTGCATTCCATAGGTGTGCTTGTACGTCAGGGTTAGCAGAATTAAAGATAAAATAAAAAAAAAAACAATAAAATGTAAAAAAAAAAATAACAATTTTTAAATTTCTTGTGATCTCGGTAATTCTATTTATTGACACCAATGTTTATCATAATATCATAACTATTGTAACACCTGTATAAAAAAACATAGCGCAAAGTTATTGCAAGTTTTGAACTGTTTAATGAGTGTTTTATTCTTGAGATAAAAATAAAATAATTCGACGTACAACTTTATCATTTGAGCGTTCGATGATTATATAAAAAACAAAAAAAAAAATACAAAAATATTGTGAAAAACTTAATGTACACCGTTCGTAGATCGAGACAATTTTTGCGTAGAATTACATCAAGTGTTGCTATTGCGTACACTCTAACTTTAAAATTATAAAATAATGACATTATAAAAGATAATCATTCTCGAACTATGCATCGATTACTGTATTAAGAATTTATTGTTAAATTTCAATTATACGATAGACGAAAAAATTTTTTTATGTTTCTCTTATACATCATCAGTATCAGATATATCAAATATATTTTTTATTAAGTTTGATATAAAAAATAAAAAACAAGAGAATATTATCGATCATCGATTAAAACCGTCAGAGGTTATTATTTTTTTTTTATTAGAGTGGAAAAATATTTTCAAGATTAATGTGAGATTTAAGGAATATTTAAAGCGAGAGGTACATTTATACTTCCGAAAACGCAGATCGAATGAGAATATTCTGCATAAGGATAGTACAACACGAGATAAAAATGGTAAATTGTATGCAATATGAAAAGTGTGTATACCAATATATTTTTTATATATATGCTGATCGGTATGCCAAGGAGCATTGTTCGATGAAACGCATTATTTAGATTAATATTATTCAAACCGCACGGTTATTCATATTTGCTATTAAAAAACTTCAGCTTGTTTAAAGACTATTTTTTCAACGGTTGTACTAAAAAAAAATAAGAAATATTTTTAAAAATTCTTTCGCTACGAATTTGATTTACAAGAAGTATTTTTGTGTTTATCATACGCAATTTGTATGGACGATCTTTTTCACAATAACAATAAATAATTTTTTTTTTGTAACTCTCCCCAAAGTTTATATAAACTAGTCTGTATCAAACGAAAAGCTCTCATTTTTGCCTTTATTTAATTCCGTAATTTTTTTCTACCTTGTACCTACAAAATTTTAGTTTCGTTTTTATATAAAGTATATTTAAATTTGTTGTATTGTATTATACGTGTACACATCTATATACACTTTTACAAGAAAAAAAAATAAATGAAAAAGAAGATATTTTAATCTACAATACCGTATTATATTAACTAAAAAAATATGCGACATTTGCTACTTATATATTTGTAAAGTACTGTCGAGCTTTGAAAAAATGCAATGATTACATAATACAGCTGATTATTCATATAACATCAAATGTAGTAGATAAATAATTATTAAAATTTAAAAATAACATGAAAATAAAAGCAATAAATCATTTTATTTTGACAGCTTCTTTATAGAAAAAGAAATATTGCAATTTACATTGCTCGACTGTATGGAATTGAAAATATTTTATTATAGGATGGATTGTGTAAAAAAAAAATTAGCCTTAAAAATATTTTTAAAAATGAAACATTATTTGTTGATGATACATTGTTTGACCATATCAAACTGAATTTTTGCCATAAATCTTGTCAATTTGTATTACCCCTATCCTATATTAAGATATTATCAAAAGAAAAAATATCACTATGCAGTTTCCAAAACATATTAAAAATCATACACTCTTGTGTGCGCATAGGCTGCGATGCAATAACTATTATTATTATAATTATTATATTATGATTATGATTATTACTATATAATATATACATATATATATATTGTGATGCTCACAAAGCACATAACACAATTTACCAAAATTGTATATATTTCATGTAATTTTGGAAAGTGTTATATTTTTATTTCCTGCCAATTATTTAATTCGTAACGTTGTTCTTTGTTCTTTTTCAATAAAGTAAATAAATATTACGTTACTCTGTATTAGCATCATTTATTATTATATATCAATATTGACAAATTATATAATCATTAAATATTAATCAATAACATTTATCCAGACTCATCTTCATGTATATTAAGCTTATCTTTGAAACCTCCTTGCAGCTCTAAAACATGTTCGACAGGCTTCGGTTTACCATCTTCTCCAATAGTACAAGGTCGCACGTGTCCCTCGCTAAACAATAGATGTTAGTTAATGATATCTCTATTTTATCTATTTTAAATATAAAAGATATTAAAAATGTTTTATACTTTGTTAGTTGATTGATAAGATTAACTAGTTTCATTGCTTCATATTCTTTACGTTCTTCACTCATGCCTTCGAATGGGTTTGACTTTGGTTGTTCATAACATCCAGTAACTGGATCAATAGCTTCTTTATACTTCGCGTAATCTTCTGTGTCACTTTCTTCAGATTCAGATGAATAATCAGTTTTAGGTTGTTTGCAATTTAAAAGTCCTTTGTTAGCAAACATACCTGCTGCATTACCATATCCAGTATATTTAATCATTCGACCAACTAAAACGTAATGATAAGAATTTTAAATTTTGTATTGATTTATAAATTAATGATCGAAATAGACATAATAAAAACTTACCATTTTCTTTACATAGGACAAATAAGAATTCGGCAACTAAGCCTCTTAATTCCGTTAATGGCGAAGTCAATAGTTTACAAAGTTTTGCCCTGAGAGTTGAACCTTCTTCAGGACGCATCATAATGTCTTTTTTATGTAACGGAGGTAATACTTTCTGTCTTGTATATTTCCTTATCAATCTTTTACTTCGTGAAAGTTTTAATAGAGCTGTTACTATGGGAGAAACATTTTCTACAATATTGCGTTGATTAACTAATTGTCTGTCTAAAAATTGTATCAATTCATATATTGCAGACATGTCTGCATTTTCATAAACTTCAGTAGTTTTAGATTTCGTCTCGACTGGTGAAATAATCACGTCATAACAACTACTTGGTATGACGGTTAATAAATTAACTACATGACTTAGAAGTTCATCTCTTGATTCAAAATTTTTTAAGATTAACAACTTATGCAAAATATGTATTAATTCTATAGATTCTTGCTTCTCATCTTCATTAGATTCATCTACGATAATATATAAATTGAAGAGAGTTTTCAATATCTCACAAGATATATCAACAATATCCTATAAAATAAATCATTAATTATTACTATGAATATTTAAAAAATTTTAACAATATAATAAATATGATATAAATATTATTTAACGTACTTTGGATCCATCTCTTATTTTATCAGAGAGAATTTTTAATAAATTAGTCAACTCTTTGCTACCATCTAATTGATTTTTAATAATATTTCTAGATGTTACGTTCAATGCTGTGACTAAAAATAAGATTCGCACATCAAATAGTAACATTTTATAAGATGCAGTCTGGTTATGAATACTTATTCGCTTGATTAAGTTAGCTAACCAAGGGACTTTAGCTATTTGTATTTGAATACCAGCAGAATTGTAAATTAAATTACATAATAATTTCACAGCTTCTAATGTTACTGAAACATTTTAATATAAAAAGTTTGATGATTATTTATATTTTTTTACAAGAATTATTGAACAGTTTTAATACAAACCATTGCTATTTAAAGAAGTAGTGGAATTCACCAAGTCAGCCTTAGTAACGATGAGTTCTAGTCTTTCATCGGTTATAAGATCATCTAGATGCGTTTTATCTCGACTAGAAAAAAATTATTAAATTAAACCGTTATCAAAAATCTCAATTATCCATCAAGGGTTTAATATAATAAAATGTTATAAAGTTCATAATTACCTAAGAATTCGTAGAGTTTCGATACATTTTTCATGTATTTCAGAATATTTCTCATCAGCTAATTTTTTCATTAATATATTCCAAAGCATTTCTCTCAAGTTATTTTTATTTAATTCTGGGAATTGCATTGTTTGTGCATTCTGAAATTATATAGAAACATTAATATTTTTTTGCAAATTCTATCAGTTAAAAAATAAAATTTTAATAAAAAATTAACAAATATTTATAAAACATACCTCTTTGCAAAACTTTTCCAAATGTTTGGAAAATTCAGAAACGTTTTCTGTTGTTATATTATTTATGAACACTTCCATTTCCGTTAGCAATTAAAATTATTTGACCTATTAAAAAATAATTACAGTTTCATTTTTCATAAGTAAAAATTGTGACGTATTTTTAAATCTTCGTATCAATAACACCTGTCAACAACAAACTCCAAAAACGTCAGAGCTTCATAAATAATTTTACTCTATTCTGCAATTGTTTGCACTATACTCAAAACTATAATTCTTTTGGAGGTCATATATAGTGTGGTAATGTTTAGTTGTTTACTTACATTATAGCGTACTACTATTATGGAGAAAGTGCGCTTGACTTTGACTATAGATAAATAGTAAAACGGAGTACAGAGTATAGTCTTAAAAGTGCTCTAAAAATTAGAAATTCATCAGTCAAAATGTAAAATCATGTGATTTACAATTGTATATGATTTACAAAGTAGAAAAAAGTTACAATTTATACATAAATAAGTGATAATACAAGTGAAGGATGTATATAACCTTCAGTAATTTACTGATAAACTTTTTGGAGAAAGTCAAAAGCACAGCATAAAATTAAATAAATGATTCTTTAAAATGAAAGTGAAAGTATTTTTTATACTAAATAATTTATTATTGTGAGGTTATGTGCATGTATAACAATTTAAAAGACATCTTTTTATAATATGGAAGAACACAAAGATGAATTTCAACCGACGACACCAATGTCTGTGGTTAAAGAAGAGCCCGTTGAAGCGGGAAATCAAGAGATTCAACAGTCGCAGTTACAAGAAGTATCCAATGATGATGATCCAGAGCAAAGAAGCGTCTGTACGCCTGACGGCCAAGAGAATGAAATTCACAGTTTCCTGACTAAATGTATATTTTGTAATAAAACATTCACAGTTGAAGATAACCCAAAATTATTAGAATGTCTTCATGCTACTTGTTCGTCATGCATTGGAAGCAAATTGAATGATTATCATGTTTATGCTGACAATGATATTGTAATAGAAGGAAATCTTATTATTTGTCGTGCATGTAATGTTGCGAGTCAGAAGGAAAATTTAATTGAAAATAAGTTTTTTTCAAAAGTAATGAATGATGACGGTAATCAGGTGATAGATGATGACATTCAAGATATTGAGGAAGAAAAGAAATGCACTAATTGCCATGATAATGCAACAGCTACCAGCTGGTGTGTTGATTGTGAAGAATTTATTTGTCAAAATTGTGTTTTAGCACATCAAAGATTGAAAATAACTAAAGATCATACCATAAAGCCAAAAAATGAAGTATTTAATGAAAAAGACGGAATGAAAAAGAATGAAAAATCTTCATCTAATGACGCATACTGCTCTATTCATCCTCATGAACAATTGTCTCTATTTTGTCAAATTTGTAGTGTATTAACATGTAGAGATTGTCAGCTTGGTGATCATAGACTTCATAAATATAAATTTATTCATGAATTAGCGGGTGAAGCAAGAACTAGTGTGGAAACTTTGCTTAAAGAAGTTTCTTATAAACGTGTATTATTAAAGAGCGCAATGAAAGTTATTGAAGATCGTCAAGTTTTAATTGTAGATAAGAAAAAAAGTTTAGTTCATGAAATCACACAAATGGTAGTTCAATTGACAAAAGCAATAAGTACAAGAGGAAAACAATTAATAATGCGGTTAAATGAGGTATGTGATCAGAAACAGACAACACTGAATGAAAAAAAAGACGCTCTTGATCAGTTATCAAAATTAACTGATCACTGCATTCAATTTGTGACTTATGCATTGAACAAAGGGTCTGATAGAGAACTTCTTTTTAGCAAAAAATCTATAGTTGGGCATTTACAAAGAATAAAAAATCGACGAGCTGATATACCAAATCCTGAAATTCCTGTAAGGATTCATTTATCTCTCGAAAAAGTTCCAGATTTAGTAAAAATTATTTCTTCAATCGGGGCAATCGTAGTTGATGGCCGAGTGTATCCATCCGGTTCTCCAGCATCCGGAACTAGTACACCTACGACTCTTTCAAATGATACACCGTTGGACCAAAAACTACTTGTACCATTGTTCACATCTACTTTAGAGCCTAATACATCTGCTGCTCTACAGATGAATACAACCCAAGCAGGGAGTCCTTTTCCCTCAGTATCTTTTACTCAACAACAATTATCCACGCAACAATCCCAACCTTCGCAGATTTTAACGCAGATGTCTGGTCAATCTCAGAACTACCCTCCACCATATTCTGCACATACTATACCACCGAGGTCTTCCCCACCTACACAACACCAACGAATGCCGTACGGTGTGCCATACAATGGTACGCCGATACGTTCCCACTTAATTATTCATCAACGTCCTGGAGTGGGAAATGGTCATCAACAACAGGTTACATCTTCGACTCATCCTCAACAACAAATTCATCTAGAACAACTCAGCCAAAATTCCAGTTTACGTGGACTTTTAGCTCACAATCCACCTCCTTTCAGAGCTACATCTAATCATGTTGCATATAGATTACCGCCAGGATATCGATATCCAGGGGGAAATGTTGTTTCACGTGCTGCACCTCCTATATATCAACCAACGAATCCTGCTTTGGTATCTGGAGGTCGAGTACAACAAATAAATCCAACATCTGTAGCGAACCAACAATTAAATTATCCATTTTATCAACAAACTGCTCGCTGGCATATACCTCAAACCGCTAATACTGTATCACCTTATCAGCCACGGATGTCAGCCCAAACTTTACAATCTATGCCGGTTGTACCTAACGACGCTTATAAAATTATGTTAAAGACACAACAAATAAATACCCACAGTAATAATAATAGTAACAATAACGATACTGTTAATAAGACTAATAACAATAATAATAATCATAAGAATAATGAAAATAACAGTGATCAAATACATCAAACTCAAACTTCGGCGACTTCTAATGGCCAAACTGTAACATCATCAATTCCAAAAACACCGAGCCCTGTACTTGCTGGGAAAACAGATGAAAATGAAAAAAGTCTGGATAAATTTTGTCAAAAATCGCTTACTGATTTAATGCTTACCATTGCAAAGTTAGATTCTAATGGTATTTTAGTAATTCCAGAGTCGCAGAAAAATCCAACGGATACTTCACATGTAGATAGTTCAACTGATGAAGGAACTCTTTCAATTAATGAAAATCCTTCAGGTAATTTATTTATAATGTTTATCGCATATTTTATTTTTTAAAAAAAAAAGTTAAAAATTATTCAATTACATTATTTAAGATGATTTGAAGAATACAACATCATCATTAGTTAAAGACGATCCAAATGAAGATTGGTGTGCTGTATGTATGGATGGTGGAGACGCGGTACTTTGTTGTGATAAGTGTCCAAAAGTTTTTCATTTATACTGTCATATCCCAAGTCTAAAATCGTTTCCAGAGTAAGTAAATGCTATTTCAACATTTCTTTATTCAATGAATATGTATTTTAATTTTTAAATTTTGTTTATTTCAGTGAAAGTGAGACTTGGCAGTGTATGTTATGTACGAATGTTTTGGATTGCTCAGAAGATCCACCTGTTAGTAAAAGATCGGATATGATGACTCCAAAAGAGCTACGAATAGCTCAAAGAATTGTATTGGAATTGTATTGTCAATATGAACAAAGTCTTCCATTTCGAGAAGTGGTTTCTCCGGAGGTAATTCATTATTATTTTTATAAATGAAAATTTTTAAAATTATTCTATTATTTTATTCTTTGTTAAATTTTTAGATTGTAGAATACCATCGGATCATCAAAAAACCAATTGCTTTAGATACAATTAGAGATAAATTAAAACCCGACAATCCAAACCATTACACTGAGCTTAAACAAGTAATGGCTGATATAAGATTAATGCTAAAAAACGCATTTAAATACAATCCGGTAAGTAAAATAAATTCTAAAATTTACTAGCTTAATTTTTTTATAAACATTCATTTAATTTATTATTCATTATCAATAGGTTGATTCTCAAATTTATCAACAAGCTCGTAGCCTTGAAGAATTCTTTGACAAATTATTACTTAAATGGGCACCAGATCATGCTTACGATGATCCTTTCTTAACAACTGATGCTGACGAAGATGAAGAGGTATTTCCACCAAATCGAAAATATCGACGAATAATCAACGATTGAATTTTTTTTAATATTAGAAAAAAAAACAATATTTAAAATTAAAAATCTTATACATTTGTAAAATTTATTATGTGCTACGAGATTCTCCATGGTTAATGAGTTACATATTTTTACTTTAAAATGTTGAACATTTATTGTTATTTGATTAATATGTATAGTATGATCAAATTTTTAATAATTAACTTTCAACTAACTTTAAAGATGGATTATATCAGATTCGGGTTACAATAAGTCTAGTAGATAGACACAATTTTATGCAGTAAAATGACATTCATATACAGTATATAATTTAAACTATCACTTTTTTATACACACTTTTAAGTTATACGACGGATACACACTCCAATTCAATATTTTTCATAGCATACTGAATTCCATTCGTAATCAACAATGTTTTTTTTTTTTAAATTATAGCAATATTTTTAAATTACATGATTAATAACTATTTATTATTTTTAGTTATTTTCATTCTTATTCCATTGACCACTTGAAATGAAATATGTATCAATACTTTAGATGTTTATTGGTAGAAATTGACTACATCAAAATGTATAGACACTGTTCTTAACTCATTCATTTATTTTTAAGTCATCTCAATAATAATTATTATTATACAAAATGTATTTTTATATTAATTATTTAATATACATATCACTATTATCAATTGTATATTGTCTGATTCAAATCTGGCGCATGCTTTGTTATGTATGTGATATCTTTATCACTGAAATAACAGTGATACCATATTAGAAATAGTTGATCAAGACTCCCTCTGATCTAAATACATCTTTCAAAACTACTGAAAGTGAACCTGATTATTTCTAATGAAGAGCTGTCACTTTTTGTTGATGATTGTGAGATCGGTGCATTAGTTTTCTTAGTCGAAAATAAACTGACTTTGATAGTGACGTGTTCACGTGACTATCTTTAAGTCACATCGTCGAAAAATATATCATACTAGTAGAGAATATACCTTCGATTGATCTGTGTGGCGGCAGTATTTTGTTTATTCGATTATTTCAATCGTAGGTAGGAAACAGTATCATCAGTTAACTAAGTAAGTTCTAAATAGTTTTTTCCAGTATTTAATAGTGCAATTTAATATAAATTTAAATGTAAATCAATTCATTTCAATAATTTTTTTTAAATTGACATAATTTTTTTGAGTTCCACCTTTATGCAATTGTTTAACGAGGTCAAGTTCCACATCTTATCATTTATAAAAATCTCTTTTTAAAGCAAATATTTATTTTTGAAATGTATCATAACATAATGTTATATTTATTTTTATTTGAGAGTATTTTTTATGCAATGAATTTATTTAATTTTTATGAAATTAGCTGTAATTGTGCTAAATGTAATTTAAAAAAACAAGGAATTGAGCTGAAATATAGATTTTAAAGTGGAAGTGAGTGTTCAGATCCATTAAGTTTCAAGGCAATAGAAAAATAGGCAACTCGCCAGCTAACGAAACAAAATCTAAATTCTACTTTGCATTCAAGCTTCAAGTTAGCTATTGGTTTAAAGGAAGACTTAAGTTACAATTGAAAGAATATTCTAAATACTGTAATTGTTTGAATTATTATTAATGATAAAAGCATCTCTGATATATATTTTTAACTGAAGATTAGAAAGATGAAAACAATTTGGGTGATTGGTGGTCCTGGATGTGGAAAAGGAACCCAGTGCAGTAAAATAATTGACAAATACGGATTGCTCCATATCAGCAGTGGTGATTTATTACGGGATGAAGTGGCCAGTGGAAGTCCTAGAGGAGCTTCACTACAAGAATTGATGTCAAAGGGTCTTTTCGTTCCAACAGTAAGATTTTTAATAATTTTTTCATTATTCTCAACTCATCGACTAATTACAGACATTTTTTGAGCATCAAGTTTTCAATTTTTTTCAGGATATTGTGTTATCACTCATCAAAGAACGGATGGAAAAAGCTAAAGCAGACGGAAGTACAAAAAGTGGATTTCTTATCGATGGCTATCCTCGTGAACTAGATCAAGGAATTCAATTTGAAAAAGATGTAAGTTTTAATTTCCCGATTTACTTTAAAAAATTAGCCCCATCAGAAAATTCTGATTAAACTATTACTTTTAAATAATAAATTTTAATTGATTTATTGAATGTAAAAGGTATGTCCAGTTGATTTGATTATTTTCTTTGATGTGGCCAATGAAACTATGAAATCAAGATTACTTGGACGTGCTGCTGTATCTCAAAGAGCTGATGATAATGAAGAGACTATATTGAAAAGAATTGAGATATTTAATGTAAAAAATAATGAAATTGTTGAACACTACAAGGATAGAGTAGTCAGAGTAAGTTAGATTTATGCATAAATATATTGATTTTTACATCGATTGAATAAATGAATAATGTAATCATAATTATTGTAAAAATAGATTGGTGCTGAAGGATCTATAGATGACATTTTCGCTGAAGCCTGTAAAGCATTAGAGCCTCTATTCAGTTTATAAATATTCAACTTGATGTAAAAATTGCTACTGATAATTCTACTCCAAAAAGGCCTTGGACAACAAATTCTACGCAATGCACATTTTTAATTTATCTGACACACATTACGGTCTACAATCACGCTGCAATCTTAAGCCGGAAACAGGCAATTTTCTACTGTCAAATTTTCATGAAATATTATCTTTGTAACTACTTGTGATATGTAATCTAGTAGTTCTAGTTCGGTAACAATCGAAGAGAGAAAAATTTTAATGTTTTAGATACATAGAGTATCTATTCAAATTCTATCGAAACTTAATTTATTATTCATTAATAATATGCATATATATACATATAGATGTATACATAATCTATATTTTTTGACTAAAATAATATCACCTAAAAGTACTTAAATAGAGTGTATTTATTGTTAGTGTTTTAAAATCTGTAATAAAAAATGTTGAGAATAATACTTCGATATATTGGATTCATCTGTTTGTTGTTTAATATGTTGACTACCTTGGAGGCTAACTTTAGTGTATGTGATGAGATTAATTATCAAGCTTTACCGAAATATAATTTATATCAAAAGCATGCACGTTCTACAGAAACAATAATAATTCAAAAAAAACTGTTATCTTTGAGAGAATGTAAAAATTTTGCGATATTAAAGAAAGCTTTGGCTTTTAATTTTAATCCAACTCCGAACTTATCTAGAAGAGAACATGATGATTATTCATTTAATTGCCAAGTATTAAATTGCCCAGAAATTTATTCTTCTACTTCTCTTATCAGAGATCAAAGATACCATTATTACAGCTTGTATTCTCGTAAATTACTGCCTGCTAAAAACAATGGTAATTAATTTTCAATAAAATGTATTCTCACAAGATTTATTGTTGTAGAAACATATCAATAATTTATTGAGTATCTGATTTTTTATTAGTAAATTATATTGTAACATGTGTACCAAAAGTTGGATTATTTATATTTTCAAAAGTAAGGAAAAATTTTACTGAAGCTCAACAAACATGTAAAAACATGCATGGTACATTGGCACACATTGTTAGTGAAGAAAGAACCCAAGGTTTAGCTAAATTTATAAATTCTCCTACATTCATTGGGCTTAATAATAGAGGCAAAGAACAGATTTGGAAAAATGAGTTTGGTAAATAAATAAAAAATTTATAATTATTATCAAATCAATGAATCATATTCAATTGTACCCTTGACTAAATTTTCAAAATGTAATTTAAAGTATTTTTAATAAATAGTTCTTTCTTATTTTTAAATTTAATTTCTAGGTGAACCTTTATCATGTTTTCGATATCGTGCATGGGCAAAAGGTGAGCCAACACAATCGCGTGGGTGTACAACTCTTGTTAAAGAAATAACTAATAAACATGATTCTCGATCATTTTGGAAAGTTGCTTCATGTTCACGAAGATTAACTTTTGTCTGTGAAATTTTACCTTTAAAATCAAAGACTCACAAAAAACATAGATGGTAAATAAAATTTATTACACCAAAACATTTACAATGGTGTTATAAAAGTTTTCTTATTACCAAGAAAATAAAATTAATGTATCCACAATTTTTATATATTTTTTATGTATCATATATGAATAATATTTACATAATTATTATGCGTACAGTAGCTAATATAATTAATAATTGAATCAATTATTACATTTAGTTAAATGTATGATTTTTGCTTTTTCATAGGAATAATTTTTAAGTACTTAATATAATAATTATCCAAATTTCAATTAACTATACATTATTAAGGAGCAATCAGCAGGAATTAATTATAAGTTATACATTAATAATTATTATTTATGGAATTATATTAAAAAAATTTTTTATATTTAAAATTTAGCAGCCAACATTTCACTTGTTCAATTCAATAATTTATAACGATCTTTAATAAATAATTTGGAGCGAGCGTAAAGATCGATTATATTAAGATATAAAAATACAAAATGATTACATAACTATTTACCATTGTTATAAATTATGTATTATTCATTGTCTCATGTAAATGAACATTATGGAAATGTTTATATGTTATTGAATGTTGCCTACAAAATTATTAAATATCAAATATATGGAATTTCAGGTAACTCTCATGTTTTGTAAAAGAAAATAAAAATATGATCAATTCACCATTTTTTTCAGGCATTTATCAATACTTAATCACTCATAAAATATTAAAAATGCAAAAATGATTCATTATACTTTACTATAAAAATTAAATGCATAACAACATATTATAAAAATAAAAAAACAATTAATCCTTATAAAGATTGTAAATGCACAGAAATAATATATTATTTACTCTAAAAATTTTTGTGCGAGTGATTAAGAAAATCATGTCTTTAAGCCTTAGCACCATACTAATAACTGACACATTTAATTTTACGTCTGCACTATACAATTTTAAAAATTATTTTTGTAAGTTTTGCTTTGATTTGGAATTATTTGTCTTTAAATAATCAGTCATCAAACATTTTTTACGTGTCCAATAATCATTTGATTGTTTCTAAAAAAAATCGGCAATGAATACAATAAACGGTTGTTTCCATCTAAGTACAATGATTGATATAAATTGAATTATTACAATTGAAATCAAACGGGTTCAGTGGACGGAGTGCTAGATGGGTAAAAACTACAATAATTATGGTGCCATGGTTCGATAGATAAAATAATCGAACAAATTGTTAATAGATACTTGTTCATTATCTATATAGAAAATACAAAAAAATTTGTATATTAAGGAATGAAAATACTGGTATCACGATGGCCGTGAGGCGTATGTGCGAGTCTTCACCGATTCGTTGTACAAATAAAAAATCATTTATTTCGGGGTTATTAATAAAATATAATAAAAACAATACGTACAATTAATACTCTGATGTAGAATGTTGTTCCAAATTAAGGTTTATTGTTAACAGCAGATGAATTAGCCAATAAAGGACCTATTTTCCTTAAGTTGGGCTACTGTTCGTTGCAATATTAATTGTTGTTCTTCTAATAATCGAACCTAATAAAAAAATTTGGAATAATTTTTTATAGCTTTTCAATGAAATTTAAAATACATTAGAATGTTAAAAATACTTACTCGATCCAACAATTGATTGTAAAGACGGTAGGGTACGTAAGCATTTCCAACAGGAGACGTAGTAGGAGAAACCGGACATGTTAAATAGCTGGAATTATTTCGCTGATATGTAGAATTATCTTTATCCTCTTCTTTTACTCTTATCTCATCGTTATCTTGATTTTGATCAGAATAAATTTCAGAAACATTTGACAGCTGTTCATGTGAATAATTCTTTTCTTTTTTCAAAGTAACGTCCGATTTATCAAATTTATCGCCTGATAATGTTTTCTTTTTTTCCATTTGATTTAATTTTAACTCTTTAATCTGAAATGATTAAAAATAAGATTATCTTAATTCTGATGATAAAATGTATTTTATTTATAACATTAAATTTTAGTTGAAATTGGCAAAAAAAATATCAATAAATTTCCCTTTTAATGGCCTAATAACTATGACCTATCGGATATTTTTATAGTCTATTGTGCAAGTAACCTCGAATGTTTAAAAGCATGAATAAAAAAATTCAACATTACCCAAGGGGCTTTTTGTCGTGTCTTTCCATGAAGACTTTCACTTTCTTCGTCTCTTGGTTGATCTACAGTGTCTGTTGTTCCATTTGTCACGTTGTTTTCCTGTTTTTACAGAAAAAAGAATTAGAAAATTGAAATAACTTGTTTTTTTAAGGCATAAGATTAACGATAGAATGTAATTGAAGAGAAATTAATACATATTTTTTATTACCTGTAATAATGTTTCGTTGGTATAAGAGTTAAAATTATTTTGACTTCGATTACAATGGCTAGATGGTAAACGTCTTCGAGGAGCTTTGACTCGAGTTGCAGTTAAATGCAATAATGGTGTGTACTCCTCTCGTTCAATACCATCTAATTCTTCATCTACTGCTCCATGAACATTTTCCGTATTATCGACATTGGTCTCATCATTCGTATTTTTTGTTGTTTTTTTTAAATTCATTGACATCGACAATGATTGAATTGATGAAGTATTGCTACTTCCAACACTTATTTTTTTCTCACTATTTATTATGAGCGATGACACTGAAGGAGTTATTGGTGATGTTGAAGATGTTGCTACCGATTTTTTCTCTGGTGTTGAAACACGTGTATCTAAACTTTTTCTAACAAAAGCTTTTTCTACTTTTTTACCAGTATATGAAGACTTGGTGGTACTTGATTTTAAATTTGTTTTATTGGCATCTTTCAATCCAGACGATTTGGCTTCATCTAGTGTAGGTGATTCATCCTCAGATACAATGACTTTTACGAAATTGTCGGGAAACAAACCAATTCTGCCTCTCAATTCACCTTTCCACCAACCCTGTAAATAAATGACTGATTTTATGTTGTATTGATATCACATCGATTAAATTTGAAAATGATATCAAATTAATTACCTTATCAGGAGCATCACGAGAAAGTATGGTTATTATATCACCTTCAACAAGTGTTAATTCATCTTCATTAGCTGCCTCGTATGGAAATAAAACACGACACAGTTCTTTTTTAGTATCACGTTCTCGTTCTTTCAATTTAATAGGCTCTTCTAGAGTTGGTGGAGACACAAAGTTCGATGGAAATACTCCAATACGGCCTCCAATCCTTCCACTCCACCAGCCCTCTTCAACTTCCCCCAAAAACTCAATCATATCATTTGGTACGAGCGTCAACTCGTCCTCATTACACGGTTCATAACTGAATAGAACTTTGCACCACCGACTTCCTGATGACCCATTTCGCATTGTCACTTGCTCTTTTTTTCCAATAGTATTAACTTCTGTCTCACTTTTTAATCCACTAGTAGTCGCACTTGTTAATGAAGCATCAATAACCTGAAATAATATATATTAATTCTTAGTATTGATTTATCTTGTAATAGATTCGTTAATCCGATAGTAACCTTTAAACATACTTTTAATGCATAGGAGTCTATGAAAAATTTAAAAAATATAAAAGTAATAATGCTTAGTATTGAAGTAGTTGAAATTTTTAAAATACACTAAAAAGTATAGTTAAAATAAGAAAAGAGAATTACATTTTCTAAAGAAAGAAAAATAAGAGTGAAAAAAAATTGACAATTTTCCGAGCATAAATGACTCACAAATGTTGATATGAAAAATGTCATTAAAAGATGAACGAAAAATTACCTTGACAAAATTATCAGGAAACATTCCGCGTTTATCTTTCAAGGTACCTTCCCACCAACCTCCAGGCATGACTTTTATATCTTTTATGATGTCCCCTTTTCGTAGGGTTAACTCATCAGGTTCCTTTGCTACATAATTATATTCTACAATAGCTTCCATGTTTTATTCTCGTTTCAAATCTGTAATATAAAAACATTTACATCATCATTAAAGATTAACAGTATTTTTTTATTACCTATTTCACAAAAATAACTTCTTAACAAAATGAAATGAGTTAAAATTCATCATCAATCACTTTGTTACGTTACTAGCATGTTAATCATATGATAAACTCTAACTGTAATGATAAAGACGATATACAATGAACAAAGAAAGGTTATATTATTTCCAATAGAAATGTGATTTTTAAATAAATGTATTTTAATAAATATCAAATGATTTTTTTAATAAAAATTTTTCTTTTCGCACTATACATAAAGGATACATTATCTATAATGATGTAAAAAGAATTAAAATAGAAGATATATTCTAATTTAATGATGATAATTGAATGAATAACTATTTTTACTCACAACAACCATAATAAAAAATTGTTTTTTACATAAACACTAAATATATTATGTAAAGTAATCTTTAGGCGTATCCCAAGCCGATTTGACAGCCAACAATTCTCAAATGTGTCACCGTTGCCATATTGAATCCACCGACAGCAATGCAATGTGGGTAACTAAACCACCTGCATAAACACTTCTCTTACAACACATAAAGAGTTCGTTCATTTTTTTTTTTAAAATAATGTATAATGCTACGTTTGTTCATTAAGATTGATTTAAAAACATTGAGTTCTATGAACTTGTGAACTCCGTGACTATATCATTTTTGGAGCAGATGCAAAAAATTGGGCTCGTCCGGGATTTGAACCCGGGACCTCTCGCACCCTAAGCGAGAATCATACCCCTAGACCAACGAGCCTCTTGTGTTAAAGTGGGAGTCAAGCGCCATGATTTTTATATTTTCAGCATCTATGCCAAACACTCGGACAGCCACCTATTTGGTAAAGAACTGGAAAAGCTATTCACAAATCATAATCTAATGGATGATAATTCCTCATATATTATCGCTGGGGACTTTAATGCTAGAAACATCCGCTGGGGGTGACAGCGTCACCAATGATAGAGGTAGACAATTTAAGAAATGGGAGTCGGACTTTGAAGTCCCATATGGATTTAAGATATACCCTCCAGCTCTCCCCACTTTTCCAAAATCCGGCTCGCGACTGGATTACTGCATTGCTGATAACAGAATCGAAATAACAAACTCACCTAATGAAAAAATTCCAGTTTTGGAGTATGATAGTGACCACAATGCTCTCCTACTCTGCATTAACACGAACACACTATTCGATGGTCTTGCGGCTCCTATGGAAAGATCAGTAAAGTACAACTACAAAAAGGCTAACTGGGAGAAATTTAAGAGGCATATGAATAAACAATACAAAGAGGAAGAACAAGTCCCAGCTAACAGAAACCTAACAATCACCGAAATCGATGAGCATATTATAAAACTAGAAAATCTCATAACCACCTGTATAAATGACATTATTCCTAGGATCGACCCTAATAAATGGAAATACTATGAAAAATATGAAAGCAACGCGATTAAAAAACTCCACAACTATAAGTCATTCCTCCTATCCAGACTTCATTTTACCAGATACAAATCTCCTGCTGCCCACAGTAAGCAAGAAATAACTAGAATCAAAACTACAATAAGACTTATAAACAAGAAATTAGCCAAAGAATTTAAAAGGACCATCACCGCTTATTGGAAGGCCTTGATAAAAAGCATCAACTACAGAGACTCTCATCAATTCTTTCCATTGATCAATAGATTGCTCAGACCTAACAAAGCCATCAAACTAAGTAACTTTAAATTCGATGTAAATAGCAGCGCCTTTAGTAAGAATTTGAGCGAAACTCATCCTCATTTAATCAGCAATAATGAAATTATCATCACAGATCCTCTCACTAAATTAGAGGTTATTGGAAGCTATTTAGAGAGCATCAATTCTCCTCGTTACACCAATATGGATTCTGACAACAAAATCATGGCTGACTCGTCGACTGATATACTCTCAAGCACCAGAGCCAAAATCCGACACTCTAATCTAACTTTCACGGAATTCACAGAAGAGAACAGTGCATACAACCCTTCCCAGGATAGGGATAATGGTAATGGTCCTAAATGCTTCTTCTCACAATATGAAATACAGATTATTCTGAAAATGCTCAAAAATAAAACCTCTTCTGGACTAGACAACATACCAGCTATTGCCCTTAAACATATCCCGGACTCAGTAATCAGAAGCTACACAATCATATTCAACAACGCCATAAACCAAGCCTACTACCCGGTAAGATGGAAGATGGCAAAGGTACTACCAATCTTAAAAAAGGACAAAAACCCGCACGACCCACAGAGCTATCGCCCTATTAGCCTCACCATGAATATTAGTAAAGTTTTCGAGAAACTCATCAAGGAGTCTCTAATAACTCATATCAACTCTCACAAGATCATCCCTGACAACCAATTTGGTTTCAAGACCGGCCACTCAACCACACATGCAATCCACAAGTTCTCCTCAGATATCAACAACTACCTCCACAAAGGACTAACGATTGGTGCTGTTTTATTAGATTTGGAAAAAGCTTTTGATTCTGTCTGGAAGAATGGACTGATACTCAAGTTGCTTAACTACAAATTTCCAATTGGGCTAATACTACTCATAATGGACATGATAGAAGAGAAAACATTCAAAACCTGGGATGGGACACTTTTTTCAGAGACAACCTTTAAAATCACCGAGGGCCTACAACAAGGAACTGTAACATCACCAATTCTATTCAATATATTCAACAGCGAAATAATTAACCTATTTGGACTCAATACAGCTGACAAACTACACTCAATAGCCTACGCAGACGACCTGATCGTGTATCAGGCAGACACAGATGTCAACGCAATACAATCTTCCCTACAAGTAGTGGTCAACAACATCAACATCTATTATAAAAATTGGAACCTCAAGATCAACCCCACAAAAAGCGAGCTGATTTTCTTCAGAAGACCAGTCAAAAAAGTACCCTACTCCACAATCAAAAAAATAAACAACGCCAGAATAACAGCCACGGACATACACACCAACCAAGTACACGCCATCCCATCAAAGAAAATCGTTAAATATTTAGGGGTTCATCTTGACTTCCTTTTCAGGATCAACACACATCACAACCTACAACTTGAAAAAGCAGTAAAAACCTTCCTCTCGAACGGCAGGATCTTCTACAACACCAACCTGGAAAATAGAGCCAAAATAATTTGCTATATGCTGCTAGTTCGTCCCATCTTTACCTATGCCGCACCTGTATTATGGAATACTGGCCCAACAATAGTTGAAAAAATGCGGAGATTCGAGAGATTGTGTCTCAGGACCTGCCTCCGAGCCCATAGAACCTCATCCTCAGGATATGTCAAAAGAACAAGTAATAAGTTCATTTATGATAAGGCTAATATCCCAAGAGTGGACTCTTTTACGTTAAAACTAACCAGACGATACTTTGGTAATTTAAACAAAGTGAAAAATGAATTACTCGACTCCGTCAAGGATCCAAATGAGCAGCTGATCAGAGAACAGCTCGCTTCCGGCTATATCCCTCCTGAAGGATTCAAATTCTGTGACTCACTAGGCCTAATCCAGGATGCGAAGAATTTGCCTATTATCTATCACCTAAAAAGACACTCCGCTAATAAAAGCATCTCCATCAACCCAGACTTACTAGACATTAACATGAGCTTCTCGAAAGCTCTCCCTAGATCTGACCTAGATGATACTAACAGAGCGTCAAAGAGTTATACATGGCTAACGAAGGATGCCAAATACATGGACGACATAAGAAGAAGAGCTAGAATGAAAAAGAGCCAGAAAGATAGAAGAAGGAACCGATAACCAAGCTGTTCCTGGCAGAAGTTCCTCACCTCTAGCTACCGAGGGCTCTCGCCACAATCAGTATTCACTGATTTCACCCGATGTAAATATGTACATACCCGTCATTCTATTCTATATTCTCTTTTCTCTCTCTTTAGGCTAAGCTTTTTCCTTAAAACAAAAATGATAACGTGAAGGAATTTTTTGATTAAATCCAAAAAATTTTTTTGTCCTTTTAAATTTAATATCTTGTTGATAATAACTCTTTTTAATTGTTATCTTAAGTATTACATATATACATAACGAGATTATATTACTGTTAATTGGATATAGAGATTATTACAGAGTCTAATGGTTTGTTAGCTAGTAATATCTAAGTATAGTTAAGGTATAGTAGTTTCGTAAGTTAGTTTTTTATACTTTTACATGTATTATTGTCAGTTGGATTCAATAAACTAATCTTTTTAAAACCAACGAGCCTCGGATATGCACGTCAATGTGAATATCTTTCATTAATTATAAAAAAAAAAAAGTTAAAAAAGATTGGATTATCATCTTAAAGCAAAGACAACATGTTTGTACACGTACTGATTATCTTATTAACATGATTGATCTCAAAATGGCGAGGAATGGACAGCAAGATTTTAACAGAAGTGCCTTGATAATCATGAATAAGCGGGTTTGTAATTTTATTTTGAATTCATTTTAATCATAGTCAAGAAGTTTATCGATATAATAAAGTATTTCCACAATAAACAATTTATATATGGGCCTCAGGTGTGTTACACAGGTCAACGTATAAGTAGAATACCTGCAGGGCTAGTAAAAATAGTAGGAGCTAATTGCGTGACTCTTGATTTATCATACAATCAGCTCACGTCTATATCAGCATTAAAGGACTATGGGAATCTCCAGGAATTAATTTTGGATAATAATAAGTTGCGTGATCTTAAAACATTACCATATGTACCGGCTTTAACAACAATTAGTTTGAATAATAATGAGGTATTTTTGTTATTATTTATTTTATAATATTAATTATATTTTTAATTAATTTAATGAATGAGCTTTTTAATTAAATATTCTGAACTATTATTTTATTCTTAAAAATAAGTTTCATATTTTTGACATCTAAAATTAAATTCTTATCAATAATAGATAAATTTGATGTGTTATTCTTGACACAACTTTACGAATAATAAAACTACCAAGCTCCAAAAAAAAAAGGTTTTTATATGTCAACATCAAAGTAACTTGGTGTCTTCAAAAGAAAGATTTCAATTAGAATTGTGGTTTATTTAAATAGTTTTAATAAAAGTTAATGAATTAATCATGGTATCTTTTAGTTGAGTGATATAGATGCTGCATTAGAAAAAATAAAAAACTGTTGTCCCAATATCAAGTATGTGAGTCTCTTGGGAAATCCGGGTTACCCCGATCAACTCACAGATCCTGTGAACAATGATGAGGCAGACTATGATCGTTACAGATTATACGCAATTCATATTCTACCAGATTCTCTCCGCTTTCTCGATTTTCGGCCAGTTACTCTAATAGAAAGAAAAGACGCTTGTGATCGAGGTCGTTTTCTTCGGACTATTAAGCTTTCCACATCTTCGTCTGTGTCTGGACCACAAATTACTCCTATGGATAACATAGATGCTATTCTAAACACTAATTATTCTCCTTTACCAACATCTAATCGTAGTCCACATGATCATAAAGGTATTTATTTTTACATAATATAATTTTCATATTACTTACGAACTTTCTTCATTCGATTATTAATCAACTATTTTTTAATTACTTATTTATTAGGAGCATATGGCAAATGTCGTTATCGATACTCTGGAAAAAATTCAGAAGGTAATCGTTTCATTATAAACAGTGATCTTTAATTTTTTATGTAATAGTACACAGTAATAGATTGATAATAGTAATAATACTAGTGTAACTTGTATGAGCATAAAAAATTTAAGTTTATTTGATCCAGTTAAACTGGACAGGAATATTTTTACAAAGACTTCTATTTATGAATAAGTACATAATTTTATATATCGGTCTACAAATTTTATTAAATCTCAATTTGAAAAATATTAAAAAGTATGTATAAACATTTTTCAATAGACATAACTTATATATAATTTAGTATATTAATGTCAGTAATTTTATATCAATTTTTATTAACAATAATTTAGAAAAACATTTCAGATTGATAATACACATGCATAAATCTATTCACAATTAATTATTAATTCAACAATTTTGTTTAAATTTTAAATATTTTATATATATTTCATTTAGATATTCGATTATATAATCTATTAACGAAGTCAATAATTCTTTACGTCTTTTATATCATTTCTTTAATTAACTGTTACTTCAATACTTATGTTATATTGCATCATGTAACTCAAATATATTATATTATTTATACGAAATAAGTGGTATCATGAGTTTATTGGAAAACTAGTATATTTAACGTCCTTAAATATACCATTTTTGAATAATCCTTGTATAAAAAAGTAATATAAATAGAAAAAAGTATTCTTATATAAAGTACTTCAGGCCACAGTATTATTTAATACGAACATAATTAAAAAATATTAAGAAAAATTATGTTTACCATGATTGTATAAATTTGGCCGAAGTGTTATTGCACCTTCGACCCAAAAATTCGGTCTTTCTAACATACTTTGCCATAAAGATAATTCTCTTCCTGTTGCATCCATCCAATCAACTGGCTTTCCATAATGTTTACCTAAAAAATATTCAGTCATTAATTTATTGGCGAGATTATTTCAATTATCAGTGAAAATTTTAGATATTTTATGAGTCATCAGTAGATTTCTATAAATAATTTGCAAAATTTTTTTCACGGCAATTAAAGATTTACAAAATAATATCGTAATTTTCTATGTAAGTATTTAATTTTAATGATTTCTAAACAAGCATTTATAAATATTCATAAATTAATTAAATGCTTACCAGTTCCAAGATTAAATCGTACTCCGCCCAAAAATTCATTACTGGCAATGCGATCATGATCCCATACAGTCAACTCAAGACCACGTTCAGCCAATTCTTGAAGGCTAACATCTTTGTAAACAAATGTATGACCCCATACTGGAGATCCATCCGATTTCCTGACAACATTAGTTTTCTGTTTTCCTGATCTACCTTTGTCTGGAAGTAAATAACTTTTACAAAATGGATCGCAGGTTCCAGAGTTTTTTGATCTTGTTTGGAGATGTCGAGCTTCTTTGACAAGTACATGAAGAGATCCTTTACTCCAATTCTTTTTTCCTTTATTAAGTAGACGTTGCTCAGCTCCACTGTCTCTCTCTCTTTCCAATTGAACGGGATCAGGTGGAACGAATTTCAAACCTACAATAACTTCGCCCTTGTAAGTGATAACGGGATCGTCAAAAGATTCTGATCTTTCTTGTAGTAAGTACCAACGAGGAGTGGGATCATCAAAAATTTTATTTTCTAAAGGCATTCTAACTTCTCCTAAGAAATCATTCCTTCCAAACATATCAGAATGCCAAACAGTTAACCATAACGTTCTTGTTTCTAAAGCATTCACATTGATGTGGAATTTAAGAGTTTCATCAAAAACGGGATTCAACGTATGTTTCTTGACTTTAGTCTTTCTCTTACCACCTTTGGATTTATCCGGAAGAAGATAAACTTTAACATAAGGATCAGAACGGTTTCTTTTAATATCAACCGGTGCCAAATCTTTGCATTGACTAACATGGACTTGAAAAGTTAATTGTTTATAATCATACTGTAAAGAAAATTCTACTTCCCCTCTAACAGCAACAGAGCCACACCATTTTCCTTCACCTGCTCCACTATAAACAGAAGCCATTGAATCTGAACGTGCACCGAGACTAGACAAAGATGCTCTAGTATTATGATCAGAATGCAGTCCTTGGCGTTCTAAGTCATCAATATCAATCATTGTACGACTGGACATTAACTTCGAATTAGATCCTCCGATTATTGGAGTACTACAGGCTTCAGATAGACTACTGCCATCATCTGGTACCAAACAAACAGCTGGTTCACGTCGTCGTGATCTAGATACTTGTCGTTGTTTTATACTAATATTTTGTGAGCTTGCTATCTGAAGTCCTGGAGCACTTAGTGCTCTTTTAGGTCCTATTCCGCTGTTATTACCATTTCTACCACCATTTCCACCACTACCATTGTTATTATTACTTAGGCTATTTCTTGCAAATCCAGGAGGACGGTATCTAGCTGATTTTACACCCGTATGCTGGGGAAGAAAATGATACATGCTGTGAGCTTTATGCATTGAAGTCGTTATTATTCCTGAATTACTTGATGTAGAACCTGGCAGTCTTGGTAATGAATTTGTTGTTGTATTTGATGTTACTGAATTAATCGTCGTTTGCATTCCTCGTGGTAATGTTGTGGCTCTAGAATTACCATTAAACTCAAATTCATCCTCAGTGTCATCATTATCGTCTTCATCCTCATCATTTTCATCATCATCTTCATCATCATGATCACCAATTATTTTGATATCTCCTCGAGCATTTGCATCAGGTACTGATGACCGTCGTCTATTATTCCAAATCTTGTCTTCTACTGATCCACCAACATTATTCCCATCACCAGTAAATCCAATTGTTTCATTTACATTATTATCATTATTAGTACCACCACCCGCTCCAATAGATCCACAACTTCGTACTCGATCTAATTGTTCACGTGAGAAACTCTTTGGGCTAAATAATAAATCACCAGCACTTCGTCTTTTAGCTGCCATTGCTAGAGCATTGCTATTAGCACTGGCGCTTGTACTAGCGTTAATGTCACCCGAACAAGTTAAAAGACTTAATTTAGTACGTGAATCAGTGGCCATTAAAGCCGATTCGAAACTACCGCGCCAAGAGAATCTTTCATAGTCACTTGTTTCACGTTCCTCACTTTCTTGTCCGCTTACTCCAGTTGTAGGATGCCCACTAATCAATAACAATGGATCATGGGATTTTGATCGAGGTAATTGATAATGTACAAACGATGGTGTATGATTAGAATCTGATGTTGAATCATCATCTTCAGTTGTTGAAGCTGAAGAAGGTGTTCTATTATGCTGTGGATATCTTCGCCAAGATGAATGATGAGGAGAGCTAGGATTATTTTCTGATACTTGATGCATTAATGCTACTAATCTGCTACCAATGTGATGCATAACTTTTGCTATTAATGGTGGACTACTATGAGGAGTAGAACTGGCATCTGAACTGATATTATCTCCAGCCATTTTTGTGAAACTTTGAACAAGTTTTTGATAAACAAATGCTGTGTCACGTCCCATGCATGCTTGTTTAGATACTGTTGGAAAGTCTTCCTTTTTGTCTACCTTTTTATTACTATTATTAACGTGGTGATGATGGTGATGATGATGACGGTGTCGATTATTATTCTCTTCATCGTCATCATCGTCTTCGTCATCATCATCGTTGCCAGATTTACCAGCATGATTTTTTTTATTACTAATATTAGAATTATTTTTAATAATTACGTTAGTTGTACTTTCGACAGAATTTATATCAAATTTGTTAATTATTTGCTGGCAGCTTTGTGATATTTGTTCTTGCAGAGCTGAACGTCGTCCACCAGCAGCACCTTCTAAATCAGAACTTGTATAGTCTGAACTATCATATGAATCAGACCAAGTATCTTCTGAACTGAGATATTCAACGATTTCTCGTACTTGTTCGTCTTTAATTCCAGGAACTGTTTTCATTAATCTCGTTAATTCATTTTCAAAGTAAACTAATTGTGGAGGTTTTGTACGATTTTGAATGGATATTCTTGATTTATTAGATGTTACTCCTGATAAACTAGGACTCGGAACAGGAGATTCGAGCTGTTGAACACTGGAGTTATTTGTGGTTGCATTAGAACTCTGAATATTGGAATTAGCTACCATAGTTTTAAAGAACTGACGGACTTTGGACATCATCAAGTTAGTTTCTTCATCACTTGACCAGTTATTAAAACTATCTTTTCTTGATAACGAAACGTTTGCATTTAATGATAAATTATTTTGCGTTTGTTTTATTTGTTCATTTGTTCCAGATAAATTCACTTTAGGATCATTATTATGAATATTTCCATTTTTATTTTCCAAATTATTCGAATTATCTTTATTACTACTATCAGTTTTTTGGTCATTTGGTAATTTTTGATGATGAATGAGATCATCACAGCTACCAACAAATCCGGAATCACGTGATTGCTGCTTAACAGAATTTATATCGTTATCATCATTATTATTTTGATGATTAGAAAAATCTGTGATTGGTGTTGAAGATAGCGTATTTGATATAGACTCGGGTTGAGGACTTTTAGATTTTTCATCGCTAGAATTATTTGTTTGTGATTCATTGGGATTATGATTCGATACTTCCGTAAATTTATCACAGTTTTCTTCTTGGATTTCTGGGCTTTTATTTCGATCTTCAACAACACGAGGGCTTTGTGTACCTAGATTTCTGGATTTTTTCTTCTTTCTCTTTACTGTATCGAACTGACCTTCAGCTCCAAATACAGCTGTTTGTCCATCTTCCTTCTGGCCATCAGCTGTTTCCACGGATGAATCATCCGAATGAGTATCTGCTGAGTCTTGATTGATGCTCAAGTCTTGCAATGAATTTTGTAGACTTAAATTTTGTCCACTTTGAGTTAAAGCCAATAAATTATCCAATGATGAACTGTGTGATCTTCCAGTACCTCTAGCTCTTACAAGTCTTTTACGTCGTTGAGCTTCAGGGCTTGGTCGACCCTCGGAATCACTTCCTACTGAACCATCAGAATCTCTTCGATCTTCATTGAATCCTAAGAACTCAGATAAGAAATATTTTTCGAGTCTAGAACAATTGGCAAAATCATTGGCACTTTTATCATTTCCAGAACTGTTATTTCCATTATTATCGTGTCCTAATGATTCAAGACCTTCTGAATAAACAGAACAGGTTTCAGAAAAACTATCAGCCTCTTGATTTAGTTGTGAAGATATTCCATCATTATTACTTTCCACTTCATCACTAGTATTTAAACCTTCGTTATCATTTTTGCTATTATTACTATCACAATTATCATCAGTATCGTTGTTTATGGTACTATCATTATCAAAAATATTATTATTACTAAAACTATGAATATTTTCGTTGTTTTTATTCAAGTGATTGCCATCTTTATTATTACTGATGGAATTAATATCGCCGCCAAGTCCAAAAAAAAAGTATTTCTCCAATTCGGAAGTAGAAGGAGGCCTTGGTGTTTTCTTTTTCCAATTACCAGAGTTAAGACTAAATTCAGCCTCGCTCTCTTCACACGATTCCTCAACAATTGTATGCAAAGTAAAATCAATTGCTTGACGATGGTAACCCCGCAATTCTTCTTCACGATCCCCAAGATTGTTGACTTCATCCTCGGAGCTCTCTTCAGTAAGAGTCGTTCCACTCTGTTCATCCTCATCATGAGAAACTTCTTCCACCCAAGAATCATCATCAGCTAAACCTTCTTCAAGTATCACCGTATCACTAGTATTAATAACATTCTCACCACTTTTACTACTTTGTGGTGAAGATGATTTAATAGATTCGATAGTGTCATTCTTAATATCAGTATTTGTTCTGTCACATAAATTTCTATTTTCTTTTACTGGAGAGATATCAGCCGTATGTTTAATGTTATTTGTCCTCATAAATTGAACGTCATCACTCTCACTGACACTCCCTACATTCTCTACATTCGATCCGCCATCAACTTGTTGCTCATTAGATGTTGTTACCAATCGTTTAACCGTCAATGGTCTTTTAGGTCCTTGTCCATTTCGTTGGTTTGTTTCCGTTAACGCTTCGAGCGCCAGATGGTAGTAACCGGCCAGGCCCTGAGATGACTGAGACTCATCCGGTTGTAACAATGTAGTTGTATCAGAAGTAATGACACTTACTGGCTGGTACGCGCCCTGAGTAATCATTACAAGACTTTTATATTTATTGTTTGTAGCAAGAATATTTGTACTATTGATTTGATCTTTAACCTCAATGGACGCTTTTGATGATAAAAATGCATTCTCTTTTCGAGTAGGCGGGCGTCGCTCGACTGAGCGAAACCGTGCCGTTCCCCGCACTACTGTCTCCCCACCGTTTTCACTTGTTCCATTACTGCTAACAACACCGTCTACCACCTTATTTTCTCCCACCTGCTGACTATCAAATGCTTTTTCATTTCCCACTGTGGTATCGTGATCGTTAGGTCTTTGTGTAGACGAAGACAATGATGATGACGTTGATGATGAAGATAAGGATGGACAATTCTCTGTTTTACAAACTTCCTTTAATAATGTTATTGACTCTATTTTTTTTATTAAAGTTTCATCATTTTTCAATAATGTATCATTATCATTATTTATTTCACCATCATTTCTTTTCAATTGTGGAGATTCAATGCATGGTAAAGTTTCGGAATGATTCTTTATAAGTTCTTCGTTTATTATCGATTCCAACTGATTTTTATCGAGTTTACTACTATTTAAAGTTTCATTATTTCTTATTGTAGATAAACTGGAAATACTTCTTGTGCATTTCTGATCACTAATGGTGTCAATTTCTAACGAATCTGGTACAACACTACTGTCACACGCATGAAAAATATCAGAGTTATTTTCAAAAGTATCGTCCTCTTCTTTTTTAGTATCGTTGTTGATTTTTTCTGAAGTGAATAGAGACAACTCAATTTCATCAGGATTAATTTGTCTAATAGATTTTAATTTCACATGGTTATCTGAACAATCGTCAGAATCAGCAACATAAATTTCATTGTGCTCTATCAACTCACTTTCATCAGTCTTACTTACTCTATTTGCTGAAATGTAGTATTTAGAATTTTTTATTTTTGAAATTTTTTCTTTAAATTGATCTTTGTTCTGAGTGTAATTTCTCTGAAAATCCAAGCTAGATGATAATGTATCTGGTAATTGACTTATCCGTTTTAACACAATATTATTCTCCATAACTCCATCATTAACGTCATCATCGTCGTCGTCATCATCATCATCATCATTATCATCATCGTCATCGTCATTATCCTCGTGGTCATTCATATCGTAATTATTGCTGTCACTCGCTAATGAATCGTCATTAACGACAAACACTCGAGAAAATCGATGAGGCGCTGAATCTTCAAGATCACTGCTACTTGCCGAAGAATTGTCAGATGAACTTGTAGAGTTTCCTCGTGACAGACAGCACACTATTTGATTAGTATCGATCGATTCATTTGCTAATGATACTAAAGAGGTTTCTTTCACTTCACTGTTATCTTGAACTAATTTGTAGTCCTCATCGCCAAGCGATGATTCATCAATTATGTCTTTATTAAAATTACGATTATTACTATTAACAGGACCATATGATTTATCGGATTGAATAAAATTGACATCAAGCGGTATCATTTCTTGTTGTCCTTCAGTCTTTTTTAATTTATCTATTTTTACTCTAACACTTTTATTTTCTTGGCACTCTTCTTCATCACAATTCAATTGCTTTACATGAATGTCACTTGATGAATTTAATTTTGATTTCTCTGATGATGATGACGCTGATGATGATGATGATATCTTTAAGTTTTTATCATAAAAATGTCCGTAACGTGCGAAGGATATTTCTGAAGGATGAAATGTGAAAAAAGATGAATCGAAGGTTTGATCGATGATTTGTGGTTCACAATGAAGACTTGTTCTATGAACTTTAGACGGATTAAATTTGGGATTTGGCCAAGAGAACCACGGAGTTATTGAAGGAACATTTTTCAAACTCAAATTGTTGTCTGAATTGGCACAAGTTGTAATCATAGAAGATGCTGCTGCTGCGAAATCACCGTTATTCCAAAGAGAAGCCGGCACTGGCACTGGATAAGGTACAGGCACTGGTATAGGCACTGGTACAGGAAGAACATTTCTACTTGATGAGTTACCACAAGCCTATAAATAATTCATTTTCATTAATATCTTTAATGATTAAATTATTCACTGAATAAAAATATACTGACTGAAAAAAATCGTACTAATTTTCTTGCTATTTAAAAAGTTTAAATCAACAATTTCATTTAATAATTTTTATAATTTTTCAATCAATATAACTAATATTCAATCGTTAAGTTTTTAGTTATATTATTTTTACTATTAAAATTAGAAATGACGAAAAACCAACCAGACAAGCTCCTGATCCGCGTCCTAAACAACAATCCCACGCATTTTTGGAATCTTTTAGATCAGTAATATCTCGAGATTTGCTACGAGATGGCAAAATTGATGGTAAACGTAAACTTTCGCTCTCGAAGTAATCCCAATCGCAATCTTCAAGATTTTGAGCATGGCTATTTCGTGGTAAACCAGTTAAATATGACGATCCAGAACAACTACTATCTGCATCATCTTCCTCACGTCCTGATGATGAGTCTGAACTAATAAAAACTAGACGTCTATAATCAGGATTTGGAAGATCTTGGCCATGAAACTGATCGTTACTCCTCAGGAAATTTGGTTGTCGAGTTATTGGTAAGTTTGGTAATTCTTCGTTGCAGAATGACCTTGCATAAGATCTTCCTCTTCTTCGTGAACCTACATAGAATACATTAATAAAATAAATATACTATTTAAATATTGTTTTAAATCGATATAACTATTTGAAATTTACAACAAAATCTATTATCTTATTTAATGAGAGTTTTCATTATTAGATAAGGTATCACAATAAAATTTCTTCTTATTTCTGGTGAATATTTGTAATGTTAACAATGTATTCTAGATTGAAAGCTAGTTTGCAGTTAAAAAGTAGAATTACTGACTACCACATTTGACCATTCAACTCATCTAACTTATCTGACGCTTAGCTACCGTATCGTCTTGCTCACTGCCCACTCAGAATCATTCAAATGAGACAAACAGGAACGTCTACATAAAGTTACAACATTGCGAAAAAATATTATTTATAAAAAGTAATATAATAAACATGAAAAATTCAATGCTAAATATTTGTAATTGAAATTTAAACTCCGTTGAAAAACAACTAAATATTGAGAGTATATTTTATAATTAAATTAATTGAAATTTTTTTTAAAAAAATTATCACGAAATTTTATACATGGTGACTCATTAAAACATACTTTTTCTTTTTCTTCCGTTTTTTACTTTTATATATTACGTTGTTCTAATATAGAAGTGTAACGTATAGAAAAAAATAATTGTATTTATATGGTTGAATGATTAAGTATTCATCGCAATAACTTCCAATGTCATGAATTTATGACGTCAAATTATTGAAAACATTTAACCAAACGGATATAATTAATTAAAAATATTACCAGTACTGTAACTATTTTTAATAATCACTCCTCCACCATAAAAAAAATACGACGATTGCAATAATATAGAACATCAAAAACCACATTGAAATAATCACCGTTATACAAAGTTGTATGAGTCTTAAAGCACTCATACTTTACAACAGAAAAAATAATACAAAAAAATGAAAATGTCAAATGAATTAAATAACGAGAGTGTTCGTGATCGAAAGTCACTAACGGTTACTGGAACAGTCACTAAAGAAACAAATTGAAAGACTTGAGGGCTTCAATAATCGATTCACTGGTTTAGTATATTATGTAGGTAAATGATATATACCAAGCCCTGTTCATATCACATAGAATTTTCATTTACTTAATGTGTCTACCTTCTACCTTGTGAATCAAATTGCCTGCGTCGTCGCAATATGGTTCTTCCCTGCGATGAAACGTTGGAGAATTTATTAGAATCAGAACGTGAGAGACATTGCTCGTTGAAGTCGTCTTCACCAGCACTTGTAGCACTATCACGCTGTATTCTTTTACTGTTTTCTGCACAAGATCTTGGATCGTAATAGTTGCTCTCGTAAGATCTTGTCTTCTTTCCTAAATCTACGTAATCGTATAATCCTGATTCATTTAATCTGGAAAAAAAATTCTCATCAGAATAAAAAAAACGGAAGAGGGCGTCTAGCAAGAGTTTACTCCTTCATGCATACAAAGAATAAGATTATTCATTTCAATTAAGATTTGCATTTTAAATGCTCAAGAAACAAGCCTTAAATTGATGCTAGTATTTCATTAATACTGTTCTATTTAAGATAATTCATGGTTCTTATGTTTCGTTTATTTTATAATTTTCTGCAAATATTTGCTTATTAAAATTTTTTTAAATTGACCAAATAGTTTCATTTGTAAAGTAATTACTAAACGTTATTTCATAATTCTAAAATAAAATGCTAAAGAATAAATTGTAAAAGATAATTTTATGTGTGAAATAATATCAAAGTACCTTATACTCTCACTACCACTGCTTTCATATCGTGCACTGTTATTAGACTCTCGTCTGGATCGCGTAATGGCATCACGAATTCTTTGAGATGATATAAAAGATTCACTGGCTGTAATTTTCCGAGGAAGACCAGGTGTTGGCTCACTCTCGCTTTCACGAGGACTGTATCGAGATGACCTAGTACTCAATGGACTTGCTTCTGGTGATAAATGACTTGATGAACGTCTGTTTGTGGTATCATCAGTATCATCTGTATTATTCAACAGCTCTTCTTTAAATCCCTTAGTTTGTAATTCCTCTATTTTAAACATTTCTCGTTTTTTCTCATCTTCCAAATTTTCTTCCCGATTGTTTAAAGAATAAATATTAAAGCTTTCCATATCTGGTTTATTTTCTTCATCCTTTTTCATCATAATTGCTTCATTAGCCATCATTGAATTACATTCTTGAGAACATACCTTTTTTTCCATATTATATTGAGTAATGTGTGTTAATTCTATTTTACTATTTATGGCAGAAATACTAGGGGAAATTGGCTTTTCTTTATTATCTTTCTCTTCTATTCGTTTAATTCTATCATCTTTATTTTTTTGAAATAATGAAAGTTTTGGAATAAGACTTGATGAATTACTATCGTCTCGATATCGTCGCAGATCGTCGGTACTACCACGATATAATCGTTGAGGTATTAGAGATCGTCTCGTAGATTCACGTGAACTTGTAATGTCCTCGAATTCACGAACATTTCTCTTCAATACTGGAATGTTAGACTTCCGGTCACGATTTTTCAACGTGGACTTAGATCCACTTCCGGAAAAATTAAACTTATCTCCGGATTCCGAAATTTTGTTGCATGAACGAGGAGTTTCAAAATTGTACTTGTTTATAAAATCCCCAATCTTTGACGGTTGTTTTAGTTTTGGGGATTGATTATCATCGTTTTTCATTGATTCTATTGGTTTATTTTTCCCCTCTGGAAATTTAAGTTTACTTTTCTCATTTATAACTTTTTTTTTGTCATTTTTGGGCGTTGAAATTTTATCAGCTGACACTGATCTTAAATACTTGCCCCACAAGAATTTCTGTCTTTCAGTAAATAATTTTTCATTCTCTGTTGAACCCCATGTATTATTCAGTGATCGACGATCCCTATTTCCATGTTGTTTTGTTTTATCTTTTAGTTTCATTCGTTTATAATAATATAAAGGTAGACTTCGATATACCTTGACAGATGATAGTCGATTTTTTTTGATTTTCCAATAGCCAGAAACACCTAAAATATAAAAATGTTAATTAATGCAATTCAGGCTAGGTATTTTAATTGAAATAAATTATTTAATTAATATAAAAGATTAATTGAAAATGATTAATACTTATTTTTACTTTTATATAGATATTTTAATAAATAGACATTTTGTTCAAGAAATATAGACCTTGTTATCGTAAATAATATTCATTTCATTCGAAAATGACATTTACTTACATGACTTGTCATGAAAGCCAAAATAATTATAGAAAATTTATAGAGCATTGAACAATTATGAAATATTGACATCTTTGATATACAATCTATAACTTTTTTATTAATAATATGTTTTAGTTAAATCGACTAAAAAACTAGCTTCCAGACTTACGCTTTAATTACAATGATTAAAACATAAAAGTTGATATTTCATACCATTGATAGTTCGTATCCTGTAAGAGCGAGGTTTCAAAATATTTCTCTTGCGTTTATATTTCTTGATGATCAGTCTGAATCCAATTATTGAATAAATCAATCCTTTCTCTGGTTGGTTTATTTTTATATTCAATGTTCTGTAACAGTAAATAAACATAATTATAAATGATAATTAATTAACATCGAGTTCATACGGTTATTCAAAATGAATTATTCCAGCAAGAAAGACAATAAAAAGAACAGAAATATCATAAATAGTTTTTTCAATACATTCAAATATAATTTCAATGTAATTAATTAAAGCAGATTTAGGTCTAGTTTTTTTTAAGATTATATTTAACAAATTTCTCGATTGATTTCATTACTTTTCTAATCAATCATGCCAGAGAAGTAATCAATCCATCGTTGTGATTGTGATTAATCAGACATAAATTTTTTACTCATAGCAATCATTAGCATAAAATTGTAATATTCATCAGTGGCATTAAATTTATAGAAAAAAAATTATAAAGAATTATTACTAGGCATAATTATACATTGATAAAAAATTTCATTCTATATTTTCGCTAAGCATTATATCAATAGTATATTAAATGTAGCAGTTAGTAAGTTAACAAGCCATATAAGGATAACATAATGTTACATTTTATTTACATATTTAGTAACATTCATAAGATCAAATTGGTTAGCTTAAAATACTAAATGCATCATATCGGTAATCATATGTAGGAATGTGTCTTCCCTCGATACTAGACTGTTTTCTCTTGTTAATAGTCCCGTTTGGTCCAGTCCACTGTCCCGTCCTCTTATTCCTATCTGATTCTTACTGTACTTATACTGCACATGGCCGTGTATAATTTATAAACTCGAAGTAGGCCCGAATATTTTTATATTACCTGCATACTGATCTTTCTTACTTTTCCTAATATAAATGTATTTTATTGATAAGAATTGATGCATGCATATTCACTTTTTTTATAAATTCTTGATCGAATAACCGACTTTAGAAATTTATAATAACAATTACAGAAAACTTTTCCTCAGTTTTTTTTCATTTTCTCACCATTTTTTTTTATTTAAAGAGACTGAAGATTCGTTTATAAAAATTTATTGCTGATAATTGAAAAAAAAGAATTGTCTTGTTTTATTGGAAAAATAATGTTTATCACTCAAGATATAATAAAAACAATAAGAAAAATTAGTTAACACAAAGAAATTAAAAAAAAAATGTTAAAACACTCGAAACAATTTGTAGAATTGAAAATAAACACTGATGTTAAGATAAAATGAATGAAGTTAATAAATAATTTATTGATATACATATAAATTTTATAAAAGTTTACCCGTGTCTTTTAATGGCTTGTATTCCTTGCTGTTGATTCACATGTATTATTCCATCCATTGTTGATGAAATATACTGGCGCATTGATATTCAATTTGTATTATGTACTCTTATATTCAAGATGATTATAATAAGTAAATATACATAATCATAATTAACTCATAAGTAACAACTAATAAATAATAAATAATAAAAAAAAACATGAACAATCAAATAATAATGTAGTCCTCCTCATAACTATATAAGTACAAGAATATACGTCATAATCGTAGCAGGAAAATTCCTGCTAAAAATAGGATAAAATTACAATAATTCCATCAATCGTTTTTAATAATAAACGAATAATTCCAAAAAGCCGTTTCAATTGTTTAAAATTAATTCGATTGTAATTGTTAAATCAATTAAGCATAAATTGCACAAATTATTACCGGTAAGTTTTTAAATTTATATAAAATTTTCGGAATTTTAGAAATTTCAATTTTAAAATAAAAAAGAATGAAATTTTATTTAATTTTATGCTAGTTATTTCAAATGTAAAAACTTTAAAATATTAATAAAAAATGAATTTAATAAAATCCAACCTCGGTACTCAGGTAAATCAAGCATATTATACTATGCTATAAGCCAGCAGCACCACAAGAACCTTCTCCATCTATCCTCTTCCTTTTCTCAGGCATGCCGATGCATGATTTATATTTTTATTAAATATTAGGCTTTCTTGAATTTGCCAAATACAGTAAACAAGTTAGGAATAATAACTGATTAATTAAGGGATAGAGTCACTGTAAAGCACAAAAAAATTTTTAAAACTTGAAAAGTATATGAATAAAGTAAATGCTACCTGTTGCATGTAAACGCGTCGGTGCTACACCTGAACCAACTCCAGCCAACTATCCAATTCCACTCTTGTCAATTGGTTCCTTCGCGCATGCGTTACTATCTTTCAACTCTGTCACACATGTAATAAGAAGTATATGCAGCTATCCAGCTGCTGTATGTACATACTAATGTACATATTCACCTGAGAAAGAAAAGACTTGTCCCTGTATATTTAAGTATGCTCGGAAAGACGTTTTGTCTATCTGTGTAATAAACAGCTATTATATGTCATCTGCTCAATCTTTGTATTTTAAAGCTTAATACACTCAATCTATTTATTCAAATTCATTTTTATGCCGAAATAATTTCTTTTCTACAACTGGAAAATATCTATGTAACCAGTTTTGTCATCAATCATTCAAAGCATAAATAAGGAAGAGTATTTTTTCTAAAAAGAAGAAAAAGTTTAACTTAATTGTTAAATCAAGAAACGTAATGGTGTACAGTTTTTGGATTATTTATAAACATTATATTTATTATTTCTAAACTTGAAATAAATTTATACTCAAATAAATAATCTAAGCATCTAATTATTCTACAGAAATAACTATGTTTTGATACAATTATATTATAGTAAATATGAGATCTAAAAAATTTTTAGTTTGTAAAAAATAATTGACATTTGATAAAAAAATGTTTTATTTTATTTTAACAAATAAATTTTTTATAATAAATCATTCTCAATAAATATCTTGTATTATATAAGTGATAATTTACTTTCAATCAATTAATAATAATTGCAAATATACTGCAGCTGATTAACAAAAATATTTAAATACAAAAAGAGTAGTATTTCATCTCTGGTGAAAATATTTGATTACATTCTATAAGAATTAACAATGGCTTAGATGATAACGAAAAAGTACAAAGCATTATTATTATTTTTATATTAGTATCAATATTTGAACAAAAGTATACCTGATATTATTTGATTTTTTTCCATGTTATATCTATACGGAAATTGACATTTTTGTAATATTCACAACTTTGAAAACTCACTCACTCAATGACTTTCATTTTACCCCCAGCATGATATTCTCAATTAAATTAATTGTACATAGTAAATAGTAAAATTTTATTTCATTTTAACTAAAGATTTAAATAAAAAAAGTTGTTCGCATTTCATTTTTACAATTACTAACAATGAAAGAATGGAATAATAATTGGTACTCTTTAATCATAAGGCAAAAAATTGTTTACTATCAGTATTAAACTTCACTAATATTTAAAGTAATAAAATAATTAATTCACTGATACAATATATTAATTACCGTGATTCTGCCTTTGTTTTTGGCGGTCTAAAGGCTTTCATTTTTTTCGTTTTCTTTTGATTAGCTGCTCCTGATTTAGATTGGAATGCTTTCCAACTATCTACACGCGACTGTCTGGACTCTTCGAAATTCTTTTGCCACTCTTTTTCTACAGCTGCTTGCGCTTCAGCTGATAATTCTTCTTCTCGCTTTCGCTTACGTTGCTCTGCATCTCTTGTTGCTAACTCTCGTCTAAAAAAATTCAAACGTTTTTACTTCAATACAATTATAACACCTAATAAAATAATTAACACAGTGATTAATCATTCGCTTTTCCATAATTGCTAAATAAAATTTTGAATGACTATTCAATAACCACATTGCTTATTTATATTGCTCTTAATAATCTATTGTTTTTTACCTTCTACGTTCCATATCTGCAAATAATTTCATTGTCATAACCCAAATGGCATGTCTATAACCCTGTTCAGTTTCTTCTTCTAACATCACAATACCGCCTCCACTATCTTTTAATTCTTTCTTTAATTTTTTCTTCTTCTCTGCTATCTACAATGAAAAAAAAATTTCAATGATCAACATTTCATTTTCGAATTTTTTGAATTAAAATTTTATTCTTATTATGGATTATTAAGTTTAGAATGAGTCATAAACGTAACTTTACTAGACGAAATGTATTTTTAGTAAGATTAGTAAATATTTATAAATAAATACCATGTGATCTGTACGAGCTTTTGCTTCTTCAATAACATCCATGCACTTCGCTCTTGTTTCTTCATTTTCCAATGTTTTCCATGCTTTGTTAACAACTATAAAATGAATGATATAATAGTTAATCTTAATTAGATCGGTATGAAAATTACTACTTACTTTCAAATGCTTGTTGAGCACGGTCTGCATCATCTTGATTTTTATCCGGATGGACGAGAATTGACATCTGTATGATATAAAATTATTTGTAAATGGATATTGAATAAAAGCATAATTGCTGATAAAAAGAATATAAAAAACTTACACGACGATACTTCTTTTTAATTTCATCGATTGAAGTACCGGGATCGATTTGTAAAACTTCAAAAGGATTTAAATTAAAATACGATGATCCAGGTCTTAATAACCGATCAATTTGTTGTTTTGGTGTCAGAACCGAGTCACGTTTTTCTATTTCTTTTACCTAAAAAAATATTACATCATTTTTAGTTTATTTACTTGTTAAAAACTCATGACATATACAAAGTTATGTCACATTCATGCGACTAATTGAAGACAATAAAAAAAATGGTAACACGAGTTTTTATATTATTAAATTGTATTTTGAAATAAATATTATACGTACTTACTTCAGAATAAAATTCATTAAATTCATCCTCTTTACTTTCAGGAAAATCATTTGATAAACTCGACTTTTGAGCAGCCATTTTTATTATTATGTTGTGTACATAAATACAAGATATTGGCTCAATTGTAAAGGTTTATTCACATGAGAATAATCTTGCAGAATAAAATACAGAAATAACATTTTTTCTACAATATCTGACTAATGATTGGTCGAAATTAAAATTTGTTTCTACTGTGAAACGGATATTACTGGTTAGATTGATTCTTTCTCTTTTTTTTAGGATTTGGTATCTTGTATCTCACTCACCAACAAGAATTTTATTATATCGCCATCTAAACAATGAACTCCCGTATTGATTACGTAAACTATTTATGTTCATATCTATGGTCGATATAAATTTAACTTTATAATCATTTATATTTTTATAATTCAATTTCCGCTATTAATTATAAAGAAAATTGTTTATCCAAGCACTTAAATTGTTTAAACACATTTTTTTTTAATTTATAAGAAAAAATTACATGCTGACTTGCTTTTAAATCACATAATCATACTATTATCGTAACCTTAAAAGCATCTCAAGGTTTGCTCCAAATTGAAATCACTCATGATACGATAAATTAAAATAATTTTTCTATTGTAAAGAAACAATTTATCAATTCATTAGTTCACTATTTGTATTGAAAATGATGGTATTTCAAAGATTACCCCAAATACTCAATCCTGTTAGTTGTCTTTGTAAACAAGTTTCTCCACTTGGTAATAAATTATTGCAAAATGGTAAGTCATTTGTTAATTATTTGTCCATAAAATTTATCATAAGATGATGGTGTTTTTTAAAAATATTAATGCCTCATATTTTTGACAGTAAATTCAATAAATTTAATCAGTAAACAAGGAAAAAAAACACGTGTAGCATGGTTGGTTGAACGTCCAAAAACACCGATAGAGATTAAAAAACCAGAAAATAGAACAAGTGTGCCATGGCTAGGTGAACGTCCAAGCTTTCCAGCAAAAATTCCTGAACCAACAGAAGAAGATGGAAGAAAAGAAATGAGTAAATGTTTTATTGAATTACTTGAATAACACTATTTTTAAAACAATACTGATTATATATTTCTTATTTAGGCATTTACAATGAAATAAACAATCAATTGTTGACACAAACTCACAGTAGATTATTCGCGATAATCTATGTCGCTGGCAAACAATTTAAAGTAACAGACAATGATTTAATCGTGATTGAAGGTTACTGGCCACCAAATCCTGGAGATGAAATAAAGTTTGAAAAAGTACTACTAGTAGGTGGAACTGATTTTACTCTAATTGGACGGCCACTTATCAATTCTGAAATGGCCAATGTAAGTGCAACAGTTATTGAAAAGACATTTTCACATACCAAATATATGTTTTATCAAAGACCACGAAAACAGTATCGACGATTACGTTGTAAGTAAACAATTTATTTTACCAATTATTATGAAAGCTCTTCTGAATACAAATTTTTCTAATAATTTATTATATTTGTGTTTTTTAAAGTCTTAAGAGTACAGCACAACTTAGTAAGAATAAATTCAATCAATCTCTATGCTCCAATTCATGAAAAAAAACAATTCGAAGGATTAGACAGAATTTATTGAAACAAAGGCACTTTTTGACTTATATTATTTGTTTTTACTGTGTATGTATTATTTGAAAAATAAAAATACATAGAAATTTTTGCTGGTAAAAAAGAAAATAAATAATTAAATTATATTACAAAATTTTTGCCTTTAAAAATTTTTAAACATTACATATCCATGTCAGCAAAGAAGGTTGATGGATTTTCTACTTTACTACTGGGTAAGTTATGTTTTTTAGCAGTATGTTTAACATTCTTTACTTCTTTTTCATCTAAATTGAAATTTTCAAAGTATTCTACATTCCAAAATTTCACAATATTATCATGAGAAGTAGAAGCAATCAGTTTACCATCATTAGAAATATCAATTGCTTCTATTGAAAATTCATGTTGTCCAGCGATTCCTAATTTACTATTAGGAAAGAGACCTAATGCTCTTAAAGTTCCATCTTCATTACCTGTGATTACTATATTATCAGTGATTGGCACCATACAATTAATTGATTTCTTATTCAAGTTTATAAATTCATCAGAATGATATCCAAATTCTCCCCAATTGAATATATAAAGTTTTCCGGTGCTACAACCGACAAGAACCTTCGTATTGTTTTTAAATAAACCCAGGCATGTAAATTCTTCATCATATTCCACTGATTGACAAAATATTTTCTTTGATCGAATGTCGAGGGTTAATAAAGAACCATCACCACTTGCGCATATCAAATACTTCTTTTCTTCATTTGTTATCATCGAACTGATATAGTCGTTTACTTCTTTTATTGAAAATGTGGGTTTATTATTATTTTGTCGTAAGTCCCACACTGAAAAATATTTAATTTTAAATCATATTTATCTTGTATTAGTTAAAACTACGTATGTTTTTTAAATGACTTATCTTGGAACTTACATTTTACAGTTCCACTGTCATCACCAGTAGCGAATGTATGTTCTGTCAAAAGGTTAATAACATAAATGGGATCACTGAAATAAAATTTGAAAATTATTGTTATTTTCATAATATATTATGAAGATAATAATTTTAAAAATAAATTAACCAACTTACTCGTGTGCTTTTTCATAAATTCCTGTTAATTTTTCTGTATTTACATCCGTTATTGCTATAGATTTATCTTTAGAAACAGACCATAAAGAAACTCCACTATCATTAAATTTCAAGTCTCGACATGCTTTCTCGTGAACTTCAATTGTTGATAAGAGATTGGTATTTTCTACACTATAATTATATCTGTAAAGAACAGTTGTTTATAATATTATAATTATTGATAATCATAATTATTGTTAAAATAATAAGACAATTACATTAATATATCTCCCTCAACGTTAGCAAGTGCGATTGTATCTGATGATGGATTGAAGCAAATATTGACTACATAATCTTCGACTTTGATTTCTGGTGGATGATTACGCTGAGATTTGGACGAAGCATTAATTGCATTTACTAATGTATCATCTTCTTCCTCTTCTTCATTATTTTTGTCATCTTCCGACGAATCAGTGTTTTCGTCAGTATCAATCATGTTCTCATCTTCTTCTTCAGATGAAGAATCAGCACTTGTCATACTCACATCTGACATATTATCATCACTTTCCATTTTCGGTACTTTTTTTATCATATTAGTGTCAATAATATTACTATAAACTTGGTAATTCTTCTTATAACAATTAATTAATTGTTAATTAGAAATATTTCTAACCTTCTAAACAAAAATTACATGTGTTGACAAGTGAGCATGTGTTCGGTTTTAACAATAGTGTGATGAATAGAAATATTTACTCGAACAGAGTATAGTCGACTAATACTCCATTCGTGCTAATTTTGTGTTATTGAGGGATATTCAAATATCTTTTTTGGTGAGGTAAAAAACGTTTTCAAAATTATTTTTAAAGAAATTTTCTACACAAATTCTATATTTGTGCAAATAACATACATATCTTAATTGTGAATCTCCATATATTGTTTAGTGACAATACACTTGGTCATATAACAATCACAAGGTATTTCATGTTCTGTTTCATCAGGATTTAAAACAATAAGTTCTAAATTATATTTTCGCTTATCTTTCATATCTCGATTTAACGTAATACGAAATGCTAAAGGTTCTCCTTCAACAACTTCAGCACTGTTAGGCATGGGAATGCTTGTTTGTTTCCAATGAGTAGGATAATCAGAAGGACTTGTTGATAATAGAGAACCGTCAGGGAATTCAACTTCAAACCATATACAAACTCCTTGTAATTTTCCAGATTGTTGGCATGGAAATACCAAGTCTTGTCCTCCAATTATATCTAGATCTACAGTGATTGCTGTTTTCAGGTCGATCCAAGCTAATATTTTTGGATCTGCTAGCAAATCGCGGTCATCAACGAGCATTATTTCAGGCTTTGATTTTTTTTGCTGTCGTATTTTATTTCCAATACATCTAGGATTATAAAAAACCAGTTTTTAAATTAGCTTCATTTTATTTATTAAATTTATAGAACTTACTGCATTTTTACTCCATGAACATTATCCCAAAAATCATACATTGATGGCAATTGACACGGAGCAGCGTACATTTTAGCAATATTGGGAAATAATTGTCCATCTTCATTTAAAAACCGATCTCGAGCTATTAATACTGTATCTAACATCCCTTCATGAACTAAATAAAAGCCCATCCATTCAGATACAATGATGTCAACTTTTCCGATTGTTTCTGGTTTAACGTCTTCAAGTTTACTAGGTATAACTTGAATGATGTCTATAAAATTATTTTCTTTGACTACTTCATCTGCTAATAATGAACATTTGTTTGCCTCTACTGCAAATACTTTTTTTGCACCAGCTTGAGCGCAAAAAATTGACAAAATTCCTAAGGAAATAAAATAAATTGTTAAATGGTTTATTTACAATTAAATAGTTTTTATTTACATACTTACCAGTACCGGCACCAACGTCCATCACAATTTTATTGAAAAATAAATCTTTCTTGTTAAATATAGCATTTTTATAAGCCAGAACTCGAGGATTGTCTTTAAGCATCAATTCATGAACCTAACATTGTATAAATTATTCCATTTAATGGATTTAAAATAAGAAATCCATTTATAAACATCAATATTTAATAAACTTACATCAAGACTTTCGTATTCTTCAAAATAATCGTCAGGACTCTCTACATTTTTCAAATTTTTTGTACTTTCCATAATAATTAAATTTTTATAGTAGTATTAATTCTCTTTCCAATAAATGGTGTTGAAAACTTAAATGATAATACCAATGAAATTGAATAAACAAAACGTATTTTATCTCATTATCGTTTTCTTATTGAAAGGTTAGTAACGTGGTAATGATGCATATTGCATTAACACGTGTGTTTATATCCATGAGTGGTTCACATAGATGGGTTTGTGTGAAATTTAATTTCTTTCTAGCTACACTATTCAAATATTATATTTAAGAAATTGATTGTTAATTTTTCCCTTTATTATCTATATTTAGGCCATTTTTGTGACAAATAATTTTTTATGATAAACAAAAATACATTATCTCATTCATGTACTAAAGGATAATTCTACATAATTGACAAATTATATACTGTTGTATTGTTTGTATTATAATAACTGTTTTATCAAAAAATAAGAGTAATTATTTTATTTTGTTTTGTAAGTGAGGTAGTAAATCAGCTAATGATTTTATATAATAATTGGGAACCAACTCTTTTTCTCTTGGATCCAGAGAATTGCTCCAATTATTTAATTGTTCTGCTGTTGTGACACCAGTTAGTACACATAGAGTAGAAAAATTACATCGTTTTCCAAATAATATGTCTGTGTTACAACGATCCCCAATCATTATTGTGCGTGATGGATTTATTTTGTTGTTTGCTATCAAAGCTTCCGACATCAGTAGCGATGGTTTACCTATCACCAATGCTTTACGATTTGCACATGTTTCTACGCATCTTACTAAACTCCCAGTACCTATATTAATTCATTGTAAAATAAAAAATACATCAAAATTATTTCAATTGATCTCTTTTATCAATTAAATATTTTCACTGTCTTTGAAAATGTATTAACAGTTTCTTACCAGGAATGATGATATTATTTCCTCCAGGAAATTGCTCATCTGTATTTGTTGCAATAAACAATACATCTCTATTTTTCAAATATGTAGCTGCCTTCATTATTTTTAAATAATTGAAATGTAAATCGAATCCGATCACAACTGCCCCAATATCAGGATCAGGTTTAAATTCAGAAAATGATAAATCAAGTGATGTAACCGGATCTGGCCCCAAACCAATAAATGGGATTCCGGCTTTGGTTAATTCATTAGCAATTCCTGTAATGGATTAAATTTTATTTGAATACATACTTTTCATACTTTTATGAAATTGTAGGTTGGTAAATAAAACAAATATCTAACCTGAAGAACCAATTAAATATACTTTTCTACTGAAGTTTATTGTTTTCAAGTATCTAGGGAGTAGATAAGATGGACTGAGAACACAATCATTATCTGTATAAAAATTCAATTTTTTACATTTCTCTTGAAATTCATCACGAGTCTTTGTACTATTATTTGTAACGTAGTATACTTTTTTTCCTAGTTTTACAAAAGCATTAACAACATCTGAGGCTCCTGGGACTGGATTATTTTCATGCCATAGGACTCCTGTAAATATAAAATTAAAAATATATCTTATTTTTTGAGTTATACAAAATTTAATGTAACGTAAGATATAAGAATATTTATTACCATCACAATCAGTTATGACGGTGTCAAAAGAATCAATAAATTGTTCGAGTTCGTCATCTTTGGATTTGTTTAGATTAATCATTATAATTAATTGTGGCTTTTTTGGAGTAAGTTTTTAGTTTTGAAGTCAAAATGATATCAATGACATTAAACCACTGAATAAAAAAAAAGTGCAGATTGTCACTATAAGAATAAACTGAGGTTCAATATTAAAATTTTCCTACTACTGCAAATAAATAGGAAATTGTAGTTATCTTCTTGTCCTCAAGGTGATCTTTCATAGTTGCTATTTTCCAACGACCCAATTTCGTGTTATTATTAATCAACCAAATTCACTTGATGACTTAGCTTATTTTGATTTGAAATAAATGTCAATAAAGATTATTATTATTATTGATTTGAAGTAAGAATTGGAGAATTATAATTCATATTTAGCCTTCAAAGTTAAGAAAAAGTTGTTCTTGGCTATTAAAATTACTTCAAGTATCTAATTATTTCTGTTTCTACTATATAATATGGTTTTATGTAATAAACAGCTGAATTCTGGATCACGAAATGAATAAAACTATAAATAATTAAAAAAAAAATTTAGTAATAAAATAGATGAGGAATAATTAAGTGGATTAAATGATTAATTCAATAAATAACCATTCGAAGTTACTAGATAAAAGCTCAAACTGATATTATTGATGTGAAAACACATTTTTACAATTCAAAAAGCTATTATCTTTTGAGAAATTCGATGGAACATTGGTAATCGGTATTATCACATGTAAAAAAAGGAGCTAGTTGTAAATGTTAATGATATATAATTTGTGTCATTAGCAGTTACTACACTATACTAAACCGTATTTCATCAAAGTCAGCAGAACATTGTTCAAGTGCATGTACACTTTTAAAACGTTGATCGTAAATAAGAAAAATATTAATAAATAAATAAGTATCCAACAAATAAAAAATTAATAAATAATTATATAGTGATGTTCAATCGTTAAATAAAAATTCATTTTTTAAACATTCAATTTTTATAATAATAAAAATTAATTGGAGTAACCTGTACGTTTACTTCCAATTAAGTGTAAAGCGATAATAATAAAATAACAAGAAACTAATTAGTCACGATATTTTTTTGCAGTTAATAATAAATTAATAACTTAAAGAAGAAACAAAATTAAAACATTATTTAATTATTCAAAAAATATTTACATAAATATATCAAGTATGCAGATTTATAAAGAAAAAATACTCTCCCCAGGACAACTTAAAAGATTGTCAGAACACAAATATAGTTGCTCAAATGCTAGTTTTTTAGACAAATATCTACAATTTTGGTGGGAGTGGTTAGTTGATAAAGTACCACTATGGTTAGCTCCCAATTTAATTACAATTGTAGGCCTTATTATTAATATTGCAACAACACTTATTCTTGTTTACTACAGTCCTGATGCTAAGAATGAAGTAAGTATGAATAATCCGAAATTACTTTTTTTTAAATACTAAAAAAAAAAAAATAATAAAAACAACTTAGCTATCATTATTTCTGTAGATTGTATATTTGAACACAACTATAAATTTTTTCATTTGTCAATGTCGATTATTCATTCTTTACGTAGATATCGTTGCAAAAAAGTATTTAACAAATTAAATATTGATGAAGACATTGTATATTACACTATGTTTTAACTTTCAAAACACTTTTCTAGTTTACTTATCAAATTATCATTTTTTTTAACTTTTAAATTTTTTGGTGCTAACATATAAATTTATTATTTGAATCCTTATTAGTCAGCAAAGAGTTTTATGTTTTGGCAGGAAGTTCATAAAGTTTCAATAACATCATTGATTAAACTATAAAATTTTTTTCATTCTATGAATTTTTATCTTATCTCTATTCTCTTGATGTCATCTTTTTATTATTATTCTAGTTTTCTTCATAATTATCACTCTTTGTAGTACATGCTTATCATTGAAAGAGATATTTAATATTTAATCGGCACTTTTTTATTTTAGGTTCCAAGATGGGGTTGTTTTTTATGTGCATTAGGTCTTTTTATTTATCAAAGTCTAGATTCAATAGATGGGAAGCAAGCAAGAAGAACTGGAAATTCATCGCCACTGGGAGAACTTTTTGATCATGGATGTGATTCCGTTTCGACTGGTAATTTATCAATGTTTTCATATGAATTTTCTCATAAACATGAATTGCATTTTTGAAATTAAATTTCCATTATTATTACAGTTTTTGTCGCACTGTCTGCGTGTATAAGTGTACAATTAGGATATTATCCAAGTTGGATGTTTTTTCAATGTTTCTGTGCAATGACTCTCTTTTATTGTGCACACTGGCAAAGCTACGTATCAGGTAAATGATAAATATTCTTTGTTATCAATACACTTGTAGTCTTTACTAAGTAAAAACTCCAGAAATAGCCATTGGAAAAATGCTAATATTGAAAATCATGGATTTTATCCATCGATGTAATTTTATAACTTGTTTTACTGATATCGTATAATCATAAATTTAGTTCAATTTATTGAACTTGATTTTTTTAGGATCATTAAGATTTGGAAAAATTGATGTGACTGAGGCTCAGTTTACAATAATTACAATTCATTTGACTTCCGCTATTTTTGGGCCAACAATATGGATGACTGAGGTGGTATTCCATTTATTAAATCGATTTTTTGCAATTAGTTTTCGGAGAAAGATATTTAGTAAATTTTCTATCTTTTTATAAAACAAATATTTATATTAAAACATTCTTACTCCCTTAATAGAATAGAATTTTTTTTTTTTTTTAATAAATCAGAATTTAACTTCTAATGAATAGAGAATTGATTGTAGATGCTAATTCATTAATATAATAGATAAGAGTATTGAGTATTTTTTTACAGATTCCCTATCTAAATGGTTTACAATTAAAATATTTATTAGGCGGTATGACCACTGTCTGTGCATTATCGAGTTTTTATTCAATGTTTACTGTTATTTTTACGGGTGGAGTTGGCAAAAACGGGTCAACTGTCGCTGTAAGTTAACGTTACTAGCCCAAAACAACATTCTTTATGAATTTTTTGCATCACTAATTATATTCAATAGTTTGTTAGTGAAACTATAATATGACTGGATTATTCTTTATTTCCTTTTATCCCAAGCTCTAAATATGGAAAATGGAATGCAGCATGGCATGAATAATTAGCCTCACCATCATGTTATTAACAACCGATGATATATGTATTAAATGATGTTTTTAGTTAAATTAATTGATGAAAAGTTTGCCTTCCCATTCGTTTTCGGATTTCGATTACACATAACGTCAAATAAACATTCGGGCATTGTTTTTTTTTTTTTTTTTTTTTTTTAATTTATTTAATGAAAATCGTGGAGATACAACTTTTTATAAAAAATATTACAAACTACAAAGGGTTAAGAATGGATAGAATTTAAATATTATTGTTTTTATTTTAAGGATGTTAATACCATTTATTTTATAGTAAAAATTTATTTGTTTATTTTGTTTTTGAATAAATAAATTTTTTTTGTTCAGTTGCCATTTATTGGCATAGAGCTGAAGGTTTTTTCATTATGGTGTACAGTTGGAATTGCTATTTTACTCGCCCATAGCAGTTTATCGGTTATACTTGGTGGTGGTGTTGGAAAAAACGGCTCTACGGTTGCTGTAAGTCCACTATTTCAAAAAAAAAAAAAAAAATAGTAAAATCAATTTCAAATTATTAAGTACTAAAAATCAATTTTTTAAATTTGCATCAGTATAAATATGACAATATTATTAACAATTTAGTAGTATTTCATGTAGAAAATTCAATAAATTCATCATATTTTATTATATTAATGTCAATTAATAGTAACAGCATTAAATAGAATGAAAGTCGGAAATAATTTCAATGAAAAAAAAATTCAATAAGCTTCATTTGTAATTAAATTAGTATGTTTGACACAAAGGTTCGTGGAATGAAATTTTTCACATCATCTTTGTAGGAAAAATTTTCTATTGCTTTTATTATAAACGTGTCACATTGCATTACAATAGTATCCCAATACATAACATTCATTTGCTCATCAGTTATTACTAACGTATTCAATTACAAAAAAAAAATGATAACTGAGCTTGATGTTTGCCAATATATGCTTTCATGATTAATGTTATGAAATGTTTATTTGTCCATACTTTTCAATAAAATTAAATCAACAATTTAAGGAATTAGTTGTAGTTAATGAATGCTTTGCATATTTTTTTACATAGTTGATTATTTATTATTAATGAAACCCTGTTTGTTACATATTTATCATTAAAACTTTTTTCAGGGAACTTCTGTATTATCTCCAATTATTCCATTTAGTCTTGTTGTTGTACCCGCATATATTATTTATCAAAAGAGTACACAACATGTTTATGAGAATCATCCTGCACTTTATATACTTTCTTTCGGTATAATTGCTGCTAAAGTCACTAATCGTTTAGTTGTAAGTATTTTGAAATTGAATGAAGATTCTTTTTACTAAAATTATTAATTAATGAACTCTTAAATTTTCCAGGTTGCTCACATGACTAAAGATGAAATGGACTATCTAGATACTGGATTGATAGGCCCATGTATGCTATTTCTCAATCAATATTTCAATTTCTTCTTCGACGAATACTATGTCCTCTGGTTATGTTTTGTAAGTAATACATTTATTTATTGTTGAAGAATATGATAAATTATTAATTTTCAATGATTTTAAAATCGGTTATGATTAAGTATTTGTTGAAATTAAGCCTTGAAAATTTTACAAATTTAAGTCTTAATTGAACTCGTAATCGATTAAAGCTATGACAAATTTTTTTGCAGATTTGGGTTACATTTGACTTCATGAAATACAGTTCACAAGTTTGTCTCGAAATTTGTGATCATTTAAAAATAAAACTATTTAGAATACCATATCCAAATGAACCATCAAGTTTTACTGATAAAAATGGTACTACTTCACGACTACAACGTTCAAAACCATCGAAAAAATATCATTAATTCAGTTAAGTAAAATTTAAACACTATTAACAATAATAAAAAAACCGTTGATGCTAATAATGATGATGATAATAAATAATAAGAAAAAATTCATAACAGAATACAAGAAAGATCTGTGATCATACATGTAATAAATAGTACGTTTCTATTATTGAATGAAAGAAATAATAAGCAACAAATAAAATAAGTCATGATTACTGTTGATATTCATTTCATTGAATTAAAGCTCTATAACAAGTTAGAATTTTATGTCTTGCTTGGTTAATCTCATCATGAGGACATTTGAAGTTAATTAGATTTTTAATAAATTATATTTAATTTTTATTTTATACTTTATTTTAATCAATTATCATTATTTTTTGGGTTTTGACGTTATTGTTTTTTAGAAAATTTCTTCATTGCTTACTATTTTTTTAATAATAAAAATATTCTGGTTACGTACTAGTCAAGGAGCATTTTTTTTTAACAAATTTAATTTGAAAAAAAGTAATGAATTAATATTATCAATTAAATAATGTAGAAAATTATAAGATTTTTTGAAACAATATAAAGTTATCACAAAAATTAACTTCATTACAATAACCAATTGCCAAATACAATTTTTGAAGAAATTGAAAGGTTATTCGCGAAAAAATTTGTTGAAAATATAAATAATTGATGATTTACTACTCATAAAAATTATTTACCAACAGATATATTTTGAAAATATGTATACATTCATTACAATTCTGAATTACGTACTAAAATAGATAAAAAGATAATTATCAAAATATTTAGTTATCAAAGAGGTCATTGGATAATGATGAATTTTAATTAATACTTAATTTTCTTAGTTTAGTGAATACTTACGTTAATTTAAAGTAAAAAAATCTTCGATTTTCTTAAGCGATTGAAAAAAAATAATTAAATAATTTAATATTTTAATGAATCTCTGCAACTACGTCAAATATATTCTTTCTCAAATGTTTTATTACCAAAATATCATGGTAATTATTTATATTAACGGTGATCTCATGTTATGATGTCAACCTTGACCTTAAAAAAACAACTAAACATGACTTTGAACTTAATGTGTGCTATTAAGGGCATGACCTTGACCTTAATCTAAATAGTTACCACTGTAACTTTTTTCCAATAATAGTTATTAATTATTAAGATAATATTTTGTGAGAATATTTGTATATTTTCATTGTAAAGATGTGTGGATAATGAAGTACTTGTGAGGTAATTGTAATATTTATAAACAAAGACACTAATTTTGTCAATAGTAAACGAAGGTTTTCTAAAAAAATGAAGCCTTATTTATTAATTACACAAAAATCCTATATTATGTAAAAGTTATAATTTTTTAATAAAAAAAATGAAATGTAGCAAGTGTATTAATAAGTAAATTAAACTTTATTAGTACATTGAAAATATCAAATTATGATTTGTCTTGTGCATTACATTGCTTTCAACTTAAGCATTCCTCTAATAATATTTTTTGTAAAAAATGTGGTGTAAATTATTCAATGATTATAATTTTAACGAGGTGAATATGATGAATGTAATATTTCTACTTGTTTGCGATAATTTGATGTCGCAATAATTCTATTTCTCGGCAATTTTGTTTCATTATCATCATATGAATTAAAATTATTTTCATTTATGCTTTCGTGAGTAATTTTAATTTCTTTCTTTAAATGTTTAGATTTTGTTAAATTGTTAAGTAACGACGGAATACTTGAAAGGGACGATTTTCTTTTATTATTAGTTTGTATTTCTAAGAAGAAAATTTTCAATTTTGATTTACTACGATTTTGTGTTTCTGTTTTATTCTTTTTTGGAGTAATAGAAGTTTTTATAGATTCTTCTGATTGTTTTCTTATACACTTCAACCTCAATCTTAAACACGGCCTACCTTCTGAATCAATGTATTCTGTTGCAACAACAATTTTATTCAACCTATCATCATTTTCAACTTGCTCTGACTGATTAAGTATTTTTGTTATTTTCATTGAAATAATATCAAAAAAATTTCTTGTGTAAGCATTTAATTTCTGAGTGATTAAAGAGTTGGATTTCTTCTGTTCTGGAATGATTAATTTCTCTTCTGAATCCTCTCGATTAATTTTCTCTTCTTCCAATTTCCATAAATCACATGTAATACCAATATCTTTTACTAGAACACTATCATAGCACTTTATCGACCTTTTAGAAAAACATTTTTATTGAAAAAAGTCTTTTTGAATATTTATGAAAAATAAACTTACAAATGAAAAGGATAACCATAATTTTCAGCCCAAGGAGTTGATAAATTTATCAATTTATTACAATTATTTTTTTCTGTAACAATCTCTGAATTTTTAAGATTTTTATCAATAATTTCATTCTTCAGAGTATTCTTAAAATATTTAAAAAATGAGATTCTATGACTTGTGTTTATATTTTTGGTCTTTAAAGAATTATTTAATTTGAAAGTCATTATTTTACTACCAATTGATATCAAATTTTAGACTTAGCTTATTCAAGAAGTCTGTATCAATTATTTTTGTCATAAATTTAATTTTTTACGGTTGGAAATCTATGAAATGAATTTTATAAAACAAAAGACAAATAATAGTTATGAAATTGGTTAAACTAATTCGAAATATTTAATAATTATTCAGCCCGCAACTTACGTAAAAATGCTACTGCAATCATAAAAGAATGAACTACTTATATTCATATTTAAATTTACTTGAATTTTTTTATTCATTAAAATACAATTTGTCACTTGAATAAGTTGAAATTCACTTATATTGTGAAATAATTATTTAACAATAAATATAGAAATTGACTAGATACAATTCATATTATTTGCTCATATGAAAACTTATTCAGTTGTTCAAATAATATTTTAATTAATCGTTCGTGATATTCGTATTGTAATAAGCTTATATAAATACCGAATCTCATATCCCATTATTTCAGAAATACTCTCTAGTGCCCATACTTAACATTGTTCTTCAAATTATTACTTTAAAATAATTTGTTTTAACAAATACTTAAGATCGAAAATAATTACAGAAAAATTCACAATAAATCATTTAAACATGAATTGGAGATTTTTTTCGAAAATTATCATTTCTATTCTCTTTATTAGTAGTCAAAGTATTTTTTTTACTTCTGGAGATGTAAATGTTTCAAGCCCGCATGATCAAAAAATTTTAGAAGGTGAAAATAAAAAATTATTGCTAAAAATAATATAGTTATGAAATTAATTATCGATCAATTTCTTCCAGATTATAATACTGAATTACGATGTGGTAGTGACATAATCTTAGATTCCATGGTACACTACATATCCTCAAATGTCTCCGGTAATTCTCATAGTAAAGAGTGCATTTGGAGAATAATTGTACCAGATGACGATCTTTATCGCGTTTCACTCCGATTTGAGTCATTTGAAGTTAAGGATGATGAAAATTGTCAATATAATTATGTTGAAATAAGAAATGGTTTATTTTCTACATCACCACTTTCCGAACGCTTTTGTGGACAGTTGCCTCCAAACATTTACTCGATTGGACGTGAGCTTTTTATAAAATTTGTCAATAATAAACCTGAGGAGAATAACTGGTTTTATGCTAAGCTGGAAAAAGGTAAGATAAAAAAAATTAACCATCATTAAATCATCATGAACATCTCGATCTAAAAAAAAAATTAAATAAAATTATTTTAGAATTCGATAAATGTCTTATGGTAAATAATGGTTGTGAACATTATTGTTTAAACACATGGTATGGATATAAATGCACCTGTTATAAAGGATTCGAACTGGATAGTGATGGAAAACATTGTAAAAGTAAAACATCTACGATAATAATTGATTTTGTTTAAATAATGAATTATTTATTAGTTCTTAAAGCTAATAATCTCAATTATTAATAACTATTCTTAGATAAATATGATGAAAGTGGTACCATTGATAGTTCAGATTGTGTTAACACTAATGACACTGAAGAATTCTATTGCGTATGGAGAATAGTTGCCCCTCCACGTTATAGAATAGTCATGAACTTCACGTTCTTTGATTTAGATAATACAGAAGAGAAAAATTATTATGATTGCCCGATAAATAGTCATATAGTAATTATGAATAAGGTGGGTAATTATTCATTTCAAATGGGAGGACCCTATTGCGGTACTAATGCACCTCCAGTGACACTTTCTCCCAAAGATGCAGTTGATGTTATATTTCATAATAATAAAAGGTATTTGTTACATAGTAGTCAGTAATATTGTTTTATGGAGGTATGTGTTATCTAAAAATAAAAAAATACATTTTTTAGAGCCGCTAATTCATACTTTTTGGCTGAATATTATACAGTTAAAGATGAATGTGCGTTTAACAATGGAGGATGTATATTTCAATGTCGGAAGACGATTAACTCCTTTGAGTGTGTTGATTCTTGTCATGAAATCAGTCTACCAGATGATTATACCGATGAATCTTATTAATGAGAGGTTAGTCCAACGATCTAATGAATTTGACATTTTAATCAATTATTTAGTTTTATATTAATAGAGTTAATAAAAAAATATTTTATACTTATTACTGTTTATAATTTACTTCTTATATTAAAAATATTGCTATACTAGAAAACTTTTGTTTCCTCATTTTTATAACAATACAGCTCGTAATGTCATAATATAAGATAGAGCGTATGACAAAAACTGAAAATAAGTTCATTAATTTCATAGCAATAATTATTGCTTGACTTTTTAAAAATTTACCTTTGCATAAAAATGTAAAGTAAGAGCAGGAAGAACCCCAGGTATAGATATGTCAAGTTGTTTTTGAGCTCTGCACATAATAATTATCATCGATTTTCTTATTAATGTTGACATATTCGTCCAATCTGAATTATTAAATATTTCCTGAGATATTTTTGAACTCTAATAGAAAGAGAAATGAGAGAAAAAAGATTTAAATTAATATTTTTTTTATTTCATATTCTTAATAGATTGTTTTTAGATTTTAATTTGCTCTTATTATTGATGGTTTTAAATTCAAGAAAGATAAATCTGATAACTTACAGCTCTATTCATATCATCTGCTCCCCAAACTACCACGTAGACTAATAACAAACTGACTCCAACATATAAAGTAGCTCGAATAAGTTCAATAGTGCTATTATACTAAAAATTAAAAATATGTCATTTTTAGAATTCTTTTATCAATATAAGTACTTACATATAAAATTGGGAGAGCTCCAAAAATTACTGTCATCATTCCAGCTACATACAGTTTGAATACCAAAAAACGTAATATACGGTTGATATTTTTGGCATGGCTGTTAGTAATTTTCAAGTAATTGAAAATTGAAAATATTATTTTAAAATATATAGAATGAATGAATATAAAGATTATGTAATTTTTACCCAATACATTTTTGATGTTTTTGAATCCACACCTTCAGTTGATTTTCATTTTTAATATTTTTTAGTCGTAGTGCCAGTATATCTAATTTTGTCGAAATCATACTGATCAAAATAGGAATTCCAAAACACAAGAATAATGTCACTAATGATTGACTCATTATCCAAAAATGCCATATAAAAACTAAATAATAGCTAAAAGAGTATTTTTCAATTTCAGATAAATAATAAAATGGCATGGGAAATTGGCGCTCTGTGAAAAACGGAGTACAAGTAAAACTCATGACAGTAGCAAAAAATAAAATTATAGCTATAGGGTAGACTAATAAGTAATTATTCATATATCTCTGAAGGATTTTTTTCTTGGATCCTTTTGCATTTTTTACATATTTGGTAAAAATTCTCAGCAGTTCCTTAAAAGATAAATGATCTTTTTAATTAAATAATTTTTTATAATGATATAGTAATTTTAAATACTTACATTTAAATCACTTGCTTGATGTTTGAAGACAAACCAATTAAGTAATACATCAACAGCGGATCCAAGGCTACTCAGGCTTTCAATAATTATATGGTAATCACCTTTTGGGATAGAATATCTTACTGTAGCCAATAACGAAATAGTTGTTGCAACTTCATTGATAATACAGAAATAATACACTAGTTGGTGGAAAATTCTAAGCTGCTTAGAACATTTTGAATCCAATGGCCATGTATATGCAATTTTACCTAAAATTGTAAAAATATTTAATACTGATTCTGGTTCGAAATGCATCTTAGTTGATGAATATTTAGTTCATAACTAACCTGAGTTAAATTTTTTGACCAAGACCTAACATAAAATAAATAATGTTGAATAGTTATTAAATAAAACATTTCAAGTATTTTTTTTTATTGCAATAATTTGTTTGATTTTTTTTTTTTTATTATTTAATATAATTTATTAACCATTAGAATTGAAAAAATGTCTAGAAAAAAATTTAATCATAAGATAACAGAGTCATATTTAATAATAAATTATTATATATATTAAAGAATGATTGAGGACAATAATTCTAGAAACGTGTATGAGTAATTTGGTAATCAATATTATTTATTTTCAAGAGACGAAGGGAATTTAACTTAATTAATCATAATATTGTTTTTAAGGGCACATAATAAGGGATATAATTGTTCCATATATTTATATTATTGGAAATTTTTCAATTTTTTATTAATTAAATAAGATGATGGTAATAAAATCAATATTACTTAACATCTTCATAAAGCATACAAAAATATACTGCTTTTTCAGTGTTCTTCAAACACATATAAATTTTTTGTGGATTGTATTTTGAAGATGATTGATGAGCAGTGTTAAAAATAAATTTAAAAAATAATTAGCGTTCACATCAGCAAGCAAGTAGCGACACCTAGGCATGACCTGAAATACATCAAGTTGACATTCCACACAGTTCCAATATGTAGCATTATATCAACAAATATTCCGTTAGTTACAAAAGAAAGATCCAATTGTCATTTGGATACGGTTCTCCGGTCGCGCCCTTGTATCTTTATCCTTCCAGTGACCGCGTAGTGAGTTGTCAACACTTACAAGTGATAATTAAATGTACGGAAAAAAGTGTAAAGAGTAAGTAAAACCGCAAGAGAAACCAACTGTCACACATTTCATTTAATAAAAAAATAGTCAGCCAGATGCGTTCGCGCGGCGTCACGTGCGCTAAGCGATTTTTTGCATCTTGCCGGGAATACGGACAATGTCAAAAATATCTAGAACTAAAGCACTCGAATACATATCGAATTGGAGTACAACAGACGTGATCGAAATTCTTAAAAAGGTAAATAAAAAAATACTTTCTCTAATACTTTCGCTACAATTTGCAACTTATTGGAATGCAATAAGGAGGAAAATGAAATATATACAGTTCATATTCGCAAATCACTTAATTGACTATGTTTTTTTGTAATACACAACGATATTTAAAAAAATATTGACGTAAAGCATTCTATAAAATATTCAACACCCATGCATTTTTTAGAGTTCTGAGTTTATTATCAAAGTAAACATATTATTTAATCTCATTTTTTTTGTTTACAGAATGGCCTAGAAGAATGTTGTCCAGCAATATTAAAACGTCAAATTGATGGAGATGAACTTTTGGTGAGTTTTATTACCTCATGAACGAGTAGACGTCAAAATATATTAATCGAGTTTATTAAGATATTCCTGAGATAATATATGTGATAAAAAAGCAAAGAAGTGTTTGTATTGATGTTTTGTAAGATATCTATGATGGAGAATACAATAATTTTTTTCTCTGTTTTCACTATTGTCTTTCTCACATTGTCTGACTCAATTCTCATTCTCATTCAAGTGTTCGTTGAGGATTCATGATTACCAGACAAAAAAAATAGCAAGAGAAATTCCGATTTCACTTGACGGAATTGCGTGAATTGTCAGTATACGTTGAAAAGTCTTGTAGCCCGCACGACAAATTTTATTAAAGCTCTGATTAATCCTCGAGATAAATTCATTATTTAAAGTTTAATTTGAGTAAATTATGTTTTTTTCTCAACGACGTTTTTCAAGGAATTCAATGGTTAAATGGAATCTATTATCGGTACATGTCCGGTTACCATTTCTTATCATGTTATACTGCTGCCACATAAAATTCAAATAATACTAAATGTCTCTAATTACTCAACAGCACTTAACTGAGGGGAAATTGGCGCTTTGGAAGAGTGACTTATCACGCTCTCAAACATGGTAAGCTAAATATTTTTTATTTACAGCTAAAAATAAACTAAGTGCTGACGTTTGACTTTATTATTTCGAAATTTTTCCTTTTATTCAGGAGTTTATGGACATTTGTCGAAGGATTAAATCGAGCACCAGAAGAACACGTAGTTTCTAATATTACTCATAACGATCAAGAACCGGTAAGCGATTCTGGATCATGGGGAACGGACTGGGAAGATTACGAAGATGATGATGATTCATCAGCGATAAAGAAACATGTTGGACTTCGTAAAAATGGTTCGTCACAACGTAGCACGGGTTTTAGAAATAGTTTAATGGTTTTTCAGAATCATGAAAAGCTTGCACAAAATCAAAAACAATCATCTAATGTTATTTATAGACCAGAAAGTATTTATATGAATTACAATGAAAATGATTCAACTGAATCGAAAGATGAAGAAACCATGTATATGAATTTAGAAGAAGAGGAGCAAAAAATGCAAAAAAACCCGAATAAGAATTTAAATCAATTTGAACAAACTCTTTCGGAACAATTAAAAGAGCATTTAAAATTACGGTCGATTGAAAAACCTGCGTTAATTAAGAACAAAGTAGAGCTGCCTGATAAATCTGAGATACAACTGCCAGAGAAACCCGCTGTACCTGCACGTCCTCCCAAGTTTAACAGTATTGAGAAAAAAGAAATAAAAAAACCAGCATCTCCACCACCGCGCATTGATAGAAGTCCTGTTGTTCCTGAAAGACCAGATGACCTGCCAAAACCGCCAGTAATGATACGAAATTTCGATCTTGTGGCCAATTTACCTACAAAAACAAATGAAAGTGATGATGAATATGAAGATTTCGATGCGCAAATAATTGAACAAAATCGATTAAAGGTGGAAAGTAATCAATCGCTTATCAAAAGGTCTGTTGAAAGTTTATATAAACCGCCCAGTACTACGAGCCAGGAGAAAGAGGCAGAAGAAGATTGTGAAGATTTTTATGAATCGATTACTGAGAATGTAAGCATTTTTTTTTTAGTTTCCCAAATAGTTATTAATATATTATTTGAATAACTTTATTTATTTTTCCGTTTCAGGTGGATGACAATAATTACTATATTCAGCCAATTTCTCAACCTGTCAGAGAACTTCCACAGCTCCCGGTGAATCCAAATACATCAGATTCAACTGTTACCCTATCAAAAACTTCATTATCGAAGATTCAAAACAAAAATGGTTAGTATTGATTTTTTGTCAGAAGTTATTGCGTAAAGAGAGTTAAAAAGAAAAGAAAAAGAAGAATTCCCACGAGAAAAAAATCAATGAGTGAAGCTTGGCAACACGTGGAGTGCAACTGGTTGTTGCCACTTATGCTTTATGCTTTCAAAACTCTTCATACTATTCAGTTGTATGTCAATTGTGCAGGAATAGTCAGTGGATAAATATTTAAACTATTATCAAAATGTAATCAAACAAAAAGGGGATGAAAAAGCGAAGTGAAAAATGTTCTTGCTTTTGTTTAAGAGTTTCAAAAGGTCTTTTAATTGGTTTAGGATTGCGTTTTACGAACGAAATATGTGATACAGTTGTACGGATTAAACGCGTAATGTTGAGATGCTGTTCATCTGAGCATGAAGTTTTGGAGCTCACAGGTTAGAAAAAATGAGTGTGATAAAAATGAACGAAATGAATTTAATAGGATTATCGAAAATTCTATTTTTAATAAACATCTTAGAAATTTGCCTCATGCTGAGAGACCACCGGATCGCTGCGAGTGATGCGTGGTATAAGTTAATGCTAAAGATGTCAGTCTTATCTTCTTAGTCATAACGTGTAGATGTTATTTAATTGTCTCTTCTCTTATCTTTATTTAAATTAAATAAACTTTTACATTTCTTCATTGACTAATAATAATTCTAAAAAAATGGCATTAGTGAGTGATCCTAAAAGATTAGTTTCATTGAATACATCAATGCGAAAACAAGCTAGTTTGTCAGAGTGCTTGACTCAAGCAGCTCTTACTCAAGCTCGTCTTAATCTTTCAAGTTAGTAAAAGTTTAAAGTCGAGTGTTAATCATTTAAGACATAAAGTTTTATTTGTCATACCGTAGATATGTATTGCGATAAAATTTCTATCAATACCAATAGCCACTTTATATACTAAGATAAGGTAATCACAAACAATTTGATAATAAATTAATACAAATTTGTTTATTATAGAACGATCACCTGATAAAAAATCTGCGACTTTACCTCATCCTGGAAGCAGCACATCTTTGTCAGCTGAAATGAGAGCTACACGACCATTACCTCCACCACCCTTTGGGCAATCTTACATTAATTTCTCATGGTTTCATAATGTTACACGAGAACAAGCTACAACTCTTATTCAAGAGCGTAAGAGAATTTAACACATAATTTGTTGTCACATTTATCATTATTTTTTCTTGTTATCTATAGGAGCTTACAGTAATGTACACAATGGATACTTTTTGATCAGGCCGTCAACTTCTGATATAAACAGTCCTTTGGTTCTTGTGGTTTGGCTGAAAGACAGAGTTTATAATGTTCCTATTAGAAAAAGAACAGACAACAGGTAGAAAATATTTTTTTGGTAGAAAATATGTGAATGAAAACTTTCAAACTTACCAATTATAAAAAATATCATATCTATTTATAGGTTTGCATTAGGATCTCCTAAATTAAATGAAAAGACGTTCATAAATGTAGATGAAATTATAACATATTATTCAAAAGAAGAATTAATTTTATATTCAAGTGGAAAACAAATGGGAAGTACTAAATTAACAGATTCACCTCCAAAATGAATTAGAAAGAAGCACTGATAATAAAATTAATTGAAATGAAAAGAAATCAAGAAGAAGCTGTAATATACTGTCAATTATGAGTGACTTTTTATGAATCTCAAAGCGTGCCTTAATTATGTATAATAGACTGCCTTGATGATAAAGAATACTTATCATTTCTATTCCAATTTATTTTTAAATACTAATTAATTATAAAGAAAAGGAAGTGCACTTTTAATATAATTATTTTAACATGACACAAGTGCAATTAATATTTATACTTATCAATCATGTGCATTTACTTTGTATAAGATTTTTCAATCGTACTTTATATTTTTGCACAAATGTGATTTATGCAATTTAAAAAATATTTTGTAAATGAATTTTTTCGATGTATTTATCAATAAAAATCTTTTATTGATTAATAAAATATGAATGTAAGATAATAAAAAATCTGTCGTATATTAATTAAATATTATCTAACAATTCATTTATCACCTGTGAATTATCGTTATCAATAATGTTTTAACGATTTATCAAGTAGACGAAGCTTTATAGCTTTTTTTGTGATAAACACAAAGTCCAAAATTACAAATTATGTTATTACTATTGAAGTTTTTCGCATTTACAATCATTATTGATGAGTAAATATCATTCAAAAAGTAATAAATTCCAGAACCATAAGTTTAAATGTTCAAATCAGAACATTACCAACAGTAATTTTAAACTTACGCGCGTCAAGAGTACCAACGTTGAAAAAAATCCCAATTCATTTTTAAAGTCTCGACCGTTTATAGAAATGGAATAATTAGGGTGCGATAAAGACAGATTATAAGCAACAAGACAGCCATTCTTTTCTAAAAAGATTCATACTGAACACGTTTTACTTGTGCTAGTTGTTAAGTGTTAATAAGTGAGCGCCAATTGAACGTATTATTTAAGCTGTCATTTGTATTACACTTATTCACAATCGAGAATTCAAGATTAAGAGGTGGACCCAGTGTTAAAGTCATTTATTCATTAATTTCTATTACTCCAAAATAAATGTCGTTTGTTGTTTATGACGAAAGACAATCAATGATATGAATCATCAGCCATCATTTGTCAACTTCTAAATGAGATAAAAAAACGAACACGAATCATGATTAAGTGATGATTTCCTATAAAATTTAGTAGTTATTAATCATTTATTAAAAAGATATGGAAAATGAAGCATCAGGAGGTAGAGAAGCTAATAAAATTTGTGGTGTATGTGGAGATCGTGCTCTAGGATTTAATTTTAATGCTTTATCATGTGAAAGTTGTAAAGCATTCTTTAGAAGAAATGCCTTAAAAAATAAGGTAAATAAATGTTATTTAACCCCAAATGATTGATATAAACATGTATTTAATCAATTATTTTTTATAGGAATTTAGGTGTCCTTTTTCACAAAATTGTAATGTGACACCAATCACAAGAAGGTTCTGTCAAAAATGCAGATTAGAAAAATGTTTCAGTATTGGTATGAGAAAAGAATATATTATGACAGAGGAAGATAAAGTATTAAAGCGTCAGAAAATAGAACAAAACCGGGCAAAGAAGAGATCATCTGATGAACCTAGGGGGCCTAAAATGAAGCGGGAAGTAATAGAAGACCCTAATTATGACGAAACATCAGTCTCTGTGACTTCAATAGCCTCGACAGTATCTGAAACATATTTTTGGGAATCAGATAAAAAATATGCAGATTTAGATGGTAATCGACAACAAACTGTTGAGAGTTTGAGTCCCGTAACTGCAGCAAGTGTGCCAAGTCCTTCAAGTCCACCTGAAAGTCGCGATATTATCGGATCAAAAACTCTAGATATGCTCAAAGAATCAACACATTCCAATAAAAATACTGGGGAATGCCAGGCCATGAGTTTTTTATCGAGAGAAAATCCGTGTAGCTCAAATTCTACGAAAATTAATGGAACTATTTCTTCTGAAAATTATTCTAAATATTCTTCTATTGGCAATAACTACACTGACTCTTCAGCTTCAGAGAGTGAGGCAAATGGTGAAAAACATTTACTGTATTCACATAGTACAAAAAATTTTAGACTAAACAATAATAATAACCATCAGTTTGAAAAAACTCTGAAAGAGTATTCTAATGATGTAATGAATCAAAGTGTTCAAGATAGTTATACTAAACGTACAGATTTAATTTCTGTATTGACTGAAAAATCTGATGTTGTAATAAAGTTAGTCTTGAGTAATCCTCAGTTAGCTACTAAGATATTTCAAGATAAAGATGTCATTTCTAAAATGATATCTGATCCTGAAATTGTAACAATGCTAACAGGTGATTCACAGATTTCCAAACTATTTGAATTGTATGATAATGAAGATTGTTGTTTCACTTCTGTAGTGACTAAAAAAATACCAGATAAAATAATTGAGAATACTTTAGAATCCGATGAAAATTCAATCAACAATCCAATATTGATAAATTTAATTACGAACGGCAAATCTGTTGAACGTGATAGTAAAAATTATGAGTCAACTGTAAATAATAGTGATTGGAGTCGAGTTTCTGATGATGTTACGCGAGATGTAGTTCAGGATGTTCAACGAATCCCTATCGCTGTTAATACTATTGAATCTATTTTGTGTGAAGCTATAAAATTGGAATTTTCAGCTTATTCTGCATTAAGCGGAAATCAAAATAGCAAAGAACTAAATGACGCAGAAAGAGCTAAGCTGAATGAATTAATTGTTGCTAATAAAGCACTTCTTGCACCATTGGATGATGATATTACTAATTTAGTTGGTGATGAATGTAGATTTAAGGTAAAATTAAGTTTCAACTGATTAAAAAAAAACCGATTTATTTCATTTTTTAAAAGTTATTAATCTTATTTATAAATGAATTCTTTAGGAAAATTCGGAGCATTCGGATCCCATGCTTCTAGATGTGATAAATTTGACAGCTATTGCGATTAGACGGCTAATTAAAATGTCAAAGAAAATAAACGCATTTAAAAATATGTGCCAGGAAGATCAATTAGCATTGTTAAAAGGTGGTTGTACAGAAATGTTAATATTGAGATCAACCTTAACTTATGACTCTGATAAAGATATGTGGAAGATACCTCATAGTCAAGAAAGAATGTCCAAAATAAAAGTTGATGTATTAAAGGAAGCAAAAGGAAATCTTTATTCAGAGCATGCAAGATTTGTCAAAACTTTCGATCCACGCTGGCGTGACGAAAATATAATTTTAATATTAAGTGCCATTGCCTTGTTTACACCAGAAAGACCTCGAGTAGTTCACAGTGACGTTATTAAATTAGAGCAGGTAAGATTATTGATTAAAAAAAACTAGTACTATGAATCAATCATGTATTTGATTACATGATGCTTTAACATTTCAGAACTCGTACTATTATTTGTTAAGACGATATCTAGAAAGCATTTATCCGGGTTGTGAAGCCAGATCTACGTTTCTAAAGCTTATCCAAAAAATATCTGAACTGCATCGGCTTAATAATGAAGTTGTGGGTGTTTATTTAAATGTGAATCCGTCAAGTGTTGAACCTTTGTTAATAGAAATATTTGATTTGAAGCACTAACACCTGACAGCTTTTTTTGTATCTATACACCAAGTTAAAAAACTAAATCGATTAGTATTTAAGATTGTATCTAGTTAGATAAATCAAAGTTATTTATTTAGAGATAGGTCAGATCAAAATTAAAAGTGCAGATAATAAAATAATAGTAAAATAATAGATGTAGCTGAATAATAACGAATGTTATTCATATATCAAGTGCATAATATTTTTTTAATATGTTTATTGCATTATTATTAATATTAAAATCATGACGGATGAATATGGTTATTTAGAAACCATGTAGTCTCTATATTATTATTTCATTTTACTATTAGTACAATTAAATTGAATAAATCGTTAATGTTTAGATTTTTAATGTCTTGTGATTCAGAAGTGATTTTTTTATTTCATTGTAAATAATTTACTTGCAAAAAGTATAAGTTACCAGCAATAAAATGATTTAACCCATAATCATTTGGATAATATAAATAACTGATACATGTTCGAAAAAAATCCTATTAATTATTCTGAATAATTGTGATATTAAATACAAAAAATATACTATTTTTTCATTAAACTAACTATGGAATTTGCATATTTTCTTTAGCCTTTCCTGTTCATTTAGCGTCTAAATTACCTTGAAAACAAGGCAATCAAGGAAGAACCAATTTTTGAGGTTGTTCTTTTTAACCTTTCACTATTACTCTTCAGACCTGATAATATGTTTTATGATTTGAATCATTAATTAATTAATCTTACAATTTATTCTATTAAAATTATAATATATTACCTGTTGTCATCATCTGAATTTCGAAAAAATTCTAGGCTCCATAATAAAGCGAGGAAAATGAGCATCGGTAATGCAAAGAAAAAGAAAATCGTTGATAAACAGAAAACAGATATGTAACCGACTGCTTGAAAGAATTTTATGATACTCCATGTTACCCAATTCCAAAACCATCCAAAGATTGATGTAATACCCAACATTTTAATAACCCCCAAATTCGTTTAATTGTTTACGGCATAAATTGTCAAATATTTTCTGATAATTTTGAAATTTATTTATTGAGTTTTACTTTTATTTACCAGTCTAATATTAAAAATTATTTTATGAAACAGACACTCGAACAGCTTCGCAGTATTTATCGATCGCAATGATTGATGATCCGTTGGTTGGTTCTAACCCTCGTTTAAAATAAAAGAACGCCTCGGAATTTTCATTGTGTGTTTTTACTAGACTTTCACATGAAATTTTTTCCCCTGCGACATAACATGCTCCGATAGCCGAAGGGGCTTTCAGACGAAGAAGAGTCAATTCATCGACCTGTTGACCTTCGTGAATTTCTTTAGTAAAACCTTTTTCCATGAAACACCATGATTTCCAAACGGATCCAACACAGATGACCTTCAAACCACCAGTAGCCAGTTTCAACTCCTGATAAAAACAAGTGAATGAATATAAAATAAAATCAACAAATGAAAATAAAAAAAAAGCTTACATTATGAGCTTTGCTGGCAAGGGCGTTCACATGTCGTGCGAGATACTGTCCAGCTTGAATAAATAGCAGTTTACAAAGAGAATCATTATTTTCACATCCAGTAGCTAATTCCTTGGTGAACATGGCAAATTTGCTTTTATCAAAGTTGGTATAGAGATGAGTTAACATTTCATTTCTATTAGCTACATGAAAAAATGTTCTCATTGCAGGCCAGATATAGGAAATAGGATATGGTGCCTTCTCCAAACCATCAATATCATCAAATACATATTTACAGGCTTTTCTAGCAATCCAGAAAGCTAAAAAAATTATTAGTATTTAATTATTATTATTAAAGATTTTTATTTTTCCATAAAAAGACTTTACCTCCACCTTCATCGCCCATCATATGACCCCAGCCACCACATCCATGTGTAGATCCATCAGGGTTAATTAATAATGCATTACTACCTGTTCCCGCAATAAGAACTATTCCTCCATTATCAGAACCAGTCTTTAAGCTTCCCATAGTATCAGATCCAACAATATAATTTTTACTCAAATGAGGAAAATCTTCATTCAGAGTCTTTATCAGTTCTTGATTAGTTTTTTCATCTTCACATCCACTTAAACACAAACCCTAGGGCATTAGATGTTTTTAAATCTCTTAATTCTGATTGATAAGAAAAGAGAAAATGATTTATGAACTTACTAAAGAATCTAAAGCTCGTGCTGAAGGAATTTTTAAATTTTCTTTTGCTTTCTCTATCATTTCATTTATCCTTGTAGCAGTTTCTTTCATTCCAATAGCCTACAATAATTCTCTTATCATTTCTTATTGTTGTTATTTATTGGTGTTAATATTTACCCAATGATTAGTACCAGGTCCTGTAATATAAGTCAGCTGAGTGCCGTATCCATCCATTATTATTAAAGTAGAGTGAGTACCGCCCCTGAAAATTAATTTATTTCAATATTTGTATTTAAGTAATTTTAGATTCATTTTTTGCGATAATTTAAGAAGGGTCAAAACGTAATTGTGATAAGATATCACTGAAAAATCACAAAAATATGACCTAATTAATTTAAATAAATACTATTATGATGGAGTATTACTGTTACTAATAAATAAATAAATGTGTATTTTTATCATAAGGAAGTTATTGTTATTATCACAACGATCTAGTTTTTATCTAATTTTTAAAGTCCATAAGTAGTCGATAAACATACGTACCCTTCAATTCCGCCAATTATTATCTTATCATTGCTATTTGAAGCAATTTTTTCTGAGTTCATTAACAATCTTTCTTTTTTCTTTTCTTCTTCCATTTCAATTTTTACTTTTTTTGAAAATATTGTAGATAAATGATTCTCATTGACTGATATTTCCTTCGTCTGAGGAATCTTTGATTTTTCCGCTTTTATTTGCGACATGCGTCTACTTGGACCAATCGGTTCGTCCCGGAAATTTTTGAATGTTGATTAACTTATCACACAGACACAATAATCAATTTCCACAACCTACAATATTAATAATATTATCATGAGAATATTACTCATTGTTATAAGTTATTAAAATTAATTTAAAAAACGTTACTATTCAGAGCTTAAAGTATGTTAAGGAAAAAGAAGATTGACAAATACCAGTTGATTTTGAGTTCCTTTCATCAATTGAAATGATTTGTTGGTATTGAAAGCTCTAAAAATATTGAACAGGATGAACCAAAATTTGTACCAAGCAATGACAGCTGTCACTTGTGTGTGGTACACGGCGTGTGTACCAGCGTGTACTTCCCAGTCAATTTACTGTGTCTAGACATTAAAGCATCATATTGCCTCCTCACCCCTTTGCGCCTCTCACTACATTCTCCACGTTTTTGCCTCTCTCTGTCCAACACTACGTTACAAAACAAGAATTTATGATGAATATAACTTCTACGCGCATGAGTACAACTGAACTAAAGCATTTCCTAACCTGAATATCAAAGTTTATCTTTTTACGATTAATTTCGAAGAAAAATTAAACTGATATTGATGCAACAAAGTTGAATAGTTAATCAAATAAATGTTATTTGTACTGCATAATTTGAAACTTTTTTTGCCGTTATAAGAAGTTATTTCGTTGACTTTTTTTTTGAATTTTTGCTCTAAAGTGAATTGAAAAATAGAATTATGTTCGATTTTTAACTCTTTTTTGGCTATTCAGTTTAATTAATGAGTTAATGAACAAGGATTTATATTTTACGCGGTATTTTATGAATTGTTCACGGATAATTTACCTGCTAATCTTTATATCAAGAGTTGTTATCAGTTTTAGTTTGTGTAGTTTATTGTTAGATGACTGTAGTTTCGAATATTTATTTTTGTAATAAAATCGCATTCCGAATAGTTAATTAAATTACTTAATTACTTACGTATTTTTCATTCCTTCCTAAAGTACTTATTAAAGATATCTAGCATAAATTATGGTTGTTGATATTCCAAATGAACGAATGGCACTGTTTATTCCATTGCAGTTGCCTTTCAAAGTATAAAAATGTAAGTATAAGAATGTTAAGAATTTTTTTATGATATAATCAATATTTATTTTTACTTTTTGTTAGAAATATTTAAGAAATGCCCAATATCCCATTGAGAGATGATCAAAATCTAATGCCTTTTGGAGACACACAAAATAGCTGGACTGACGATCTGCCAGTATGCAAAGAATCAGGTGCAGGGTTTTCTACAAATCAAATTTATAGAGAAGATGGTCTTCGACAAGAAGATCATTCATTTGAAGATCGATGTTTTCATTGGAAATACGATGAATCAACTTTCTTATATGGTGTTTTTGATGGACACGAAGGTTTAAGAGCTGTTAATTTTGCTCCACAACGAATGGCTGCAGAAATTCTTTTAGGACAGTTAAATGGAAAGTCTACTGATGAAGAAGTCAAAGAAGTTCTGAGGTACAAATAACCTTTTTTATTTGGTTTATGATACATCTATAAATTTTCACATATATCTTTGAAATAATCAATTGGCAATTCTTGTAGACAAGCTTTTATCTCCGTGGAACGAGGATATTTTGATTCAATAGGTGATTTGTTAGCAGAAAGAACAAGCCTGCAGTTTGATATTCCAGAGGGAATGAATTCATATGAAGCTTACCAAAAGTTTCCTGAAGTTGTTGATAAACTAAATGAATTAAATCAAGAACTGTCTGCCGGTACAAGTGCAGTCGTTGCGCTAGTTCACTGTAACCGTCTCTATGTAGCAAACGTTGGTGATAGTCGTGCTCTTCTGTGTAAAACAGATAATAATCAAGTTCTCAGAGTTATTCAGTTGAGCATAGATCATAATTTGCGGAATGAGGACGAACTCTTACGTTTATCACAATTAGGTCTTGATATTAAATCTATTAGACAAGGTATATAATAAATTGGATTTTTTTCATATTTTGTTATTAAATTTTTTTTCTTCAAGTAATTTTATGTTTTTGTTAAAAGGCTCACATCTTGGAAACCAAGAAAATACTAGATGTTTAGGTAATTTTTTAGTAAAAGGAGGTTATAGAGAATTTGAAGAACTTCAGATGTCTACGGCTGAGCCAATTATTGCTGAACCAGAAATTCATGGAGGTATTGAACTTGATGACTCTTGTAGGTTTTTATTATTGATGTCTCGAGGTCTTTATCAATCATTAGAAGAAGCTACTGGAACTGATCAAGTTAATAAAGAATTAGCATTGATGGCAGTTGAGCAGGTAAGTTCATAAAAATACTTAGCTCATTATTACTAACTTAAATCATTTGAAACAAGTTAAAAATCATTATTAATAATATTAACTATTAAAATTATCATTTAATTTTTTTCATTATTTAGTTTCGAATTCAGTCAACGATTACTGGTGTTGCTCAAGCAGTAGTGGATAAAATCGTTCGAATCCATCACGACATGAATATGAGTAACTCTGAGACTTCGTCAGTAAATGGAAAACGTGAAGATATTACACTCTTAGTCAGAAATTTTAATTTCCCTATTCCGCATGCACTGAAGAGCCCTACAAGCCAATCTGTTAGATTTAACCCAATTGTTCAAACTGCAGTAGCAAATATTCAAGAAGAAGATGATTATTTATCAACTAGTGGTGCAACTACTGTAGATAATTTTAATCCTTCAAGTAATGAAACATCTTCAACATCGGAAACCTCACCACCAGGTCCACGACCCGATAGAAATGCGAGGATACAGCCTTATGTCGATTTTTCAGAATTTTTTGCAAATGTTGAAAAACGTCAGAAAGATGGGACGTTACCAAAAAGTATAGATTTTGGATGTAGATGATTATAATGATTAATTATAATCTTTTTCCGGGGCATAATGTACTTATAAATATAGCTAAACTTTCAATGAATTAGTAAAATATTTTGTAAATTTTAATAACTGATAAAAATTTCAAATACTGTTACAAATACTCAAGTTTAATGTAAATATGATATTCATTATATTATTTTTATGATATAATTTTATTTTTATCCTTTCAATCAAATGATGATATTATCAGTAATAGATAATCATTAGTATATAAAAATGGTATTGGCAGATTGCTATGGAGAATTTTTTAAATCAATTCTTCTTTTTTCATACAATCATACAATTATTAATTTCTATACAATTATAGTACAATTTGCTAGATAAATATTTGATTATAAAGTAATCATGATTATAAAAATTATATATTTAAAATTTTGTTAAAAGTTAACATGTAATCGTTAACTATAAAATAAAACAAAATGCATTATGCAGATAAGAATTTGTTATCTTTATCTTTTGCCATAAAGATGTTAAGTGAAAATAAAAAATTAAATGTCTAATCTGTTGAATCAATTTTAATATAAATAAATACAAAATTTAAGGTTCAGGCATGCCTTTGAGACGTTCAAAGGCAGCTTTTTCAAGCGCTTCTCTATGATCAGGATGAGCAACATTGATAAGAGCGTATGCTCTTTGTTTGAGAGTCTTGCCGAATAAACTTGCGATACCATGTTCTGTTACAACATACCTTACCAATGCTCGGCTGGTGACAACACCAGCACCAGGTTTTAATATAGGTACAATTTTACTTGTTTTTCCATCAGCAGTAGTAGAGTTTAAGGCTACAATAGGATTTCCAAGACCATCTTCACTCATAGCAGCACCAGTGAGAAAATCTACTTGACCTCCAAAACCTGAATACATTCGAGTTCCAATACTGTCCGAACAAATTTGTCCAGTAAGGTCTACTTCAATACAGGAATTAATGCATGTCATTTTTGGCTGTTTTGCGACTATTCTGGGATCATTGACATAATCGACGACTAACATTTCTGTAAAATAATCAAAAAATGATAAAATAAAATGACTTGGAAAAATATATATCATCAATAAAGCTGATTTTGTTTAAAAAAGAATGTAAATTTACCAATGAAAGGATTGTTATTCATAAAATCATACAGCTTCTGAGAGCCAACACAGAAAGATCCAACAATACGTCCCCGATGAATTGTTTTCTCATTGTTTGTGATGCATCCAAGATTTACAAGATCTACTACTCCATCGCTGAACATCTCACTATGGATTCCCAAATTTTTATGACTTTTAAGTTGTGCAAGAACAGCATCAGGAATGCTACCAATTCCTAATTGAAGAGTTGCTCCATTTGCTACTAAATTTTCTGCAATATGTTTACCAATGCTCTGTTCTTTGTCGGACGGAGCTTTTACTGCATGAGCTGGCAAGGGACCATTGTGTTCGACAGCAAAGTCTATGTGACTTTTATGAATGAGCGCATCACCAAAAGTCCTTGGCATTTGTTCATTGACTTGTGCTGCAATGATATAGACCAATTATATAAACATCAGTTGTGTAGTTATTTAAATATTCATCGGCTTACCGATTATTTTTTTGGACTTAATTAAAGCTGCTCTGACACAATCTACACTTGTTCCTAGAGAGCAGTACCCTTTGCTATCTGGTGGGGTAACATGGATTAAAGCAATATCAGGCTTCATAATGTCACGATTGAACATTTTTGGAATTTCGTGCAAAAAAATGGGAATTGCATCGGCATGTCCTTCATTCACAGCTCCTCTTACGTTGCCTCCAATGAAAAAGCTGACTGATCGGAAGTGTTCTAGAAACGGGAGAGTATAAATAAATTATAAAAATTATTTTTTAAATAAATTAAATATTAAAATAATATTCAATTTATAAAGCGAGCAAGATATCTTTTCCATGTACATATATAATTTTATGATACATATGTTGATTTAATTTTTGATGAACAAATATTTCATTATTTAAGATTATCATATCCAAAATTGTTTTATATTCAACAGTTGGATTTAAAAAATCTTTTTGAAGGTTTTTGAAGTTAATACCGATTTATTACTTTTTTATCATTCTCATTTTCACTTACTCGCATTTTCCTTCTTTGCAAAAGGAGCAGCTCCTTCAAGGTGCATGTGGCAAAGCCGAACATTTTTAACGTTAGATCGAGCTCCATATTCCGTTAAACCTCTTAATAATTCAACCGGAGTGGCAGCAGCTCCTTGGACAAATACCAATTGATCTGAAAGAAGAATTTTTTATTAATAACCTGACACAGTTAGATTTTAACCTCTATGTGAAGAAAACAATCAAAACAAATTGATCCGTTTTAATGCAATAGTCCAGATAAAATATGACCTCACAAATAGTTGGATACAAAATGTACTTACCATAATTATATCTAATTTTTTATTACAGTTATATTAAAGTTTATTATTTGTGTATAAGTTGGGATAATTTAATCAGTAGGCCAAGTAAGGTCAGGCTTCAGATACTTACAGCTTTCTTATACATTGTGGGAAACGGATAAAATTAATTTACTTGTAATATACATATATACTATTGATTCATAATTAATGCAAAAAATGTCGATAATTTCAAGATTATTGTCAAATATTACATGACTTGACAAATGATATAAATGTAAACAAATGTTCAAGGTTTCATGCAGTTTTCTTTAGAACTGGCACATATAATTTGCCATTGACCCAGCTATCATTACTTTATAAAAAAGTATGTATTACTTGGTATGACGTCACACTTCTAAAATAACTATTGAAGATGTGCTATTCTTTATAAAACGATAGTTATAGAAACATTAAATCTCTTTTACTTTCTTTCCTATGGAATAAAATTTAATGGCCAAGAGTTAGGCCAGGAATTCTAAAGATAGCTTAATGGACACCTGATAAAGCGGGAGCTACCAACTTAGATAGAATAAATTTTGATTGTCAATCTTGATCTTACAATACAACCCATAATATGTCCGAGCGATATTTAAGGGCAAAGTCTAATTAGTTTCACTAATGATACATGATAATGAAATCTATGATAAACTCAACTGCCTTGAATACCAAAGTAGAATAATATCAAAGCCGTGTAATAATAACTAATAATTGAATATATTTTAATTACCAGATGCTAGACCAGCTCTTTCTACAGCTTCCTCCGAGGATTTTACCCATGTAGGTTCTTTTTCAGGAATAGGCATAGCTGGTTCGTTGACATAAGTATAAAAAGTCTTGGCTACTGTTAATCGATATCTATTTGAATTTGGGATAGTCTTGAATTTCCCTGACATCCTTGTCATTTGCTTCAGTGCCGCCATGGTATTTAGATTTTTTTATCCTAAAAATATTTATATATCCAGGAGTAAACACCATTGATTATCGCTCAAACTTTGTCATTGTAAGACAGATGACGTTTGATTTGAAATTTGTTAAGTTCAATTAAATCAATAAAATAAAGAAAATATGATAGAGAAAACACTCACAGATATTATTCTATGTGAAGCCGAACTTAATGAACTTTATCACTCTTGATATATGCACTCGATTGAGGACAGGATCAACCTCGACTTGCAGCTTGATTAACTCCGCCCCGTCTCTGGCCTTTATTGCTTCTAGCAGTCACAATCACGCCAATCCAAAAAGCATAAATAAACTTTATTTAAATTTCCCGCCATTATAAAAATACAACGCAAGTCAAGTGAATAACTAAATAAATGAAATATCCTCGTGACAGCACACTTATCATTTGTCTTTTTTCATTACATTTTGTTCTCTCTTTCTAATGTATCTCATGACTACTACCTGATTCGAAAAAATCATTAAAATATTTTAAATCAATCAAAAATTTGTAACTTTTACTTTAAATTGATTCAATAAATAATTTTTAGTTGATTGTTATTGAAATTATTAGATAAATATAAAATTTTGGCTACTTTAAAATATAATTATTTATATCAAAACGTCAATTTCAAGCTTTCTCCCCACTCCTTGTAGCATTTATTTTCCGATCGAGGTGGCAGTAGCAGTCAGGCGGTCAAGAGATTAGATTTCTCGTCAACGAGTCGTGTTCGTTTTCGTTTGTTAAAAAAAGTAAAATAATAGTGAGCAATAATGAATAAAACGATTGGGAGCCATCAAGCGCTCCAGGAGCATATCCTGGCTGTCAAAAGAGACTTCATCGCACAACCACGACTTGGTAAGTATTAATTTTATTACAAAACATATCATCGCCGACAGACCTTGCTCAAGTGGGCGTAGCATCTGATCGATCAACTCTTAGCTCAGCTGATTGATCCAAAAGGAATATTCTTTATTAACTTGCTTTGTTCTATTTAATTATGCGTACTGTTGACTTTCTCATAATTGATTTGATGGTTTTATGTATAGAAGACTATTTAAATCTTTAAAAAACTTCAATATCATTTTGTCTCTTTTCAGTCATGTGACTGCAGATGATCTATCATGGTGGCAGTAATCAGACACATTTATAATTTTTTAATATATTTACATTTTATCAAACCTTTAAAAAATCAAATAATTGGTTAAATTCCCCCTTTTCCAAGGATTCTTATGTCTTACATTTTTTCGTTATTTTATTAATATTATGTAACGTTATCTTAATAATTGTACTGATGAACAAACGGGCGTAGTTCTTGACAGTCCCCAAACTAATAATACCTTTTATTTGTTTTCAGTTTACAAAACCGTCTCTGGTGTAAATGGACCTCTCGTTATCCTAAAGGATGTTAAATTTCCTAAATTTGCTGAAATTGTTCAACTTAAACTTGCTGATGGCTCCATTCGATCAGGACAAGTCCTCGAAGTGTCTGGATCCAAGGCTGTGGTCCAAGTTTTTGAAGGAACATCTGGCATCGACGCAAAAAACACTCTCTGTGAATTTACTGGGGATATTTTGAGAACTCCTGTATCTGAAGACATGCTTGGTCGTGTATTTAATGGATCTGGAAAACCTATTGACAAAGGACCGCCCATTCTCGCGGAAGATTACCTTGATATCCAAGGTCAACCTATTAATCCTTGGTCACGTATTTACCCCGAGGAAATGATCCAAACTGGTATTTCTGCTATCGATGTTATGAACTCTATTGCCAGAGGCCAAAAAATTCCTATTTTTTCTGCTGCTGGTCTTCCTCATAATGAGGTGATTTTTTTTTTTAATCGAGTTTAAAACAAAATTAATGTAACATACTAATTGTTTATACTTTTTTCACAGATTGCTGCACAAATTTGTCGCCAAGCAGGTCTTGTTAAAGTTCCTGGAAAATCAGTTTTAGATTCTCATGAAGACAACTTTGCTATTGTTTTCGCTGCTATGGGAGTTAACATGGAAACTGCTCGATTCTTCAAGCAAGATTTTGAAGAAAATGGTTCTATGGAAAATGTATGTTTGTTCTTAAACTTGGCGAACGATCCCACAATTGAACGTATTATTACTCCTCGTTTGGCTTTAACTGCTGCTGAGTTTTTGGCTTATCAATGTGAGAAGCACGTATTAGTTATTCTCACAGACATGTCCTCATATGCTGAGGCTCTTCGTGAAGTATCAGCTGCTCGTGAAGAAGTACCGGGACGACGTGGTTTCCCAGGTTACATGTACACTGATTTGGCTACAATCTACGAACGCGCTGGACGTGTTGAAGGTCGTAATGGATCTATTACTCAAATTCCCATTCTCACTATGCCTAACGATGATATTACTCACCCTATTCCTGATTTGACGGGTTATATTACGGAGGGACAGATTTATGTTGATCGTCAACTTCACAATAAACAAATCTATCCACCTGTCAATGTATTACCTTCACTTTCACGTTTGATGAAGTCTGCTATTGGTGAAGGCATGACCAGGAAAGATCACTCTGATGTTTCTAATCAATTGGTAAATATATATTTTTTAAATTTAATTGATTAATAATAATTATTCATTAATGAATATTTTTAAATTATTTATTTCAATTTCAGTATGCTTGTTATGCTATTGGAAAAGACGTTCATGCCATGAAAACTGTCGTCGGAGAAGAAGCTTTAACTCCTGACGATCTTCTTTATCTTGAATTCTTATCGAAATTCGAAAAGAATTTCATTACCCAAGGCAGCTACGAAAATCGAACAGTTTTTGAATCCCTCGATATTGGCTGGCAACTTCTGCGTATCTTCCCTAAGGAGATGCTGAAACGTATTCCTGCCAGCACCCTCGCCGAATTTTATCCGCGAGACTCGCGTCATTAAATATAAGTAATTTTAATTAATTTATAAACTGTTATGAAAATAACTATAACACGACTTCTCTAAAATCATGTTATATTTTGTCTGATTTGAAAAAGCTTTTAGAGATATTGTAATGAAGAAAAAATGAAACAGAAGTCGTAAGTTATCATCTTTGGATCCTGTATAATATAACGATTAAGTTATAACATAAAGAGTGTTTGCGTAATTAAACAATATTCTATATAAAAATTATGTTAATCATATGATCCAGAATAGAATGTCTTTTATCAATTGTTGATGGCAAACACTTACAAAATGTTTAATCGTTATTATTTTCAGGAATTTTATTAATGTAAATTGTAATATATTGTTCAGTATTATCATAAGAAATGTAATAGAAACCTGCTCCTATTCGAACTAGTGTCCTACATTCCATGTTAAAATTTATACATAATCCGTTGTCGATTTATCGATAAAAATATCAATTGACTTAAAGCTACATATTATTATTGAATTTGGTTTTCAATACAGCTTGACAAAAAACAATTGCGGAATACTTGGGTTTTATATATAAAAAGGAGCTCATCTATCCGCTTATGATAATGCTTGCCCATAAATTAACTCAATGAAAAATTCTAGAAAATGTTTAAAAATTTTCTTGTTATTTTATTCTATACTTTCGTTAAGTATAATTTTCTGTTTAGCCTTTAAAACCTACATAAATGTAATATATCTGTAAAAAAAATTACTCGGTAAATTACATAAATACTTGCGCAATTATTTATTTACCTGATAATTTTAAACATGTATATTAGAATATGTGCGATGCAAATAATTGCATAATTTTCAAAATTAATTTTACTTCAAATAATTTAGCAGCTAGGTGGCTCACTTCACATTACTGTTTCCGGTATTTTTCTTTCATCAGCCAATTACATGTGTTTAGTTTGATTGTCATATGCATATGCTAAGTTGATATTATTAAATTTTATTTACTACTAAATAATCATTCGATTCAATAAAAACAAATCAACGCTGATGAATCTAATGCAGTTTTTTAATTAAACTCAAAGAAATAAATTGAAAACGTAAGTAATTATTTGTAAATGTGTATTAATGTTTTACGCTGAAATTTTGTGAGGTTATACATTTATGGGGTTATGTAGGAAACAAAAGATGCAATTTAATAAAAATTAAAACCATCACAATTGAGCATTAATGTTGTTGATTGCACTATTAGTCAATTTAAAAGCACATCAAAATTCAGTACTCGTTGACAGTTTATTGGCTCTACAACACCAATATACATTGTACACGTGATGGGAAAACTAGTACATGAGTACTCATACAATGAATGTGTCAATGCATAAGCTTTCACCTTGGCATTTGTTCCTTGATAGAACCACTTTTGTTTTTAGTTTGCTCGAGTCTTCCAGACTGATCATATGCTTTTTAAATCTTAATCATTTTTCAAGAATAAACGAGCTTTACCTTATCTATTCTCGATTAATCAAAATATACTTATACGTGGACAAGCAATTAACGAGTTAGTAATAAACAAACCGTTTTTTTTTTTTTAAATATATTCAAATGTAAGCATATATTTAAAGTACTTAAAAGGTTTGTTATTTGATGTTTGCGTGCTTTTATTATTAATCAAAACAAAAGCATACAGTAGTTTTTAGAATAAATTCGCGCAAACAAGTTTGGGTAAAGTTAGTTGAGGAGCAAAAAAAAATTGCTGAGTAAGTGAATGACCGCGAGTAAAGGATGATGGGCTTTGTGCCAATGTCTGCACATCTGATTCCGCACATTGTACAGTAGAAAGTCCACGTTGATAACCGCGTGAACTAGAGTGGGATATCGATCTAGGAAAATTTCAGCATCATCAACAAATACTTTTTTCTTTCAGTTTTGATTTTTATTTCAATACAAGATGAACTTGATAGTAGCAGTGATAATCGATTATTTACATTCATTTATTACTAATGTGATGTACTTTTAATATTTCATATAATATACTGTCACCCTGTCTGAGCGTGCTCAGTGATGTGAAAAGTGTCTTCAACGAATACATGCTGCTTATTTCTTGATCAGTCAACAATACGCATGGATACATATATATAACGATCAAGTAACATCCTAGTGCGACGCAATGATCGACAGTGCGTGATCGCTGATGGTCCATGTTACTAAATTTTATTATTATTTTAATGCTGTGAAGAGAAAAAAAATTTTAAAAAATGACTGGGCTTGTTGAAATTTTTCTCTTCTGTGGAGTTCTTTATTACTTCTTTAATATTAGGTACATTTGTATATTTTCGCCATTCCTTAATCCTGAATAAGAAAAATTCAATTTAATTTTATTCATTATTATTTAACTGCTATTTGATACACAAAAAACAATTTGTGGTAGACCGGATAATATTATACGATATTATTGGTTGAAGATGGTTAAAAAAAATGATTGAATAAACATTCGATACTGTTTATATAATCCAGAAAAACATTAACGATTTTTCTAGAAAAAAAATTGTACATCAAAAGGTTGAATTTGCTCGTAAATGAACAGAAATTGCTTGATAAGTACAGGCATATCAGCATGATTAAAGAAATAAACTTAAATGGATATAAATTAATTGCTTTACAGAGGTAATAACATGGTGGACGTGCTGTCTACTCGTCTCCAAGAGGTGTATGCCAATTGGGAATCTCGAACGGATGTGATTCGTGAACAAGAAGACAATCCTACACGACTTTCTCTCGATGGTAAGCTAATCAAATTAACTACCTTTTATTTGCAAATGTTTACTAATTATTTTAACCATCTTCAGGGCTTCGTCGTGCTGGTCTCCAAAGCCAAAGAAGACGTATTCAAAGTCGAGAACAAACTAGACGAGTACGTGATCGTGCACTATTTAAAATAAAAGAAACCGAGCTCTTTGTTCCTCCGGTACCGAAAGTCACGCCATTTCTTTATCAATGTTGTCAGACATGTACACCTACATCAAGGGTAAGCTTGCTATACACATACAACATTCTTTCTTTTCAATACCCAAATACCAAGCAAGCTAAAAATACAGGCAGTCACTTGCATACTGTGTTTCGAAGCTGCTTAGATTCTAAGACTGTCTAGTTATATGAGAGATCTGATATTGCGTAATGAAGAAGTGCATTGAATATGAGGAATACACACAAGATATCTACAGTAAAAATCGATCTTAATTGTTTAGCAAATGGTTAAAACACATACTTTGTCTAGTTAGTAGTAAAGTTAAAAATAATAACTTTAAAAACCAATTATTTGATAACAATTGTTGGTTAAGTTGACTAATTAAAGTACTTTATGTAAATCTTCCGTGTCAGTAGGTCAGATTATGCAATTGCGTCGTATTATTTTTTAAATTTTTATTCTAGTAGATGAATCTAAACTTGAATTAGATGATCTAAATTTAATTATATATTTATTATGCAAAATTATTTTAAATGTGTTATAAGAAAAAATTAGAAGATTAAAAAAAAAGTTTGTGTAACGTTAAATTTCGTAATAATTCATTCTTCAGTAAATTAGTAAATTTAAAAGTGTAATGCACGAAAATACTCAGGGATTTTTTTCACGATGGATGAAGATTGTTGTGGTTTGTGGATATCCGGAGAAAGTGAGTTCCCTGCGCGAAATAAAATATTCAGTCTTCTAAAATGAAAATAGCATTAATTTAGCTTCGATACTTCAGTCACAATTGCATACAACAAGGTTTTCGCAACTTTCACATAAACTCGAATGCATTCTTATTCATTACTTAATCGATGAATTTAATATAAAAACTAAAAAATGTTTTGTATTATCCAGGGAACATTTGCAAGTACTGCAACAAAACAACATCAGACATCAGGACGAAATATTTTATTGGTCGAACCAGGAGGAGGCTTGTTATCTAAAATTTTTTATCACTTTTCTTTTGTTTATAATGCAAAAACCTTTGACTATCCAAGAATTACACATACCGTGAGTAAATAATCCTTGATACTTGGAAAATAATAATTAATCTTTGATGCATTATAAATACGAGTCAAGAACGCATGACCCTCTTATGATAATTTCTTGCATATTTATTGTGTAAGGCTATTTACCACTTCCGAAAATTTTTATTATTGTTAATAATAGATATCATGAATTACAATAATCATTGTTCTATTTTCTTAGGTTATGAGTGATGAAAGACTTAAAGATGCAATCAAATTGACAGCTAAAGAGACTGCAAAGAATGAAGGGATCCCGGAAGAAGAAGCTGTTTTTCAAGCTGAGAAACGAGCTCAAACTATTTTATCACGTATGGAAAGTAAACTTAGCAATACATTTCTCAGGATAACTGGATGGCTGCTATTTAAATTACTCCCTTACTTTATTAAATCTGTGATAGTTCAAGACTCGCAAATTGAGATGATTCAAAAAGCGAGTGAAAGAGGAGTGCCTTTAGTCTTCTTACCATTGCACCGTAGTCATCTTGACTACACTATTATTAGTTTTATTCTTCTGTGTAATAATGTGCGAAATGTATTAATTGCTGCTGGAGATAACTTAAATATGCCATTTTTCGGTAGAATATTAAGTGGTCTTGGTGCTTTTTACATAAAAAGACGAATTGATCCTGTGCAAGGACGTAAAGATATTCTGTACAGAGCAACTTTGCATACTTATGTGATGGAGGCCTTGAGAGCTGGTCACAATATTGAATTTTTTATCGAGGGTGGCAGAACACGTACTGGTAAACCTTGCATGCCGAAAGGAGGAATTTTGAGCATTGTTGTAGATGCTTATATAGACGGCACCATTGAAGATGCACTTTTGGTACCAGTTGCCATTAATTATGAACGGCTCGTTGATGGAAACTTTGTCAGAGAACAGCTTGGACAGCCAAAGAAAATGGAAACCCTTGGTACTACACTTCGAGCCATTTGGTCGACTCTTAGAGGCAGCTACGGAATTATTAAAGTTGACATTTGTGAGCCGTTTTCTTTAAGAGAAGTATTAAAATCTATTGAACTCCAACAGAGTCGAAATATGATAAATAAACCAGTAGAAAAGTGTTTGAAATCAACGATGTCAACTTCTTCTTTGTATGGAACTGATGTCGTTGATGATGAACACAGACTTATAGTTGATTGTCTGGGACGACATGTAATTTATGATTGCGCAAATTCAACACCAATCATGTCTACTAATGTTGTAGCTTTTCTATTGTTGAATAAATTTAGAGATGGTTGCACTCTGGATAGATTAATAGAAGCGTTTGACACGCTTAGACATGAATTAGATTGGGCGCAAAAGGACGTTGCATTCTTCGGTGAAACTATTGATATAATAAATCATGCCTTAGAAATTTTAGGACCAGGCCTAGTGAAACAACAACGACAGGAAATAACACAAAAAGTAGAAGGCCAAGCTGTAAAGAAGGAAGTGGTAATTGCTATTCAACCAGTGTCAATCTTACCAAACGTGATTGAGTTAGCGTATTACAGTAATTCAATGATGATTCATTATGTCATGGACAGTATAGTTATCTCAGCTTTATATGCTGAAAGAAAAGCACAAATCAATGATCCGCAAGCGATGGCACAGAATGAAGTCATCATATTTCAACATGTTTTAATAGAAAAAGCTGTCGAACTTTGCGATATTTTGAAAAATGAATTTATATTTTATAAACCTTGTCAAGAGATAGAAAATGTGATACTTGCAGCTATAGATCGTCTCATATATATGGGATTATTATCTACTAATGAAGAGAGTTATTTAGAAGAAGAATTGTGGAGTAAGAGGTACGCGAGAAATTTCGACGATAGCTCTGATGAAGAATATGCCGTAAAAAATGCTTCTAAAAAGACTGAATATAAAGTAAACTTAGATGCTGATTCTTTAGATCGCATTGAGTTTCTTCATACAATTTTAAGGCCTCTTATTGACACTTACACTTTTAGTGCCTTTACTTTAAGAAAGTTAGTCGGTCGATCTCTGCTTGAAAAGGATATAATCCAAGAGATTCTTGGTGAAATCAAGACAAATATAGATCTCGGAGTTGTTAGCTATGGTAATTTTTTTGTTTTTTACTTAATATTCGCAATTGCTTTTTTTTATTATTATTAATGATTTCTAATTAATTTTTTAGGTGAGAGTTTAAGTGTTGAACCCATAAAAAATTCATTGAAATTCTTTGAAAAACGAAAGTACATCGAATGTCATCCAGAAGAAAACGCAAGAATTTATTATTTGTGTGATGAGTATGATAATGATGATGCTACGAATCGAATTTATGAATCAATTGAAATTTATAAATGGACAAAAAGAGTTAATTAGTAATGTGAAAAAGTACTGAAAATTTGCTGAAGCACAAAAAATATTTAAGAATGTAAATAGCTTTGAATCTAAGATTAAGAAATTAAAAGTCTTCCAAAGACGTAGATACGCATAACGATTTATATCAAACATCTGTCCATTAGTTTTATACGTCAAAATTTCTGCATATTCATGTTGTTCAAATTATAAGACGTTTATTTTTAAGATTTATATTCTATAATGATACTCTAGTAATTGTATCTAAAAATATTTTGCTATAAGCTTCAGAGATACTATACTTGATGAAAAATAAATAGTTTGACTATTCTTCAAATCTCTGGAGTTTAATGATTTAGTTTATTTATTATTGGATAACTTCTTCGCAATCCCATACATTTTTCATTATCGATATAAAGAGCATCCATTTTAGCTTTAAGATCATCTTCAAGATTCACTCGGGTACGGAGTAGCTGTTGATGTTGAGCCTCACACTCTTGGAGCTTAATATGTAGTTCATCAACCATCAGTTTTATTGATTCAACTTCCTCAGATAATTTTAATTGTGCTGCATCTTTACATGATTCTGCTTGCGGTCGATGTAATCTTGCTTCAAGACGAGTTTGAGCAACTTTTAAAGCTGCACTTTTGTCTCCAATGGCCTTGGTGATAAGTTGAATGTTTCTCTCAACTGCAAAAATTTCATGCTGGATCTATGATAAATTAATTAATTATATCATTATAAAACAAATAACTTAATTAATCATCTATATTTATCCATTATTCAAAACAAATTTCGCAACAATGGAAATATTATCAATATTTATAAATAATGTTACATTTTTTAGATAAATTAAGAGCTTTCTTTTTGCTTCAGAAATTTCGATAACTCGTCTTGCAAGGGCATTATTAGTGAGACTCCAAGCTTTCCATAATTCATGTGATACTGTATTTATTTTTGTGGTGATATCATTTTGGAGTTGACCAGATTGAGCTCGGATCAGTTGAGATTTCTTAACGATGGCATTGGATGCTTCAACCCAAGATTCTCCATCAATGTTACTGAAATATTTGTTTATTATATTTTTTTGTTTTAAAATAAAAAATCGTCACATTAGAAAAGAGAAATAAGTTTTCAAGATGAGTTCATTTGCTTGCTACGGCTCATCTCTTGGAATTACTCGTCATATACTCACTATGAATCGTAGCTTTCAACACCTTTATAATATTGTAACCCTGGACTGTAAACATTTAACTGATGACACATTGTGTCAATTCCAAGAGCTAAGTTCTTATTGTTGATGTTTATTTCAATCTCATGTTGAACTGCTCGACCATTTTTGAGCTGATATAAATTAACATAGAACATTTATAAATTATTACTCTTTAAGTAACGAAATTAGTCATCAATCCATTAATTTTCTCACTTGCTCTGTACATTTATCTATAAAAACTTTCAACTTCTTTTGACAATTTCTTTCGACCTCAATTTCATTAAATAAAGTTTGTTCAGGTTCATCATGAATTAATTCTAATCCTTAATGATGAAATAATTTAATAAATTTAGTATAAATAAATTGTCAAGTAATTATGTTTCATACCTTGTCGTTTTTCACGATGATATAGACATTCTTCAGCGACATGCAAAGGACCTTCAATATCTTGAATTGCACGCTGAAGTGTTCTCATACATTCTTGCATCTTATTATTTTCTATAATTATTTTATCTAATTCGTTTGCTAATTCTCGTTCCCAAAAGCCAATATCAGTTATTCTCTGGCCTAATAATTGAGAAGATTCTCTTTGTCCTTGATTCAATTTTTCTTCTGTTTCCCTGAATGTAATGGTTCATTTTTACACTTTCTACAAACCGTTTTGATGAAAAAATAATAAATCTTTTGTTGATAAATATTTAATATACCTCACAACTCGGATTGCAGATTCTCTGAGTTGATTAGAATGATTACAGCTGGAATTTATTTCATTACGAAACTGCACGTCTTTTTGTTTCCACTCATCTGGAGTGTGTCGAGTATATAAAGCAACACGTGCAGCATGAGAAGGATGCTTATTGAATCCTGTGACGAGATTTGGAAACTCTAAAGGTTTAGTAATCATACCAGGAGGTACATAGCAAGGATCAACCAGTTGATTGGTAATTGTTTGTGAAGGTCTAAGAAAATATATTAATAATGGAGTATGTCAACTTAATCATTAAATTATTTTGATATAACTTGTTGTAATAATGAAACTTTTCTTAGAATAAAATCATTTTCGTACAAGGGTTTTACTTGAATAGTCTCATAGCCTAAAGTAGGACGCCATGGATGAGGTCGAGGTGTCTTATACAACTTTTCAATCCTTGGCGGGATTAGTGATCCTGAGACTTGTTCCATGTAAGGAGATACTCCAATTGAACTCCATGGTTGGAGTTGCTGGGCACAATTTTTTTTTAGTTAATTTAATTTAAATAAAATTTATCAATATTAAAAAAAAATGATGAAATGAACAACAAACATTTTAAAGTAAAAATACTTTTTCATTTTTTATTTAAATATATAAAGTATTATTTTTACTTTATTACTATGCTTATAGAAGAATAACTTACTGAATACATTACAGTTTGTTTCATTCTATTAATTTGATAAATTATTTAAAAAATTTTTAAACATCAAATTATAAGTAGCTTTACACGACCGTTTTAAAAAGAGGAAATAACTGAATACATGCATATTGCTGTCAAATTGTTATTTTTGAATTCCGGAAGTGAGCTTCGATACCACGTGATCATCAGTCATATGACTTGACGGGCTGGTCAGGCGCGTGAGTGTTAGTAGATTTACTTGACGAGTGGTCGTCAAATTTCTATCTATTTTAGGTGTTTTAGTACATAATAGTAGTGAAATAAAATAAAAATGGGTCAATTGAGGATTTTGTTAACTCAAATATTAACTTTGCCTTTTATTTTATCCACTATTGTGCCAAGCTTCGCTAATGATGTCCCTGTTCTAATTTGGGGTGGTGGCGACTCCTCAAAATCAATTAATGAGCCTGTAAATTTATTTGAAAAAATATCTCAAACCGAATTTGAGCGAGTTTTTATGGACAGAGTTGGTGATACTCAATTTCCAATACGAGTTTTTTACAGAGATAATTTGTGTAGTGAAGACGTCACATTAAATGAAAGGGTCAGTATTTTCTACATATCAATACATATTATACGAAGATAATAATGAATTGTCAAAAATACATAGAATATTTTATTTTGAAATATAGGATCATTTGAGGCCACTGGAAAATTTGGGATCTTTCCAGTTTATTCTTGCTGTAGATTCACCTCTATTGGTATTAAAAACCTTGCCCTTCTTCAATAAATCGCTTGATGATGAAGTAGAGTCAGTATCGGATGGAGAACTAGTAATATCTAAAGTTACTGACTTTGAATCGCTGCCTGATAAATTCAAGATGATGAGTGAATCAAATCCTAACTTAATTGGTGTTCTTACTGGCAATTCGTGCAATCGATTAGAACGTGTACGAAGAGCTGCTGTTACTCCTGAACAAGCTAATGAAGACAATCCTATGCTTATTTCAACTAAGAGAGTACTTTTTTATGTTGAAAATTCCCCTAGTGTTAAGGTAAATTACTTACTAAGTATTTCTCCAATACATTAAAGAAATTTATTTTAATAACACAGTTTGTTAAAGATATCTCATAATTTTAAAACTAATTACTTTTATTTCGTTGCTCAACTTTTTAGATGGATAATGATAAGCCTATGAGTATTGGAAACTTGACTAAAAATGCAACAGAAGAAGGAAATGCTACTTATGCATCGCCATTAGTTGTGTCAATGGAATTTACAGCAATTAATAATGATTCAGTAAAAACAAGAACTCGGTTAGATCTTAATATTACAGTTAAATCTGCTGGTTATTATACTTTACGTACTGTTAATCTATATCAAGATGATAAATTAATTGGAGAAATGGTAGCTCAGACTGAAATTGTATGGCCTAGAAATTTCTCATATCATTGCACACAACATACAGTATTCCATAATAAAACTGGAAATCGTACGACAACATTGTACTTATCAAATATGCAAATTCAGTTGGATTATATCAAAAAGTTTGCTGATGCCTATGACTGTGTAGGATTTACTTCTATACCCATTTGGGCAGGTATTTTTGTCACTTCTATTTTAGCAATAATTATGATCTGGGGATTGACTATGGTAATGGATATACGTACGATGGATAGATTTGATGATCCTAAAGGAAAAACAATCACAATATCAACTACAGAATAAGTTAAGTGATAATTTCTCTAACTACATATTATGTAAATATATATATATGTATCTGTAAGTCTTGTATATTTCAAGCTTGTTGTTTAGATTATAAGATCTACTGAAAAAAACTAAATGTTTATTATTAACGTAGAAAAATTGTTGAAATCTGTTCTGCCTTATATCCTACAATGTATTTTAACTATTATTCAGTATTTATTATATAAAAGAAAGTGTGTTTTTATGAATGATAAGCGCACAGACCTCTTTAATTATAAGTTAAAGATTATGTGATTCTATAAAAATATTTCCTATAAATATTTCAATAATAATAATAATGACCCCTGTTATTATTATTGATATTATTCCATTCCAATATTCATTTCATTAGTTTCTAGATTTGTTAATTAATAATATGAATAGTTTAAAGTCATTTGAGCCACTTTTATTTATTTTCAGTTATAAATATTTTATTCAATTAAAGAACATTATAATAGGGTGTTTCATAGGTATATCGACTGTATAAAATATTCTTAGTTCGAGATGTATATGATAAATATTAAATAAAGATTATAATATTCATATCAAAAAAATATTAATCTTCTCATGATTACATAGATAATTTTTGAGCTTCACAGTTTGTGACATAATATAAAGCGTACTAAAAAATTGTATGACGGAGATTTTATGAGCCACAAGCTTCAACTTCTACTCCATGTAACATGATAAATGCCATGGAGTAAGGAGGTAGAGTAATTAATTGAGTTGAATCGACAATAATTGCTTTGAAAGGGGGTAAACTTCCGTCTGCTCGTAATTTTAAAATTTCTCCATTCAGCATGATATTTCTGTAAAAATATGAATATGCAGTTATTAATAAATTAAAAACTAAATAAATCAATAGCAAATTAATTTCACGACTAACCTTGATTGTAAATCATCTGATGTAAGGATGTATAAAAATATTTTGGAGTTGCGATAAGGTGAAAGACCTTGAATCGACATTCTAACGCTTTCATTGTTGAGATTCATTCCATAAACAGTCATTGCTGGAACTCGAGCAAGTAAAGCACTTTCAGGAGTGCAATGAGCATAGAATCGAATATGTCCAGAGTTGTCAGAAACTGCTATCTTGATGACCTTTGTCGAAACAAATTGTTTGAAGAAGACACTCACCCACCAGTCAGGATTAGGTTGAAGATCAGGACCAATCATTGCATAATTACCACCAAAAAATGATTGCCTGATGACTACATTTACTCCAGAACTAGCACTACAACCTAACTTATCAAGCCATAAAAATCCTGCGACAAATCTATCTGATAATTCTGGAGCTCCTCCTCCGAATGCTGTACTTGTTTCAGCTATAAAAGATTGTCGATTTTTATTCTATTCCCAATAAAAGTTATTACTTTCTTTATTAATCAGCATATTAACTCACAAATCCACATCTGAAGTTTTTTTCCAGCTGTATCTATTGCTCGTTGAACTTGGTTTATTTCAACTGATAATTTATTGAAAACATTAGGATTAATAAAATCTCGTACTGTAGCTTCACGACCATTTAGATAATACTGATGCCAGGTTACAAAATCAACACTATCTTCATTATATTTTAAAAATTCGGTAGCGTAGAGTTCTCCTCCTTGGTTTTCATCACCAATGTGATTTACTTCTGGACCTACTAGGATACTTGAATCATATCCCAACTCATTCAATAGAAGTCGAAGATGATGATAATCTTTGCCTAGTTGTTTACCGGAGACTTCTCTGCTGAAGACGTGTTTAAATGAATTTGGTTCTGTTAATGAATAAATTATAATAATCATTTATGGATATTTGAGATGTTAAGTAACATCTGCAATTTCAATAATTTTGATTTTACCATTTCCCATTTGCCAATCTATCATCATATCCTGTCCTTTAGAATAGTTAATAATTTCTCTTGCATTTGAATCGTTCCAGTATTCATTAGTTCTGATCAATACATTCAAATCAAACATCATTCGCAAATTAGCTTTTGTGGTAAATTTATAGATTGCTAAATAATCGTCTTCAGACAACGTAAAATTACTAATATCTTGTCCATCAATAGGGTTGATAATTTTTTTATTTGATATTGGAAAAGTCTTGTTGAAAAAAAGACAATCTGCAGATGTACCTCCAATTCTAACAAACGCTGGACTTAGATGTCGAGCAAGATTGGCAAACATATCATTTTTGACGGGAAAAGTTTTCCAATCCCGGAGTAAAGAAGAGTCCAAACCAAAAGAAAGAAATTTATCAGATGTGTGGTACAACAGTTCAGAAGTTTTATCGATGACAATAATATAAGTTTTACTCGAATTGTGACGATCTATGTTCCATAAACATATTAAAAGGAGTAGTAGAAATGTTCCAACGATAAAAAATCCAAAAAATGATTTTGTAAAATCTTCTATAAAAAATTATGGATTTTTATTAATAATTAATAAATTTATTGATCATAAAAAATTATTAGAATGATTATATCTATGAATAAAGAATTATTTTATAAGCTTACTCGTAGGTTTGTTTTTTTCAATATTTTCATATTGATTTTTGTTCCAAATATTGTTCTCAAAATACGACATTTCTGTAAATGACAATATTTTTTATGAAAATATTGCCGATTTTTATTAATAGTTGTGGTGAGTTATAAAGATGATGGATCGCACTGAAAGCAGAAACAAAAGATAATTATGATATGAGTTTCATGAAAACATAATTACAAATGCCGGTTTGAGAAATTAGCTCATATAATGAGCGCTCCTTTTAACTTTTCGCGAACTAAAGAAAACTGAAGGCAGCCGCTACAGAATGTTGTTATTATTATTTTATTCAAACTTCAGAGCAATGGCACCATATAGCCGTTAGATGGTCAGCATAACTACAAAGTTAACCTCACAGCCATAAATGGAATTTTTTTTCTCTTTTACTGAGCAGAGAGAAGTCTTCTCTCTCTGCTGAGTAAGATTCAGCTGTCCTTGTGAGTGAAATCTGTACTGCCAACGGTTGAATTGTTGAAGTAGTCACTGAACTGAGCTACTAGCTTTTGCTGAATTCATGGAACCAGTTTCTAACTGTTTAAGTAATAACTCCGTCGAGTATATCTGGGCTAAATTTGCCACTTCTTTTATTAGTCCAGTAGCTAAAAAAAATGTCTAAGGAATAATTGTTCAATGGTGATAAAAAATATCTGAAAATGGATTGTTGTAAAGTCATCGAGAAGAGCATTTGTGCAAAATATTTTTTTCTTTCCACCGTTACGTAGCGAGAATGGTGATAGATAAGAGAAAAAATGATGATGATACTATTTTTGTAGAGAATCAAATTCTCCAGGTGAGCGCCTGTTTATCTGAAAAAAACCAAAATTTCAACTCAGGAAATAATTCCTACCAACAAAATCGTAATCAAAATGATTGTCGATTTTGATTACAAATGTGCCTTTTGACGGGTTACTAGGCCAAAACTTTTTCAAATCTCTAAATGTAAAAATTGACTTTGGACAATCCCAACTATCAATAAATTCATTACCATTCAAAATTCCACTTCATACAAATACTCCAAAATTTTTGTTGTGTTCCAACGAGATTTATTTAAGTAATTTTTAATTTACAAAACAATTGTATTCTAACTAATATTATTCGTTATTTAATATTGGATATACGTTTAAAGGAAGATAATTTTTAACAGAGATTTAGTATAGATTTGTCGAAGGAAAAATTGTAACTGATCTGACTAGTGAAGAATGATGATCATATTGTTATATACCATACCTATATACTTATAATTTTAAAGAAACATTAGTTTTATAGTTCTAGAAAGTTAAGATTTCTCTACAAGGAAAACCTATTTTTTATATGCATTCCAAGTCCTTCACCGAAAACCCTTTCTCATATCATCCCTGATTTCTAAAATATGAACCTTGGACTCATCCCGATTTCTCCAACTTTCCCTTACATAAAAACACTTCCTTTAACCCTACAAGCTAGATTTCAACCCCTCTCCTGGACCTTCGGGTCAGCCCTCTAAATAAAGCTCCTTCCTTCAATATCCAGAGACTTACTTAGAATCTATCATCTGAACTACTCAGATCTTGCTCAGAATTGCTCATACAACAAATATTTTGTAATATCGTGCTCCTATTTACTTGACAATAAACGAATAGAAATTAATAAAATATCGTCAAGTCATTGGGAATACAACAATATTTATATTAGTGCATGGTGTGCATTAGGTGCTATGGTTGATGGTAGGGCAAAGGTTCCAACGTGGAAAGTTAGGAAATTTGGGCGTTAAGTCAGTGATCGTCGTTTTATTGCATTTCTTTGAAAAAGTCATAAAGTTAGAAATTTAGAAAATTTTTAGTACGAATTAGAAAGTTTAATAATTTTATTTTAATTATCAGTAAATTCTTTTTGTATTAATAATAGCTTTGTTTTAATAATTTTATTGTTAATATTGGTAAATTGTTAGGTTTTCAAACAGTGCTATTAAATTGAAAATACTAAAAAATAAAATATAATAATAATAAAAAGAGAAATGAAAACCAAAATTTCAACTCAGGAAATAATTCCTACCAACAAAATCGTAATCAAAATCGACAATCATCTCAGTCATCCAACTCTAACTCATCAAATCGGAATTCACTAAATAACAATGAATCTAACGCTGCTACTTATATATGCAATACTGAATCAAATCCAAATCAACCGAACTCAAATGATCAAATAAATCATTTACTCGCGAATTTCAGTCCATCAAACATTTATAATTTCAATACAAATGATAAATAGCATCATATGTGCTATTTAAATCTCCTATATCATCGACCCCTAATAAATTACTAAAACTATTAGTTGACACAGGTGCATTAATATCTCTAATTAAAAAAGCAAAGTCTAACTTTACCAATTCTTACTGATAATAAATGTATAACTCTTAATGGCATAACTCCTAACGCTCCTTTAAAAACTCTCGGAGAAGTTGAAATCCCTCTAAAAATTTATAATCAAGATATTATTGTCAAAGCTTAACTCCTCGATGATGAAACAAATGTTCCTTTTGACGGGTTACTAGGCCAAAACTTTTTCAAATCTCTAAATGTAAAAATTGACTTTGGACAATCCCAACTATCAATAAATTCATTACCATTCAAAATTCCACTTCATACAAATACTCCACGACCTAAAAATGTCGTTAACTTAGGACCACGAACGGAAATGGTCATAAAAATTAATTTATCTAGTCCTCAAAACTTAAGAGAAGGCATTGTTGAATCACAGGAAACAAACAGTATCATGATTCGTAATTCAATTGTCAACATTTTACCTGGCAACCAAGCATTTATTAGGGCAATAAATGCAACTAACAAATAGATCCAGTCCTTTACTCCTCAGGTCAATGTACTTCCCTTACCTGACAAAGACAGTATTTTGTGCTTCAATGTAAATACTGAAAATAATCTCGATCGGAAAAAGAAACTTAAAAATTATCTACGCTTAAATCATTTGACCACAGAAGAACAAGAATCAATTACACAAATTTGTATTGAATATAATGATATATTTCATCTTCCTGATGACTAACTCATACGACAACTGCGACACACTCAACTGATACAACTGACGAACGACCAATCCGAGTAAAAACCTACCGCTACCCTCAAGTACACAAAAATGAAGTTAAAAATTAAATACAAAAGATGTTAGACCAAAAGATCATAAAACCTTCAATAAGTCCTTGGACTAGCCCTTTATGGATAGTTCTAAAAAAATTCGAGGCTTCAGGCAAACAAAAATGGCGTGTCGTTATTGATTATCGCTTATTAAACGAGAAAACTATCGGTGACGCGTACCCTATACCAAATATTGAAGATATCTTCGATCAGCTAGGTCATTCGGAATACTTCACCACTTTAGATTTAGCAAGTGGATTCCACTAGATACGAATGGATTCAAAAGATGTACCCAAAACTGCATTTTCAACCCCTGAAGGACACTTTGAATTTATTCGAATGCCATTCGGTTTAAAGAATGTTCTAGCGACTTACCAACGCCTAATGAAAAATGTTTTATTAGGATTAACTGACAAGCAATGTTTCGTATACATAGATGACATTGTAGTATATCGATCATCTCTAGAAGATCACAATAAAAAACTCATAAACGTATTCAAAAGACTTCGCGAACACAATTTAAAATTACAACCAGATAAATGCGAATTTCTTAAACGATCTTGTTTATATTTGGATCATGTTATTACTTGTGACGGAATCAAACCAAATCCTGATAAAATCAATGCTATTTCTCAAATGCCTATTCCAAAAAATCAAAAAGAATTAAGAATATTCTTAGGAATGATCGGGTATTACAGAAAATTTATTCAAAACTCTTCACTCATCACTAAACCATTAACCTTGCTTTTATGAAACGATACACCCTATACCTGGACTGAGCAACAACAAACTGCTTTCGAAGTCCTTAAAAATAAATTAACAACTGAACCAATCCTATGATATCCTGACTCCAATTTACCATTTGTATTAACGTGCGATGCATCTAATATCGGTATCGGCAGTGTTTTATCTCAAATCATTAATGATAAAGATCTACCAGTAGCATACTATTCGAGAATCCTTAACTCAGCTGACCAAAACTATTCCACAACTGAGAAAGAATTACTGGCCGTAGTCAAATCAATTGAACACTTTTGCCCCTACCTGTTTGGACGATCTTTTACTATCTTTACTGACCATAGACCACTCTAATGGTTATCCAATTGTAAAAACCCCTCTTCACGACTAGTTAGATGGTGACTGACACTTAATGAATATGAATATAAAATACAATATAAACCTGGCAGAATCTATTCGAACGCAGATAGCTTATCAAGAATCTTTCCTGAACAACCAGTATCAATGAATCACCTAAAACATAACATTCTAACATCAATTAATGACGAACTGAACTACAAAAACTTTATAAAATTTCACTATACAAATTCAGACGAATTCGAATTCGAAACTGAAAATAGACCTTTAGAAAAGATCAAGAATCCTATCATACTGTTTTGGTCATGAGACTTAGACGAAAGCAACTTATATTTCAAATACATTCAAGAAAACTTTGACCTCTCTGATTCTCAACCTACCCTTAATGGACTAATCAAAATTACTAATAAAACTCAAACAATTTATATTTTATTTCCTAAGAATTTACATCATGATAAGATGGAAAGCAAACATTTATTTACTAGTTTAAAGTGTCTCAAGAAGATCATTAGTAATGAATCATTTACAATTATCCCCCCTAATAAAGATAAAAACATAAAACCTTCTTACCTCTACAAAATAACAAAATTTCTATTTCCTAAAAACGAAATCAAAATATTTAATACAAAAAGAATAATCCCCAAAGATCAAAATGAAATTAACCATATACTAAAAGAGAACTACGATAGTAAACTATCAGGTCATTATGGATTTAACAAAACATATAGGAAAATTACCATTGGCATGACATGAAATCTGATATTAGAAAATATATCAAGACATGTCATTCATGTCAGATAAATAAAACTAATTTTAAACCAACTAAACAACGCATGGAAACTACAACCGCATTCGATCAACCCTTCGAACGTTTGGCTATAGATATAGTCAGCCCTCTACCATTGACAGAATCTGGTAACAAATTCATACTAACAGCGCAAGATGATTTTACAAAATATTCTTTTGCTTTTGCTACACCAAACCATGAAGCCCAAACTGTTGCTAAAATTTCAACCAACTCAAT